GACCAAGGCCTTGGTTGTCTCAGGCAGTGCACAGCTGGCGGTTCCTACCTGGAGCTTCAGGAGGGATCAGACTGAGCTTAATCCCATGCGAACCACATGCATATCTGCCTTGTATACCTTCAGTAGATCATATGCATGGGAATCTTAGTTATGACTCCTCAAGTGAGGAGCTGGACTTAGGGTGCATTCTTTGAGAAGTTCTTTCTCCATCTGTCTTCTACAAGACTACTATTTTTCTATTCATGAACTACTCAATTGAAGAGATTCCCCTTTCCCATAAGTGATTTGTCCCTTATCCATCTAGAATAAGTTTTACATCTAATGAAAATAAAAAGGTGTTTATCTCTAATGCTCTCATCAGGACACGGAGATGCTATTCTTTCTTCCCAACCCTTAAATCAAAACTGGTCCTAACCCACCACATTTAATTGATAATTCAGAGTTCACACCATTGAGTCAGCACTTCAAACCTCCATTCTTCTCCACGTATCTCCCCATCCCCTGTGTCACACCAGCATCCCTGGTCTACCCTGTATCTTGGTTACACCAGATCATTACTTAAGTTCTATATTCAAATCCCACACCAATCATAAGATGTTTCAGATGTGTTCTTTTCCTTATTATTATTTTTTTATAGAGAACAGCATACACAGTTCAATTTCATTCCAATTCCTCTCTCTTCAGCTAGTGTGGACCCGTCCAGTGCTTTTTGAATAGAGGGTGTCTCCCCTAGGATGGGTCTCTGATGTATAATTCAATAAATGTTTAATGGCTACACCCACCATGCCTGCCCTGAATGCATGTGCCAGGCTCATCATAGTGCTAATGTCTGTGTTTCTATCACCAGCTAGAAATCATCTGGCAGGCATCCATCACATTAGAGAAGACTCTTTCTCACTCTTCCTCTCTGGCGCCTCATCACTGCCTTCCTTGACTAGAATTGTGTGGATCTATATAACTGATGGGGGTAGAAAAGCCCCAGAACTCAAGGTGAGGGACTTGAGGGTAGGATGCCCTACTCAGAGTAGCACTTGCATAGTCCTAGACAGAACAGGTTTGGCCCACTCTGGGATGAAGTAAGCACTTTCATTTGCCTTGAAGAAATAACAACTTTTTGTGTAACATAGGCCTGTGGAAAACCTAATTATGTAGATCCATTTGAGGATTAAACAAAAGCAAGTCTGGGAGAGCTATTAGTGGGATTTATCTACTGAGGTGCTCAGCTCAGTTTTGCAAGGGTTTAATGCAGAATTATGAATAATGAACTGTGCTCTCATTAGGGGGGAGACTCTCTTACTCTGACTCTCTCACTGACTCTCTTACTAAAATCAAGAACATGGAGGAAGGAACAGAAGGTTGTTCCAGGAGGTGTAGATAACATACCGAACAGAGCTCTTTACATTCAGGACATGCTACAACAAAGGGATGGGTTTAGATCAGAGAATCAAGTGGACACAAAGTTGTCCTATACTCAGATTTCTAAGTCACAAAGTCACAAAGGCATGAAAAAGGCATGGAGACTGTATGAGTAACACTGGTCACTCCACTAGATACCATGACCATCTTAGGGGAAATTCTGAATGCAGCAACCCTAGGGTATGTGTTCACAGTCAGGTTCCATGTGCAAGCTGCCTACCTTCTAAATACCCTATTTTATATAGAATTTTCACACTGAAGGCAGTCCAGAGGAAGGTAGCAAGAAAATGGAATAATCTGGGAACATGGTAATGTAATCAACAGCTGGGGAAACTGGACTTTTAATATAACCTTCAAAGACTAGAAAATTGATATGAAGAATGTCTCTAAATACCTACAGCTCAAGGACCTACCATTGTTCAAAAGTAGTAAATTTTGCTTATTCAATGTCAGACAGAAGTAGATCATAATTCACTAATAATAAACCAACCCATAATTCATCTATGCCTGAAGAGTCTCGAGGCTAACATGGACAGGGGAGGGGAAATGCCATTCTGCTTACAGACAGGTAAACTGAAGAAGCCACCTCATCTTAGGACCAGCACAGATAAGAAGCTGCTGACAATTGTCGATAATGATGAAGCCAGAGGTTGGAACTCTGCTCAGGACCTCATGAGGCTCCTCCCAGGCTGCTGAAGGGTAACATTCATACTACACTACTGAAAGATAGCTTGTACCAAATGTCACTTATTGTACCAAATGTCAGACAGCCACCAGGTAGATATATGCCACTTATTCTTCCCAATGACTGTGTAAGATGACATCATTTTCTTATTTAATAGATGAGGGAACTGAGGGTGATAACCTGGACAAGGTGAGAGAATGGTGTCAGACTCATTCAGTGTTCAAACACTTTCTGTCATACTTTGGGCATGGAAGCACAACAGGCGACTAGGGGTGCCTCCACCCTAAGTGTCAGACTGTAGTGCCAACACAAGTCATTCCTTTGCATCTGAGGAAGTCAGACTATAGGGCCAACACAAGCCATTCCTTTGCATCTGAGGAAGAAGATCTGGCACGTTGAAGAAAATCCACTGTTGGAACATTTGGTTTCTGTGAGGTGTCTCTACTCTGTCCTTTCCCTAAAGACATGTCATTCACCCTTATGTTGACTATGATCAGTTTACTTGTGTCAGTCCAGGGTCTTTTATCTGGTTACCTTAAAACCAGGGCTTCTCTGGTCTCCTAGGAGAAGTGGAAGGAACTGAACCCTGTTGATAACACCTATGAATTCAAGATATCAGTGGAGGGTTTCATTGCTGGAGGGAGAAGCAGGCCACATGGCTGCTTTATCCTCCCTGCTGGGTTGGGAGCAGGGTGAGATCATTTTAAAAGACAGTGCACAGGCGTCAGCAGGCTATTACTATTTTTGTGTGAAATTAAGTGGTTTTTCTAGGCTTTGTATCTGGGGCAGAAGTGGTCACCTCCTTACCTTCTGCCTGTCTCCTAGAGCCAGAGAAAGTGGCTGAGGGCTGATGCTCCCGAGAGGGCAAGTAGTCTGGCTCACTAAGCTTTTTGTTCAAACCTTCTACGATTCTTTAATGTCTTAAAAAATAGGATGTTTGTATACTTGGATGCTTTTGGAAAAACGGTTCTAGTGGCCTCTTAATCCTCAATCCCCCGAGACCTAGCGGTATGTATCTATATTCATTGATTTCACAAATAACCCCTTGACGTATGCTGTGTGCCTGGAGTACAGCGGTGGAACAGACAGACACAGCCCATGTCCTCACCGGGGACCAATGGCCTGGCTATAGAGACAACAGGAAACAAGAAACCGCACGGATGGGATTCACACTTAACAGACAGTGCACGTCTCTCCACAGTATTCAGCGCACGTTGGGCACACGGCAGGTGCTTTGACAGGGTTATGTGTCTGGTCCGTGTGTGGCATGTGTAGAAGGAAACCCTGATGGATGAATTCAGCACTGAGAGTTCAATGCTTTGGCTTTCCGAGTGAGGGGAAAACATGACACTGATTGGGTCTGAGTTCTAGCTCCTGCTTTAACACTGACCACTAAAAGTTTCTTTGGTGAGTCACTCTGAGGACCCTCAGTTTTACTTAGCATTAGCACCCCTCACTCATAAACGGCCTGCTGTCAAAGGTGCAGTTTAGCCTCATTTACTTTGCCAGCAAGAAAAGAAATAGACAAATGGCCCCAGCAATAGACAAAAGGCCCCAGCACAGGAGTTTCTGTCTGTGTCAGGATCCTGGGAGATGGGTGAGCAACTGTGAGGGATGAGTCTCCCAACAACAAAGCTAGGAGTCTAGGTCTGAACGTGGGCAATATCACACTTGACTTGCCAACCAGCACTGCTTCAAAAGAGAACACTTTTATTCATAGGACAGTCTAGCTATATGGTTAGACAACAGACCAGAGGCTCAGGAAAACACAGAAATAGTTTCCTTTGTGTTTTTATAAGTAGAAAAACTCAGATATTTCGTTGACTCTGCTAGTGGAGATGGCTTTAAAACATGACACAGCTGCCAGATGGAATTAACCTCGGATGCCCTTGAGCACTCGTCTAATAAAGTGCGGCCAGGATGATGTGGTGCCATTATCTCAGCAGGCTTAGGGCACAGTCCCCACACTTAGTTCTCAGTGGCCTTTTTTCCCAGTAAGGAAAAAACTAATGAATGCAGAAAAGTCCCATAACTTAGACAACAAAAAGGAAACATGCTTGAGGCTAAAGGGCAGCCTAAAGGACCAGGTCTGGAGGAACCAGGGCCAAGTAGCGTTTGGACAAGTCTTACTTCATCAGAAACATTACAAATATGCAGCAGTAGGTTTCCTCATATTCTGGACTGTGGGTACGTGAATGTGACTGGGCCAGGTCCTGGGGCCCCTCCTTTTTGCTGCAGAGTCCAACAATTGTTTTCAGCATTTGAGCAGATACATGGGAACAGTCTCTTTCCTGCATTCCCCTCAGAGCTCCTAATGCTGCTTGCTTGCTCCGAAGTGTGGGAGTCAGGTGATCAGGATTGCTTAGAGGACAACTTTGTCCTTCATAGACCACTTGCTGGTCCCTCTGCCCCTAATCTCTTAGGAACTGAATCTCAGGTATGTGGCCAAGGAAGGAAGGGTATCCTTTACCCACTAAAGTCCTTCTGGGTCAAAGGCTCCTACTGAGTAGTGTCCATGTAGCTAGTTCCCAAAGTGTTAGTCTAATTTTGAAATATGCTTCAATCAAACCATTGTAAGTATGAGCCAGTCACAGCTACTGGTGTCTTAGGACACACTAACCTCAGCCTCTCTGAGGTACATTCTCCTGAGGCAGCAGTCGGGCAGCCCCCGTGAGGTGTTCCAGAGGGATCAGACACCTTGCCTCTCCCACTGTTCACCCTTTCACACTCCATGACTCTCAATCCAGCCCTGCCCTTCCTCTCTTGGTGGCATGCTACAGCTGGCTCCTGCTGTTTGGCTCCAGAGTGGAAGGAATTCTGAGCACAATTCTCTAGGCAGGGCTGGCTAAACTAACCACAAGTTTGGGTAGAGGGAAGGAAGGTTGGGACTATGTCTTACCTTGTCACTGTCCACTGTGTTCTGAGAGGTCCTGGAGGCAATGGATATGGTGTCTGGCTGGCTGCTTCCATCCCCCTGGCTGTCACCATCCTCTACTCCCTCCCTGCAGGAAGAGAGAGTAAAAGAAACAGGGGTGGGGGTGGGGGGAGCCACTGTGGGTTTTGAGCACACACGGCTTTCCCAGCTGGGTCTGCAAAGTGGTGCCTGAACATTCCTAGCAGGGATTGTCTAACATTATCCTGTAATGGGTACAGCCTATGTGATCTCAGTGAAAGCTCATTCATTTAAGCACATGATCACTACCCTGAGCACAGCATGATGCATGTCCTATGTCCCTTCCAGCAGATGGCGCATTAAAAACAACAACAAAAACTAGGATTGAGTCTAATACAGGCAGCAAGAGGGTATATCTTACTTAGAACCTGGGCTTCTAGCCAGCTAGAAGTTCCTTTTTCAGTAGCCAGAGTTCAAGGTTCTGCATGTTATACTAGGTTGGGGGTTGGCTTGCTGCTGGTGTAGGAAAAGAGAACAATGGGTAAGATACTCTTTCCATCTCCCTTTTTCTCTTTTTCTGAGATGCGGCCTTGCTATGCTGTTCACACCAGCCTTGAGTTCCAGGGTCTGAGCAAGCCTCCTGCCTCAGCTTCCCAAGCTGTTGAGACTACAGGCATGTCATGAAATTTAAGATGGATTTTTCATTTTTTAAATTTCTTCTGCTGGGGAAAATGGGTTGGGTTATTTCCTCGAGGGAAGATTATCTCTGGCCAAGTCCAGATGGATACTTGGCTTCTGTGTGGAGAGGGCTTACGGTCTTCTTTTTGGTGGGCCTTACTGATTTCATATGCATTGGTGATGAGTTCTCATCAACGCAGAAGGGAAGTCTCTTTCTCCAAGGTGGGAGTAGCATTGTCTATGGCAACATTTGAGTCAACTCTGCTTCCTGGTGCTATGATGGCACTGGAACCCCTTCCTGGACCCTAGTACTGCACAGCTGCCTTAGGACTGTGTGATGACTCCGTGCTGAATCCAGAGTCAAGACTCGGAGTGCATGGTTGCCTGAGAATTGCTGACTAGTCTGCGTTAGGGAAAACTTGGGAGATGTAGGCTGAGGTTAAAGGAATTAGCAGAGGAAACCACAGCTATTCCCATGGACATTTTCACAAAAGTCACCCCCAACTCCACGCTGCTTATGAGAGAAGCAGCTTTTCGAGAGAAGGGGGAAATGATGCTGGAGAATCCTAGCAACAGGCAGAGTGCCATAATAAATGACTCCCTCTCATGGAGTTGGAACAGTTACCATCTGTATACCTGTGAGTGTATGGGGACATGTGTGTGCACGAGAGTGCCCATGTGTATGCAAATGTTTGCATATGCAATCTTTCTGAGAAAAAGAAGTTTTTCCCATGCAGAACATTTCTAAGTTGACTGCTTTCTTACCACCACTTGTGGGCTTGGAAAATGCCAACTTATTTTAATAACATAAGCCACACATTCGTAGGAAGGCAAAGTCTGCTGTGAAAAGAAATTATGTGACGCATTTCAAAACCCAAAATAAAGAACTTTCAGATCATCTGTTGTTTTGAGTGGTCTGGGCCATCTCCCCCTCACCCATTTATAGATGGTTGGGATCTGGCTTTACTTTCTGCTTCCTGCTGTTTAGGCCTATTATGAACCCTTCTGGTCCATTCCAGATGAAGCCAGTTCTGGGGGCTGAAAGGGCTGATCCAGGAGTGTGGGTGGTATCCCTTGCCCCAACTGAGCCAATGTCCTCCTCCATAAACTCTGCTGCTACATCTGGGAAGCCAAGCTAATAATGGTCTGGCTGTTCTCTGCAGTCTGTGAGGTTTCTCTCCATTCCATGAAGGACGAGAAAAGAGGTAGGAGACAGAGAGAAGGCGGGAGACATTTCTAAGACATGCCCTTCATGTGTTCTAGAAACCCTCCAACTCTCTTTCAGAGCAACCCTCATCAGTCTCAACTAAGCTTCCTTCTCACAAGATCCTGGACAATTCGCTCTTCATATTTTCCTTTCTGTATTCCTTGTTGAAGCAGGACCTCCCTGAAGCAGGGTCTATCTCCAGTGCTAAAATAAGCTTGGAGTCTAGACATGAGCACATAAAATTAAGATGGGCTCTTTTTCCTTTCTTTTAAAAAAGAGTTATTTATTATGTATATAGTGTTCTGTCTGCACTTATCCATGCACGCCAGAAGAGGGCACCAGATCTCATTACATTACATGTGGTTGCTGGGAATTGAACTCAGGACCTCTGGAAGACGACCTAGTTCTCAACCACTGAGCCATTTCTCCAGCCCCAAGATGGGCTCTTTTTCAATAAAGTCATAATTGGTCCCACAGCAGTGGGGAAGTGATCTGATCCTGCCCGTCACTTTGGAGGTGTCTCTGCTTCAGTCATATTCTTCTTTGAGTTAACACTACTCTCAGTGCTAGCATTCCAATGCCATGGCTCTGTAATGGTTCACCATTTTGCTTATCCTGGTTGAGGCCAAAAGGTCAATGAAACTCTCTGACTTGTGCCATTTGTGAACCAGGGAGGAGTCCACCAGTGACTACTACTCTCAGGATCTCACTATGATATGTATGTACGTATGTATGTATATGTATATATATCATATATTCTTGTGTATGAATACGACTTATGTACATATATATGTAAATATATACACATGTTTTTCTTCAAGATATATGTGAAATTTTATATGCTTTTCTCTAAACATCCTTCAGCAGAGTCATTGGAAGTGATCATGCCACATGGTGACTTGAGGAGGAGACACCCGAGAAAGCATTCACTGACTCTGGGGAAACTAGGGTTCAGAAGGGTCCAGACGAATTCAGTAAATAAGTCCTCTGCTGCCTGAAGTCATTGTCATTGAGGGTGAATGACAAAAACTTCTTAGGGGTTGCAGAGACACAGCAGCCTGCCCCATTGCTACGAGAAACTTTTCTACCATCCAGCCAATGCGGAGGCCTTCCCACTCAAGGAACTGTTCTTCCTGAAGCCTTCCCCACCTCCACAGAGAGCCATCACTGTTCCCTACTTGACAGCATTTACAGTCTCCAGAGGCTACTGCTCTTATGTAACACAACCATGTGCCAGACAAGGTTGTTGGAAAGTTCTTGCGGGAAGTAACTCAACCTATAGCTCCCCTCACATTCCGCTAGCACACTTAGGCAAAGAGGGCTTAGAGAACCCCAGCTGCATTAGTGGGCAGTAACTGGTGAACAGCTTAGAGATGACAGAATTCACCATAGCAGAGCTTGTGGGATGGGGGAGACGACACTCCCTCCAGAAACAAAGGGTCACTTTGCCCTTGGGCACACGAGGCAGCAATGCTTGGGGAGAGGTGCTGGTTACCTCTTACTATTGTTCCTCAGTTTGGCTGGTGTTTTGGGGAGCTGGATTGGCTCCTTTAAAGCTCCTTTAAGATGAATGATCCTCTCCTGAATCACTTCTCGAATGTTCTTGATCCATTCCTGCTTGGTTTCGATGTTGGAAGCCTAGAGGGCCACAAGAAGAAACACTGAGAACCCCAACTCTTGCTGCCCATAAATAACCACATTCAACTCTCCTCTGAGAGCTTCAGCTGTTATTCCAAAGACACCAAATCTTTGGGGGACTTCATTTTTCATTTTAGCCTTTGAATCTTTAATCTCAGAGACATTCAACTTCAAGACTCAACGTAGACTTTATGGGCAACTTGTAAAAATATCTCACAACTCATTAGGCACTGACCAATCTGCTATTGGCCATGGAGCTGGAACAGTATCTAGTGCACTCTGTTGAGCCTGGGTTACCACTTGAATTGAGGATCCTAGGGCAATCTGGAGGCCATTGGAATTGTGACAGCTGAAAGCAGTGGATATATACCAGCAGGGTGATGGGTAAACGCTAGGATATTTAATAGTTGTCATACCCATAGAGGGTGGGTATGACACAGCCTGACAGTAAGTTCTGGGGTTTCAGGCTGCTAAATGAACTTATAAGAAGCACAGCTTCCATGTCGATGATACCCTACTGTCTTCGTGGCTCCTTTTCCAGATTATTCTTCATGCTAGGTAGCAGCTATCCTGCAAATTGAGGGTGATTACTTGTGAAGTTTTTGCATGGGCTGGACCATCTGTTCCTTGGTGATGGACTATGACCAGTGGGAACTCTGTTTGCAGTATCCTTACCTAGTCAGGCGGTTGCCACCAGGACAGGGACTCAACCCTAAGCTGAACCCAGAGAGCTGAACTGACCCCTGGGCCTCCAGACTGCTGTGATTTAGTGGAGCTTCTGGAACACACATTCCCAGGGAATAAGGACTGAATCTTACACATGGTTCTTTTTTGTGGCACTGAGAAGAGTTCCTTGCACATGGAGGACATTTAGGGCAATCTGCTGAGCAAATGCAGAGCAACTGAAGATGCCTTTGCTAAAAGGCTGGTTGTTCTCACCACTGGAAAGGGACATAGGGATGGGACCCAGTTGACTGGGCCTTGTTAGGTGGGTCAATAGGTCATTCTCCACCCTCTATGAACTTGAGGAAAACATCTGCCTTTGAGATGCTGGGTCCACCTTTATGGTAGAATTTGCCTCTCAATACCTGCATGATGCTGTCATTCCCAAGAGACACCTGGTGACTCTGTGTCTCTAGGCCCTGCTTTTTGGTGTCTCATGCCTCCTTCTTCTACCCTCCCTCAACCCCTAACCCTAGTTTTGTGCTGGAAGAAAGCAGTACTTACTTTGAGCACTGTTTTATTGTCTGAGGATGGGGTGCGCCCAGACCACAAGGCGAATTTGCAGGGGTCACCTTCTACATGCTCGGTCACACCCAGCTCTGAGGTCTGTAGACAGGAAATGCCTGTGAGAGGCGGGGAAGGGAGGGCAGTGGGGGAAACTTAGGGCTGGGATAGGAAGGGGAAGGCAACAAAGAGGAGAGGGCCGAGGGAGGGGCTTCTGTCAATCAAACTTCAATAGACTGGACATTTTGTTCATATACCCGGGATGAAAGGACCTGCAGGTATTTGCCTGATTAGCAGGGGCAGACAGGGAGAGATGGTGAAGAGGCAGGTGTTAAAGCAAACAGAAAGACCTGTGAACTCTAAGGGACAAAAGCAGAGGATGTGGTGGGAGGAGGAGGCATGAGCCTTGGTCCAGGAGAGCTTTGGAGTAGAGAAGCAGGGAAGAGGTGAGCTGTGTATGTCCATATCCTTTCCTGCCTTGGGTTCTACGGAAGCAGGGAATCTCGTCTTGTCCCACCTGCCCCACCTACCAGTAGCTTGTTCTTGTAAACATATTTCGTGTGTCCTGAAGAGTCTTTGATCTCCTTGCTAAACACCAAGGAGATCTCAAAGAGGAACAGGTGCCGCTCCCGCCCCTTCCGGATCAGCGACTTTGGGTCCCACACTTGAAAGGCATCCTGGAGAATCAACTCTCCCTGTACATCCAAGTTTTCATCGAACCCTGAAAAACACCCATGTCCACTGTGGAGTTTCTGCACTCTACACTCAGGGGAGCCAATGTTCTATTCCCCCTTGGAGAAAGGGTTTTCTAGTTTGCTACTGGTTTCCATGGAGATCTAACACAACATATATGCCTATAGGACCGTAGTCAGTCACCTCCCATTGCCTATTCTCTGCACCATGTCTCCTATACACATATGCAATATGAGTAGGATTTGCTGAAAGATCCCACGTGTTTCTTCCCTCCCCAGAAAGGCAGTCCCCAGTCCCAGAGCTTCTTATTCCTCCACAGCTCTCACTGCTCCTAGCTCTGAGTGGGGCTCAGGTTGAACACTCTGCTGGAGCGCCCTTGACTCTGTTTTATTTGTCATTGCCTCATTTCTTATATTCCACTCTTAGGATTCTTTTATTGCTCCTAAACCATCTGGTGCACAAGCTTTCAACGCTTTCTGTTTACACACCACTTCAAATCTCCCAGAAGGCTCCCAAACCTCAGTACACATGATAACTACCTGGAAAGCACATGAAAACATGGATTCTGAACACCCCTCTGCATCCAAGAGATTCTGGCTCAGTGGGTGTTACGAGAGTCCATAAATGTGCACTTTCGACCAGCTCTATTGCACAGGTCCACAGACCATCCTGGAGTGGCTGCATGGAGCGCATGGGTGAGGGAAGGTCTGGACAAGTGGGGCACTTACACAGGAGGGCACCCAGCACTAGGGAGCCAGCATACACAAGGAAGAAGGGGGTGGGGCCATTGTGACAACAGAGGCACCTTCAGGTGATTAGTGCTGAGTCTAGAGAAGAGGACACTGGCTCCATTGCTCTAGAGGCTCTTGTGCTAAGGGTAGTAAGGCCACCCTGAGTCTCTTAGATGATGGTAGTGTCAGAGGTAGGGCTGTGGGACAAAGCCAGAAGAGAGAGCAGCCCACACACTTACTTCCTTTGCATCTGCTGTCAGACTGGAATGTTGAGACTTCACCCAGCTATCAGATTTATTTATCCCTAGGCTGGCTCCACCATGCATCTGTTTGACAACATCATGACCATGTCACAGGAGCCTTACTTTATGCTGCACTTGTTCTGGATCCCCAGAACACAGTTCTAGCTGACTGGCTGGGCTTTCTTTCCTAAGCTCCCAAGAGGGACAAAGGACTAGCTGCACAAGAATGTGAATATGTGTTAAGTTGATAGATATAGTTAAGTGGCTGCCACTTAACATTCAATAAGAAAATGGTCACAGCGGTAAGCTTATGTTATGTACTCTGGTGTATTTTAAAGAAGCTGGGCATGATGGTGCACACCTATGATTTCAGGCATTTAGCTGGCTGAGGAAGGATCACTATTTCACGGACAGCACGGACAGTTCAGTGAGACCATGTCTGAGAAAAGAGAGCTGTGGATATAGCTCAGTAGTGGAGTATTTGTTCATGGACAAGGCTTGGGTTGAATTTTAGTAATGAAAAAAAGTGTGTGTGTGTGTGTGTGTGTGTGTGTGTGAGCCAGATATCACACTAAAGCAGCTGGCGAATACTGTATGCAACCAGTATATTCTGACTGTGAAGGCAATGCAAATGCTATGCATATGAGCAGGTCTGCAGGGCCCTGGCCTGTTGATACTGAAGACCACAGCCTGCACTGGATTATCTCATGGACAGCAAGGGATCCACACTGTAAATGGAGACAGGTGTTAGCCATGCTGATTTGTGGTGCTCCTTACACAGGTAGCCAAAGACCCATTTAACAACTTGCTCCTTGCCTGACTTCATGCTACTTCCCTCTATAACACAGATTCCCTGGTCTTAGGAATGGAGGCGGCATCTCAGAAGCACTGGGAGATCAGCTACCTTCCAGCATGCTGACATGCATGGCATCATTGGCTTTCTTGGGGACACTGAGCATCACCTCCAGGCCATCCTTGAGTTCCCCTTTCCCTTCTTCACAGCAAGTTAAAAGTTCCTGGGGAAAAAAGTCCAGACACAATTAAGATCCTCTCTCCAGTTTCACAATCCTCCCTTTTCTAAGTCATCAAGTAAATCATACACCAGCCCCACTCTGTCTGTAACACTTCCCTCAGAGAGCGCTATAAAGAAAGTGAGATGGGGATCGTTGTCAAAAGCTCAATGACCAGATGAGTTCTAACTAGTCCAAATGAAGTTAATCCATTCCTATTTCCAATGGCTAGAATTTTAGAACCAGAGGACTCCGTCACTGTACTGCCTTCCTGGGGAGGGGTCACCCCTGGTGAAAAGAAAACAGAAGGCATGCTACAATGTCCTCGTGGGGCACTGCATGCCTGTGTTGACACTGTGGGCCTCAGATTGCCTGTGTTGACACCATGGGTCTTTGCGTGTCTATGGCTGACACTGAGGGTCTCTGCATGCTGATATCACTTTTATTTACAGTCCTTACTACTGGATGACTGACTTCCATCCTGCTGGGAGCAGCTTGGGACTATAGACTTTACGGGTTTATAAGGCTCAGAGTTATGAAAGCGTTTTAGACCACGAGGATCTAGACCACTCCTGACCCAGGCCAGTGACTGTCATTCCGGGCTAGGACTGTGACAGCCACATAGCAGACTGGGGTGAAGAAGGACATAGCTCCAAGGAGGCCAAGCACAGCCTGAGATGCAGCTCAGAATGCACACCTGGTTTTCTGTCCACCACCCCAGTCTCTCCACATCTCTCCATCCCACTGTCCCCCACCCCCAGGGACAGAGCCTGTTACTTCCTAGGCATCATGTCCTCTCGCCTTTGCCTCTCCGTTTTAGTGTCACTCATCAAAATTCCAGGGAAAGATACACAATATTTGGTTGGTAGAGGAAACGATCATTTCAACCATCTTACTAGTCAGTCCTAAGAGACCATTTGGAATGGTTTTTTGTGCCCCCCCCCAAAAGCAGCTTGTGGAAAGAAAGATCATGAGATCACACCTTTTTTTTTGTTTTTTTTTTGTTTTTACTAGACAGGGTTTCCCTGTATTGTTTTGGAGGCTGTCGGTCCAGCCCGGCCTCAAACTCACAGAGATCCACCTGCCTCTGCCTCCGAGATCACACCTTTTAAGCATGGTTATGATGTCTCCTGGCAAATAAAGGTATTTGGGGCAGGAGAATATTTTTCTGTGGAATGCTCTGGAGCAGGATGTATCTGGTCTGCTAGGATTTCCTGTAGTGAACAAACTTGAGTCTGAGGCTTTAAAGGCACTCTTCTGAAAGTGACATAGACACTAGCTAGGCAGCTATCTAAGTAAAAAGCAGCCACACTTCTGTAGGGTGAGATCACGAGGAACCCATCACTGGGAGGTCTTGTCCTGATCTGGGCCAGAGCACATTCTGATGCTGCAAGAAGGAATGGAGCCTCATGGGTGGTTCTGGACTTTTCCCTTCTCCACCACTATCCTGGGATTATCTGTTCCATTAAACTCATTAGTAAAGCTCTCTACTTGGGAAAATATCTGCATATTGAGAATCTGAAACAAAAACCCAGTGTCTGGATTTTGTGAGTTATCTTGGAGACAGTTCCATATGTACAGAGGAGTTTGCATGTTCAGGTAGAGCACACACTGGGGGAAGCTGGAGTTCTTGGTCCTGTCCTTTCCAGTTGACATAATGTCATCATTATTCTGAAGGGTACACTTCTACCACCCTTAAGTTCTCTGACGTCCTCACCTTTTCCTAACAGTAACCCTCCCAACCTTGTTCTCAAACATCAACAAAAGAATGCCTGAAGGGAAACACAGGGGAGAGATGAGAAGTATGCTTCTGTTTGCAACAGAAAACACCAATTAGTTTAATCCCCCTAGGCAATTTAGCAAGTCTCCCAATCTACAAGCAGAGCCAATAAATTGTCCTGGGGTTGGTGGTGGCTTGCAATAGTTCCGATAAGAAGAAGCCTGCACATTTAATTTAGGCTCTGAAAAGGACAGCTACAGCAGATTTACAAGCAGAGGATCAAACACTCCAAATGACACAGTTTCACTTTTGTGCAATACCTAAGTGACAAGCCCCAGAGGATACTGATAATTAAATATCAATTTATTTGGAATTAAACTGACTTCAAAGAGAAAATAAATGCCTTGTTATTTGTAGTAAAGCTCAACAAGCCATTTTTACTCCTTGGGCACTCTGCCACCAGCAGACTATTAAAGAGGCCAGAATTACCTTTTAATAGTAATTTTACACTTCCCTGCAACAAAATCACTGCTATCTTGTTTGTTTGCCTCTCAATTCCCTGTACAAACCTGTTTCTCCCCCAAACACACAGTTCTAGAGTGGAAGCCCAACTTTGCAGCTACTAAAGGCTAATTCCAGCCTCCATTCCCTTCCTCACCTCTGACCCATGACTCATCTTAGGCAACTTCAGCATTATAGGGCTGAAACAGAGATAAGAGTGGCTGTATTTCTCTTAGAGCAACATCTTAATTGATTCCAGATGGGCAATGTGGCTGGGCGCATTGGTGTTTATTTTATTTTTTTAAAAACTCACAACCTTACAATTCCTCCAAAGGTTTTGTAATACACAAATCAAAAGCCACAAAAATCAATTTTTAAAATGAAATTAAAAATTATTTTATTTTACGTGCATGGGTGTTTTGCCTCTGTGCATGTCTGTGCGCCATTTGCATGCCTGGTGCCCGTGGAGGTTAGAAGCAGGCATCAGATCCTCTGCAACTGCAGTTCACAGATAGTTCTGAGTTGCCATGTAAGGCTAGACTCAGGTCTTCTGGAAGAACAGCCAGAGCTTATAACTGCTGAGGCATCTCTCCAGGTTCACACAAAAATCAATTTTTTAAAAAGGCTATCAGCACAGAAGATAACTTAGAAGGGTCGAGCATAAGCAGGGAAGGGAAAAAGAAGGCTTGCTGTTTATAGAGTTCTGTGGACTGTGGCTACAGTCCACAACCTGAGATTCAAAGGCCAAGAAGATCCCAAGGCTCCCATGGCCTAAATATCAGAACCACACTGAGTTTTAGAGAATAGACTTCTTGCCCCAAGACCTTATGGGAACTTCTGGTCTTTACACGAAAACTTTAAGAGACAAAGAAGCAAAAGAAATTCTGCCCCAAGAGCCAACAACATGTGGTCAGCACCAATGATTCTCAAGTGCAGGAAAAGCCCAACACGGGATGTCTCCTGCAATTTTCTCAGTCATTCTGCCGGGCTCGGTGGCCTGACTGTCTGCGCTCTCTTCTGAAGGATGAGGAAGGAGGGTGGAGGGAAGGCTGATTTCATGGCTCTGCCCTCACACAGAAAACAGAATGAAGAACTTGCATGCTCCCCTGAGGTGCTACTCAAGCCTCCTATGCACAACATGAGCACCATGCCCCTGTCCCAGACACCTGGGTATCAGGGCTGAGATGGAGAATGTGTGATGAGAACTGGATTTGGAAGTCACACTGGCTTTCAGGTTTGGGGAAGCTAGATTATGTAAGATTCTGCAGGTACCTCTAAACATAAATGGAACTGGATGCTTTCTCTGAAGTTACACTACTTTTACAGGTCCCCTAACTATCCTTTTGTTTCTTTCATTAGATGAACAACCAGCAATACATTTAAAAGGTAGAAAACCCCCACTCTTGTACTTCAAGAATTAATAGAAACAGATTGGTATTGAATTGTCTATCTCCATTTTCCTGGCATCCTGTAGAAATGACATTTTTAGAATATGGAACATCCTCATATAAGAAAGATAAGCCTGACTTACTTAGTGTTTTACATAATCTGATTACTGAACATTTAAAACTAGACTTTAAGAGAAAATCCACCCTCTTGGTTGGCTTCAGAAGCACTCCTAACATATGGGTCTCTATAACTGAGTCTAATACATTTCTTTGGACTGTTTTCCTCCAATAACCATGTGATTTTTCACAGACACAGTAGCCAAGAAGATGGAAGATACCATTGGGTGTATAGACCACAGTATCCCTAAGACTTCTGCCTTGGTTCCAGCAGGTGGGATATCCACAGGAGGGGATCTGCTCAGGAAGCAGCTGGCCAATACCTGAGGTGATAATCACTAAGAGTTTGCAATGGTAGCTGGAGCTGGAAAATAGTTATGACTTAATTTCTGTTCCCCTTTCTTTCATCTCCAGTCCCAACAAGCTTGGGAATTCTGTGAGACAGGACACACAGTCTCTAGGCAGCGATGCTGGTGTGGGCTCATCTCAGGCTCTGCTGTATATAGAAGAAAGGCTTCTGGTAAGGGTTTCCCACTGTGAGAGGTCCTCCGGGCAGGGATGAGGGTTAGGTGGGGAGGGGAGGTACCTTTAGGAGCAGCTGGTACTTGGTGACCCGCTGGACTGGCTTAATTAGGTAGGAAGAGATGGAGTTGGCCAGGCCGTGCCGCTGCTGGATCTCCTGCAGGTGAGAATAGGTGCAATGAGACAGAGAACAGGTGTGTGTGTGTGTGTGTGTGTGTGTGTGTGTGTGTGTGTATTCTAAACGGAGAAAGAAAAAAATAGACAAAATATGCATTCATGAGAAAATGTTTTTTGGGAGAGTGTGACCATAAGAGTGAGAACACGAAGAAATGCAAGAGACCAAGATGCACACATGGAGAGAAGTGAGAATTGTCAGTAAAAAGAGAGAAGCTTTTGGGAAAGAGTGGAAATTGAACAGACCTGGAGAACCGGGGAAAGATGAAGTAGAAAGGAGTGAGCAGTGAGTAACAGACTGAAGGGGAGCAGGGGTGAAACAGGGCGAGCAGAGAACTCAGTCCAACGGTAAGAAGACAGAGGTAGTGCAGGGGCCAGGGAGAGCCGCACGAAGGCAGGAGGAGACCAAGTCCTGTCCTCTTCCTATGCTGTACAATGGTACGGCTCTTCCTACCGTCGCTCCTCTGCTGGAATTCAGTATATCCCAGCAGAGATCATTGTTTTGTCTCTTACACATTTCTCACTGTAGTCAACAACACCTCTCAATGCCCGGTTCTCCTGAACTGGAAACCAGAATCTCTCTTAGTAATGTCTCCTCTGTTGTGCACAGTGACAAATCCTTCCATCCCCACAGCTAAGCCAACACCATGGCTTCCAGTTGCTGTTGGTACCTCTGGTCTCACCTATTAAAACATCCTCTACCCTATTTCAACATGATCACCTTCCAAGTCTAATGTGTAGAGAGAGGACAGATCTATTTGTCCTTGTACTCAAAAGGCTTATAATCTAGTTGAGAATATGCAACACTCAGAAACCAGGGAACTGCAAAGGACATAGAGGCTCTGCACAGTCAATGAAAACAGAGGTCACTGCAGAGGGTAGTTAGTGGAGACAAAGTCCCATCTGGGCTAACACAATTATCACTGTGTTGGAAAATAATGAAGACTATGCCTCCACACAGAGGAAGGAAGTAAAGGAAGGCAGGTTCTAGAAATAGGAAAGGAACCAAAACAAGAGGCGATAAGCAAAACTGGTTAGGTAACTGATGGAATTGAGTTGGGGGAAAATAAAAAGGATTTGAAGGCAAAGTTTTCAATGCCAACATACTGTAGCTCTTAAAGAAAATAGATATCCAGCGACCACTTCAGAGAGGCTAAGTGTGTTAATCATAGCAGAGGGGGTAAGGGACTGGGTAAATAGACAAACATAGGAGGTTATCACAAGACACAGAGCACATAAATAAAAAGTCAACATGTGATTGAGTAATTCCATCCCAAAGATGGGCCTAACAGGAGTGAAAACACATGTCTGTACATGGACAACCCAGATGTCCATCAGTTTATCATTAGAAAAACAAATATGGTAGAGCTAATATAATGGCCTATTTGGCCATAAAAAGAATGAGGTACTGACATAGATGGTCCTTAAAAATAAGTAAAAGAGCCAGTGACAAAAGATCACATATTACATGATTCCATTTATATGAAATGTCCAGACAAGATAGATTTATAGACACAGAAAGTGAGCTAGTGATGACTAGTGCCTTTTATTTTTTGGTAGGAAGTCTGTTAAAAGCTGAAATGTGCATACTTGCTTTGCAAGTGGGGGGCATACATGTGTATACATGTTCACTTGTGTGTACATGAGTTTGTGGAGATCAGTATTAGGATCACTGATGACTATAATTGTAAGCTCTAACTTTAAATTTTGTATTCAACATATGGTAATTGCTAGATTAATCAAATAAAAAAGATATTTAAAAGTTGGGGGGACTTCTAGCAGAAGTCATTGTTGATAGTCATGTTTCTCTGAGTAAATGTAGATCTTAGACTATCCCAAAGTGACCCGTGGAGCAAGAACACTGAACAGCCCAGTTAGGGCATTAGAGATGCAAACATATAGTGTCCTGTTTCCTGCAGGTGACGCATTCCATATGCATTTAACACATTTAGGAAATGCTGGGCTAGTCTTCTTTCTTTACTGTAAGATGCCAATGATGTGATATAAGAAGTGGACAGGCACGTGGAGCTTCCCAAGCTTCTCTGCAAGAGCAACGCTGTTGGAGAGAGCAGCAGACCTGTGTCGAGGTGGGCACACTTGGCTCTACGCTGCCCTCGAGTTCGAATCTGAGAACCTGCATGGCTTAGGAATGCTTCCTGGGTAATTTGTTGTTGTTGTTTTCGAGGCAGGGTTTTTCTGTGTAGCTCTATCTGTCCTGGAACTCACTCTGTAGACCAGGCTGGCCTCAAACTCACAGAGATTTGCCTGCCTCTGCTTCCCGAGTGCTGAGGTTAAAGGTGTGCGCCACCGCTGTATGGCTCTCCTGGGTAATTCTAACAGACCACCTCCAAGGCAACTACATTAGTGGACAAGTCTTGTATCACCTCCACAGGACTGAACTTATAAGTTCAGAAGTTTGTAGAGATAGTCACTAAAATCTTAGTGTCATAGCTGCAGGAAGTGGGATATTGAATTACTTTCTTTTAAAATGTGAAGCTCATGAAGAGGACAGCTTAAGTTAGTATGATCAATATGGTTCGGCCTCCTCCATTAGAAACTGACTGGAAATATGGACATAAGTAGGACTATTGGAGACACAGTATAGCACTAGGCATGGAGACATGTACAGACAGGAATCAGGAATAAAATACCAAGTCTCAAGGATCTTGCAGGTAGAGGGAGCATATGTGTGCAGAAAGGTATATCTGTCGGTGAACTGCCACAAATTCTATGACAGAGACCCAAAGCACAGTGTATGCATAAAGAGTAGGATTTTTGTAGGATGCAGCATTTGAGTTTGTGAAGAACAGGAAGAATTCTGAAGCATGACATGTATGTATATATACATGTGTTTGTGTGTAGGAGACACAATGGTAGGCACAGGAAAATGCTGGACAAGGATAGGCCTGAGGCATTCTGAGGGCACAGAAATTGTGCTATTAAAATTCTAAGTGGAAGGACACCATTTACAACTTCAAAAAGACCATTGTTGATACTACTAATGACCGATCAAGCAGAGACATCTTTTAGAAACGCACTGTCAATCAAAGAAAGCATTAATAGAGAGAATCCAATATAATTATCTGATAAATCCTAGTACCAGCTTAGAGAAGTACTTTCTTGGATTTACTATTACCTCAGGAAACCCACTTTCAGATACCTGAGGTTGTTTCCAAATTAATTATCTTTTTAAAATAGTCATATATGTTTGCTTTTCCCCTAGCTTCTCCCACTCAAACTACCCCTTCACCAAGTAACAATGTCCTCAAAGAATCAGTCTACTATGTTGGTGTCAGCCTAGAATGATGCCCAAGAGGGTTATTTTGTAAACTGGAGTTCAAGACCCTGTTGTAACATCTTTGTATTCTGGGCCTTAGCCTGTTATAGAAATACTATAGAATATGCAATAGAAAATGCTCCGGAAGCAACGAAAGTAGCTGGGAAGGGAGATGAGCCAACAGCTGTGACACACTGCTGAACAAGTTTCTGTCACACTGACAGGACCAGCGGAGGCCACCAGTGCTATAGTCTTCCATTTTTCCTTATCTTTAACTTTCTGTCTCACATACCCCTTGTGTCCTGCAGCACCCTTTTGATCCTTCTACTTTCTAGCCATTAGGTCACTCTCTTTTACAGGGACCAACACTAAGGAGATTTATCCCATTGACTTCCAAGACCATTCTCACTCAACAGCTGAGGTTCTGAGAGAACAGGGGAATCCCAGACTTCCCTTCTCTTGATGTCCTTGACAACAGTTTCCAGCTCTGGTAGTCACCCCCATACCAGCTGTAGTCAGTCTGACTCATGGCTTCTGAAGCAGAGGAGTCAGGAATTTTTCAAAGATGGCTGGTGTATTCCAATGTGTGTTCACAGTGAGGCGGTTCAAAGACAGGGTGGGCGTCAGAGACACCAGTGGACCCCTTGCAACCCAGAAAGCTGGGCTGCATCCAGAAGAGGGTCTGTCAACAGACCTGGAGTGGGGAGGTTGCGCTTCAGAAAGATCCTCAGGTGGTGCTGATGTGCCTGGCCCAGTGACTGCACCTGTGGACCACTGACTGCGAAAGGAAAACACTTTGGCAGCATCAGCTATATCTTCATTGGCCTCACTAGCTTTGGTGTTGAAACAGAAAAAAAAATTTGACTTGTCAAAAACACAATTGAGATGGGATGGGGTAAAACAAAAGACACATACTGTTAGGTTCTAGTTTTTCAAAATATTTTATCCATGAGGTAGGTTTAGTGTGGCCAGTAAAGAAGAACCAGGAAGAAAGGACAGACACTAATTGCAGAGCAGAGGAGCGCCTCTTCCCTCCCTCCCTGCTCCTGGGCCAGCGACAAATGAAAAGCACAGCTTACATCAAAGAAGGTGCCGGCATGCTCCAGAATCAGCTGGTTGGAATCAGGCTTGTTTTTACAGTAGGTGACATACATCTGAAATTTGTCTGCCTAAAAAGAACAGAGACAACAAAAGATAAGCACCCTCTGGGTCCTCCCCGTCTTGGGCAGGTTTATACTGCTGTGATAAAACATCATGGCCAAAAGCAAGTTGGAGAAAAAGGGCTTATTTCATCTTATGGCATGTAGTCCATCATCCATGGAGGTCAGGGTAGGAACTCAAGGCAGGAACCGGGAGGCAGGAACTGACCCAGATGCCATGGAGGGCGCTGCTTACTGGCTTGGTCCTCATAGCTCGCTCAGCCTGCTTTCTTATAGCACCCAGGACAACCAGCCCAGGGATGGGACTGCCCACAGTGAGGTTAGCCCTCCCATATCAATTATCCATCAAGAAAACATCCCCAGGTCTGTCCACAGATCAATTTGATGGGAGCATTTTCTCAATTGAGGTTCCCTCTTCCCAAACGACTGTGGCTTGTGCTAAGCTGACACAAAGCTAGCTGATGTACTTCCTTTCCTCACAATGCCTGAAAGGCCCAGCGTGTGCAGTACAGTGTCTGAATTCAATTCCATATGAAAAGTAGCATGTGTTCTCTCAGCCCGTGGATGCTGTTCTCCTATTGGAATGTAGAACAGGCCTGCTGAATGGAAGCTCAGGCTGTGTCGGAAAGAAAGAAAAATGCTAACATATTATGAAGATGTGAAGAACTTATCAATTACCCTCACTTTAGATCGTCAATAATTACTCTCTCTCTTGAAAAAGAACAAAGGTGATCAAGGCAAATACAACAATAGAGGGAAAAACGAGCGAATAGTCAGAGGGAGGTCCGCTAATATTCCAAATACCTCCAATGGGGGGACTATGGAGCCTGTTCTCACCTCCAACTTCCCACAAGTAATGATGAGGGTGGAGGCGTAAGGAAGGGACATTGCCTCCCCTATTCAGGACTGAACAATGATTCCCAGAGATATTGTTAGCTCAAGCCCCAGACTCATATTTGGGTGAAAAGTCACCTATTTCTCTCATGACCTTAGTTCTCCACTGAAAAAGGTGGATTTTGACAACTAAGTGCTTTTGAACACCTGGCACAGCCTCTCCTGGAGGGAAGTGCACATATGTATTTGCCATACCAGACCTCGTGGTCCTACATGTTAAGTGCATTGCAACACTTGATCCTAAGGTGAGCTTTAGAGCAATTCTTATCTTACCTACGAGCAGACTGTGGCATAGATTGCTTAAGTGACTTTAAATTCTCACAGTTGTAAGTGGTCAAGACCAAAGCAACCAGGATTCTTAGTGTTAACCAATGCCATTCAGCATATTACAAGTGATTCCTTCTACTCTTCATTCCTGGACTGTACTTATATACAGACTGTAAAACATAGGAAAATTTGAAGATGATTCTTGGCAAAAGGTGTGTAATTTACCCAATCACCAGAGGTTTTCTGAAACAATTTTAGGGGCTTTCTACCAGGTAGGAGTTAGTCATAATTACTAAGAGATGACAAACTTACTGTTGATTTCAAAGAGAACCCCAAAATTGCCTGAAGCAACACAAAATAATCCCTTTTTTGATGTTCAACCTGGTTTTTCTCTTTATTGGCTGTGCAAGGGCTCATAAATTATTTTTAATCAGCATTTTTTAGGGGATATTCATCAGCTTACACACTGGCACAAAATAAGATGGCAGCCTAAGACTGTGGAAAAATAGCCGGGCGTTGGTGGCGCACGCCTTTAATCCCAGCACTCGGGAGGCAGAGGCAGGCGGATCTCTGTGAGTTCGAGGCCAGGCTGGACCGATAGCCTCCGAAACAATACAGAGAAACCCTGTCTCATAAAAACCAAAAAAAAAAAAAAAGACTGTGGAAAAATAAAGTATGCTTGGAGGAAAACATTAAGAGTTCATGCACAGAAGGCCTGTCTGGAGGTTGGGCCCTGAGGTGTATGTAGGGTTGGCTGGGCTATTTGTTACATGTCAGTGGGTGTTCTGCCTCTTGTCTGAGATAGACCAAGGTCTGAAATCTAAACCGCATCTACAGTCTTGTCTACTCCAAGCATAAACTCTCTAGACTGTGAAGGAATCCTGTAAAGCCATTTTGGGTACAGACTACCACTCGGTAACAATTACAGAGCAGAATTCCTGGAGGATATGTAGTTGAATTTGGTGTCATAAGTGGACTCCCAGACTTCTCTAAAATCACATCCATGAGTCCGAGCTCAGGATGGTGAGCAATGTGGATGCTACTGAAGTTTACTTTTTCAGTTTAGAAAATTAGAACCCGGTATCTCTTGCCCACAGACGTCACCCATGGCAACAACACGAGAATGAGGACAACTACACACTCGTTCTCTAAGTAAAAATTGGGACGGGGAGTGCAGGAGTGTGTTCTTTATTAAGGAAAACAGTGTAATTGGTAATTGGACAGATGGTGCCTGCCAGTTCTCGCTTCTAAATCTACATCCTGGAAAAGCAACTGGACTGGGCTATCACAAGGGTAGTGGGACTCTCCTACTCTGCTGACATCATCACTTGGGAAATTCTTCGAGAGTCCGGTGTGGATCTTCTAAATCTACATCCTGGAAAAGCAACTGGACTGGGCTATCACAAGGGTAGTGGGACTCTCCTACTCTGCTGACATCATCACTTGGGAAATTCTTCGAGAGTCCGGTGTGGATCCTAGGCTTCATGGGCACCATAGACTTCCCCAGGGCAGGCTCTGCTCTCCAGACCTGTGCCACCTGCCATAGACTTACTAAGGATGTCTCCGTATCACCTGGCCCCAAGAGAGACTGCGAGCAACGACAATCCTTGGCCAGGCATGGAGCAGTGGCTCCAGGTGTACCCCCGGAAACATGAACTGTAGGGGAGGAATTTAGATTGGTTACCCAGGTGACAAAGCAGTGTCCCACATCCTCAGGCAGCTGCTCGTACTTCTCCAGCTCTTTGAGGAAGATGCTGCAAAGGGAGAGAAAGGCCTCATCAGATATCTCAGCATAGAGGACCCCACGCAGAGGGTTGTACTGGGGTCAATACAACAACCATGGCTCAGCCATATATGGATTCTATGTTTGGCAAGCAAGGGGAGGAGCTAACTTTTACAATGGAACTTGTTCGATTAAAATTATGGTAATTGACTAACTAGAGCTATGAAAATAGTTCCCCTCAGAGGTTCAGGAACTGAGATGGAAATAGATAATGGAATACTGTAGCTGTATTAAGCCTTTCATTTTATTAGCAATTCTGAATTCATTGTGTTAATCCAATTACTCTGAGCACATTGTAAATATTTTTTTAAACATAGAAGTATTAAAAAAAAGAATGAACCCAAAGATGAGATGGAAAAAACATTTTAATCCTTTATGGGCCTCTTCATAACTTCCAGTTTTCTTCTTCCACTGAGAGCCAGTACTGTCATATAGATATCATTAGGGAAGACTCTAATGTGGAGGAGAATCTCACTGTATTTTAAAGTGGAATGGACATTGTATATGTCTAAGTCATGTCTCTCTTATATGCTAAAAAACTATAAAGAAATGATTACACCAACTTCAAATCAAGGTATGAAATAATAGTGTTAGACTTAGAAGATATAAGTCCTAACAAGACAGAATTATTGGAATGAAATTTGCTTTTTAAAATGTACTCAAGATCTTTTGAACAAAAAACAATTATGAGGCCTCAAGGAAGCTTACTTCTGCAAGTGGGAAATTATGTAGTCTTTACAAAGAAGAATTTGATAGAATTGAATTTGATAGGATCCTCATAATTTATTTATGTATAAGATGACACATTCTAGAGCACTACTAGTGATACCATTTATAATGGCAAATATGGTCAGTAGAGGACAATATATTTGAGCTATGGCATATTTACAGAACTGAATACTTTGTAGAGGTAACTCCCACAAAAGGTAATACTTATTCTATCTCTTTATATGGAAGATCTCCTTAACAATCAAAGTGGAAACAGTAAGGGGTGGAGCAAATGTATGGAGGCCACGCTACTTCGTGCTGTCTAAGCAGGGAATACACATTCTATTTCCAACCCAGGGAACTAGTAAAACCATTACCATAGCCATCCTAGTGAAGAAACAGGTGGAAGCTCAGACTTCTCAATGCTAACTTTTCTGTGTAATTTTAATTTAAAAATTTCACAAATGCATACTCTAAAAACTAAATTATAATATTTTATACTATCCCACTACTTACCTCCACCATCAGGGGAAAAAAGCTCATTTTGATCTGATTTATTCTGTATGGTTACCGTTATCAATATACTTTGGCAGTTTCTTATAATTCATTATAAAGTTGTTATAAATGTTATACATGTTGTTTGTGTTTTCAGTGATACAGGGAGACATTTTGGTGGTAAAAAATAAGTATGTGTATAATTAAAAAGTATCTGGCAAGCAAGAATATTAATAATCATTAGCAGGATCATGGGTGACTTTTTTCTTCATCAGTCTGTGATTTAAAATTTTGTCCACCATACATGGCAATTTCTAGATTAATAAAATAGGACAGGAATTTAAAAAAATGGGAATCAACCAGAAGAATTTCTTTCTCCTAGTAGGTCTGAATTTTAGAGTTCCTTAAACTAACTCGTAGAGCAAGAACATTTATAGTGCAATTTGGGCTTTAGAAATGCACACACATAGCCTCAAAATCAATACAGTGTCATGTCTACTGCTGCCTTTAAAAGATTGCAGGTGACACATTTCATATGACTTCTAAAATAGAAATAGGAACAAGTCTAAGTGCTGCTAGAACCAAGGATCAAAATTAGCTCAAAGTACAGAGCGAAAGAAATATTTTTGTTGCACTAAGGCAATTAGGCCCATCCTCATGTATATAAGTGAGGAAGTGTTGTCTGTGTGCATGCATGCATGCATGCATGCATGCATGTGTGTGTGTGTGTGTATGTGTGTTATATGTACATTTCTTCTAGTCTCTTGAACTAAGTTCGAATAAACATTTATTGTGTGGTCCCTATCACAGGGGACACAAGACAACACAAGCACAATGTCTTCTGAAGTGACTTTCCACAAAGTGTTGGATAGCCTTTATCAGGTGATTCTACACATTGGCATTTTATATGAATATCAGAGAAGGCGTGGACAGGAACTCAGCTCTGAGCCATGATGGGCTGCACAGTGCTAGGGGAGGGGCTGGAACATCTGGGCCACTAGGTAAAGAAAATCTGAGCTGTCCTGAAACAAGGGACTTATCAAATAAAGTAAGAGCTTTAAAGAGGATGAGCTGGGGGAGGGGAGCTCTCTCTCTCTCTCTCTCTCTCTCTCTCTCTCTCTCTCCTCTCTCTCTCTCTCTGTGTCTGTATGCAAATATGTACACGTATATTTGAGAATCCTTATAAAAGATTGAAGTCCGAGAAAATGACTAAAATATGACACTTGTATGCTTTTTGGGGAAGTAATAGAAGTCTGGGAAGGAATGGATACCTGGATTAAGTGCTAAATTTTAGGGCTGCCAGCAAGGGCTATGGTTGGTGGTGGGAGATATAAATGATCAGTGTCTCTTCATCAGGGTTGGTTTATTGATGGTCATTGCAGATGCATTTACCACTCTCTGATATCCAGCTACTTTCTGGGATTGGTATGTAAAGGACATCCCTCACTCCCTTTTAAAGTCAGTCTCATATATTCAGGGACGGCCAAGGCTGGTCTGGAATACTCCTTCTGCTGGGATGCTGTCACACCTGGCTCCAAATGACAGCTTTAACAGCAGCTGCCAAATACAACAGCAACAACAAAACAGCAGCTGCCATCAGTTTACCATTCTGCTGCTCCCAAGGGTCACTACCTTTGCCTCCTACAACCAAGAGCATGCTAAAGAATCGGAGTTCTCAGTGGCTGTAAGTGTGAGGAAGCTTCCTAAAGTCTCACTTAAAAATGCTAACTTTGTGGAGTTTGGAGAATTTCATAAACTTAGGCAGATAAGGAACCCCATCTACTGTTCAGGCACACAGTAGATACTAAATTAGGAATAGCTCATCAGGGCCAGGGACACTTAACTGTCATAAATCTCTTCTCTCTATAAGCTCACTCTTCCCCACATGTGGGGAGTTATTGATTGGGAATATTCCGCACTAAGCCTTTGCGAAAAATCTATAGCTGGTCACCTTCTCCTAAACCAATCCTGGGAAAATCTTGACATATTCCAAGGTGACCTAATACCCAAGGAAATGCTGGGCTAGTCTTCCTTCTTTACTGTAAGATGCCAGCGATGTGATGTAAGAAGTGGACAGGCACGTGGGGCTTCCCAAGCTTCTCTGCAAGAGCAACGCTGTTGGAGAGAGCAGCAGACCTGTGTCGAGGTGGGCACACCTGGCTCTACACTGCCCTCTGGAGTTCGAATCTGAGAATCTGCATGGCTTAGGAATGCTTCCTGGGTAATTCTAAGGGACCACATCTGGGGCAGCTGTTCTAGAACCCAGTGTGCTTCCAGCTGACAAGTCTTGCAGGAAAGGCTAAAAAGTGGGACAACTCTTGGCTTGTGTTGGACTTTTCAGGTCAGAGGTTTGCAGAAGATATTCACTAAAATCTCAGTGTACGTGGAATAAGAAACTATTTGCTTTTGAAATGTGAAGCTCATGAAGAGGACAGCTTAAGTTAGTATGATCAGTATCACTCCATCTCCTTCTGAGTGTGTTTAAATTACAGCTTAATAGCTGACAACACTCCCACAGATGCCCAACACTCCCCTGGCTGTTCTGCAGCAACATCTTGGCCCTCACCATGTCAGTGATCACTGGTGACAGATTATGGAGGGATAAGCAGAGCTTTTGCATGGTTGCCTGGGGCTCATTTAGAAAGCAATACAGTTCGAAAGGCATACCAAAAACCTAAGCGATGCTATCACCTGTTAAACTATTATGACACAAAGTACTATGCAGAATTTGGAGGACTCCTGGGAAATGGCACTTCAAGCATTATTGATAGAACTTCTCTGAGTTTTGCCTGGGAGCCACCCTGAGCCTCTTCCCATCACTTTGGATTATAGTCTCACTGCCTCTGGGGAAGGGCTCACAGCCCTGCTAGGTAGGCTGGATGTGGCACATCACAGTCGTATGTGCATCCCAGGGAGCCCTTGTGCATACATGTGCACACGCTTGCTGGAACACCAGAAATGGTAAGAAGGGGAAGGTTGTGGCATGGGGTTAAGAGGAACAATGAGGAGTCCTGGTGGAAGCTGGAGTTAAAGGATTCATTACATCCCTGCAGGTTCACAGCCTAGACTCGGAGGCTGCAGGCTGCAGGGACTAAGGGAACAATTACCAGGACAGACGTGAAGGCTGGTCAGGGGCGAGCAAGCAGAGGGAGGAGGTGAGTTATTGACCACAGCTTCCACATGCCTTGGTTACTGAGGCTAACCTTCATTTCACTCTAGAAACTTTAGTCTGGGTGAGGGGATGAGCAGGGAGGCACGGCATCCAATCTCAAACAGGAAAGCAAGCATCGCTGCTGAAGTGCTTTCCAGGACTTCTTCATGTGATTTAGATGAATTGGCCATTTGCTTGCACGAGTTACACCAAGTAATGTTCACATAAGGTAAAGCGTAAAAAAGAGCCGCCATTCAGCGTTACTTAGCTCTAGTACGATGCTGCTTAGCAACAAGGCAAGAGAGTGGCAAAATGTGCGCAACTGAAGTAAACATGACTGTGGCACATCCAAGTTCGAATGCATCTTTGTCTGGGTACTTCAATTGCGCGCAGTCAGTCTCCGTGCTGGAAGCTTCCAGAAAGCAAGAAAAATAGCAGCAAGATCGCAGCCATCCCTCTCTAGGCTCTGCCAAAGGCAGGCAGTTACCCTTAGACTGCAGGACTGGAAAGTTCACAAGTCTTTGCCCTCCCCTTTTCCCTAACATCCGGATATTAATAAAATGACACCTACGTTCTCATCTCTGCTGCTAGTGGGTCTGAGCTGGTCAGAAACATTGTAAGAGGCTGCTTCCCTGAAACATGGGGACAGAACCAGATTATCATTGAAGTCTTCTTAGAGCTTTTCCGTTTGGCCTTTCTGTGATTTCAGGTAAAAGGGATACAATTAATACCACAGGTATCTGGGGTATGTGTGCACGGAAAATGCTCGCTTTAAGCAAGACTGCCTGTGGAAAAAGTCGTGGCAGCCGGCGGGTGGTCCCAGGCGAGACCTGCACAGCCTTTTTCTCTCCACTTGGGGGAGCCAGTGCCTCACCAAAGGTTGTAGGTCAGCCCATTGTGCTTCAAGAAGTAAACCAATGTACTCGTGGCACAAAAGATGAACGACACAGAACCAGACCCAGACACACAAGCACGCTGTCTTCATTTTTTTGAACTGACTTTTTGCCCTCCTCATCCCTTCTCAGAACTTTGTGCTTCTCACCACAGGCCAGAGCCTGGGTTAGACTCACCGCCGGATACAGTTTCATTTCCTACCCGGAAATGGTCTGACCCAAAGAAGAAACTCTAGGAAGGTGATCAAAATACGGTCTTGGTTAGATGTGGCAGCCCACAGCCCTCGGAAGGCAGAGGCAGGGGGACTGCTGTGAGTTTGAGGCTGGCCTGGTTTTATAGTGAGTTTCAGACCATCCAGGGTACATAATGAGATTTTGTCTTTTATAAACAGCAGTCAGCACTTAGCAGTTGTCTTGGCATAACCCCTGCTGGGTAACCTGACTGTTCCTGGCTGACCCTGGCCTGGACAAACATAGCTTCCCGACATGCCTACAGGGAAGGAGAGCAGTGCATGGCGGAGAGGAGGGAGAGTCGGAGCTCCTGGCCCCCAAACTTGCCCTTTCTGAAAAGAGATTTTTTTCTAGGTTATTACTGTAGAGGTATGGGACCCAACTGACACAGTTGTAGAATAAATAGGTGGAGATGTGGAGATGTTCCTTAAATGGCTAACTGTGAATTAAACTGGTTGGATTTGATGGCCACACTGGGCAGCGAGCATGATCGTGTCTAAGGAGTGGGGGAAGACTGAAGAGATCGTTAACTCCATGGAATCCAGTCTGATCTTGCGGGGAGTGTGGGTCCTCACAGTACAGACTGCATAAAGATGTTATTTTCAAACTCATATGAATATGACTAAATCTCCAAGTCACTAAAAAGGAAGAAACAGAGCAGGAATTTAACTGAAGGAGGAGTATTTTAACAAAAAGCTGTCATTATCGAAGTTGAATATCTAACAAGAAAAAGAAAAAACAATTATTTTTTTAATTGCAAATTTTAGATTAGGCAAAACTTTACTCTTTGGAGGATCTATTTATAGGATGCGCTCTTTTTTCTAAGTGTTCCAGGAAGGCCTAGCAATGGAAATAGGCGTTAAGTCCTGTGAAGACAGTGCAGCCATTATCTTTTATTTAGCTGTAGAAGAAGGAAATAAAGTGTGGTAGGAGAGTAGAGGGCAAGGCTCCCACCCACTTCATCTTCTGATTGGGGGGAAACAGGGAAAGTAAAATCTCCCTACCTAACATCCACAAAGACAAAGGTTCTTGAGACAGATGCCACCTGTAGAACACACGCACAGCTCATCTTGGTGGCCATTTTTCAGAGACACCGTTTTAGATGGATCAGTAGTAACTGGCCGAAATGTAATGTAGCCACCATACAACCTTTGATCTAGGTATCAATTTCTCAGTGACACAGCTAATTATGTCACTAAGGTGGGGATGACCACTGTCAATCCCTTCCTCTGGATTAGTCTCCCGCAGTCCTCCCTTCTTCCCTACCTCCCCCACTCCCTGGACTACAGGTGGATGGCCTGGACTGCAGACCAGCCACAAAGGGATCTGCTTCTCTGATAGATAGCACTGGATTGCTGTTGAAAACATGAACAAATGCATTAAGCAGAGCCCCGGACACATTCAGGTTAAAATCCCGATGGCTTCAGAGAAGCACCGTATCCCTAAAGAGTAAATAAATAGGTGCGATGGCAACCACATGTCTTCCTGCGAAGAAGCTCCCAGGAAACCCTTCATTCAGAAATCCCATTATTTTGTTGTTCTAGGAGGCTCTGGTAGTAATGCTGAGGGAAAGTCTTATACAGGAGCTTTTCTCTGTCCTGAGATGCTCACAAGCAACCAGTCAGTTATGATTTGAATGACATTAGCTACAAGTTTGCAAGATGCAATTTTACTTTTTAGCCCATTCATTCACCCATCTATCCATCCATCCATCCATCCATCCATCCATCCATCCATCCATCCATCTATCCACCCATCTTTCCACCCACCCTGCAAAATTTACTGTAAGTTTATTTGGTACCAGGTTCATGGTACCAGGCATTGGATATACAGAGAATGCTATGGTTCTCCTTAGTTTATAGTCATTGTGTTTTCTAAGTCTGGCCAATTACCATTTATCCTTATTTATTAGACATTTTGGAATTAGTATATTTTCTCTACTAATCCAAACCTGTGTAGCTTAAGTGGAAAGAATACAGTACAGTGAATGCCATTCCACAGTTTGATATACTTGGATGTTCCTTTGAATTGTTGATAACTTAAAGCATTAATTTATTTTAGTCAGTAGCCTTCTAAATCCATTACAGAGTCCCTTGATTTAAATGTAGATATACAGTAATACAGCATTATTACTTGTATCAATTATTATGTCACACGGCAATACAGTGGCTTTCCTGACCAGATAGTAGAATACAGGCTGTCCTTGACCACGATGATGTCCTAAGCTGGCCTTGCACCTTCCATCCCCCCTGCTTCAGTCTCCTGAGTGCTGGGATCACAGGCATGTGCCACTACCCTCTGCTTACATGTTTGCTTTCATTGTCTTTTCCTTTTCTGCCACTGTCTTCTTTCTCCCAAGTTTTACAAGATGCTGCTCACCCAACTACTCATCTGTTCATGTGCCTGATTTTTATATCTTACGCATTCTGATTTACTATCTTCTGGGAAACTATATGACCATGAGGTGAAGAGGCTGGTGGGAGGACAAAGAGCTGCTGTGATGGAAAGAAAGATGTGACATTGTCTAGTTGCCCGGGCGCTGCTTTTCACATTCATCTGGTTCTTTACAGCACTCTGAATAGGTAACGTGCTTGGCAGTGCTGCTGGGAAGTGTCTAGTTTCTCCATCCACAGAGTGCAGATTTCATATGGTTTAATTTGAATTTAGAAAGAATTTGTTAGAACTACATTTTGTAAGTTATAGGTAGGATTACAGCTATTTAGAGAACTATAAAGCCATTGGTGACACCCTGAAATTGGAATAAGAAGCAGAGCTGAGTTAGATATTTTGTTTTTAACTGTTCAATTTTAAAGTGAATATTCTTTCCCCTTGACTTCACAAAAGCAGAGTTCACAGTCAGTGCGTGCCGTGGTGTGAAGATGTCCATATTTAGCTGGTGTAGTTGTGAGATTTGTTAATGACATCCAAAGGCCATAGTCACGCAAATAAAGTGATGCAATTCACTGTTTGCCAGTCTGATGTCTTCTCAGATATCCTGGAGGAGACAGGGTGATATTGAGCTGGGCTCAGATGATAGATAGGGGCCAATGGTCAAGAACAGATTTATTCAGTCTTATTAATGACTGTCATGAAGACAAAATACTGTGTATGGAGACTGCCAGGAAAACCAAATAGGGATGTTTATGATGAAAAAAAAACAGGAGTGGGAATTTTTATCAATACTCTAAAAAGTCAGAACACATGCTCCTCCAGCCCCGAGTTTCCTGATGATTAGCATGTGGTGGGCACTAAACGGATACCTTGACAGGGATGAGCCATCACAGCAGGTACTCTCCATCCCTTTCAGAGTCTAAGATTCTTTCACACCAACTCTTGTTTGCCTGGAGGTCATTCTTAGAATAGAGCCAATTTTATTTTCTAGAGTGGGATTGTCCAATATGGCAGGCAATTATCACTCAAGACTATGTAAATGTATTGAAAATAAGAACAATACAAGCGGAGGTCCTTAGCAGGTCAGTGGCTGCATGCACGCACTTCTGGTTAATGTGTTGGACAGTGCATTACTGACTGCCCACCGCTGTAGACAGCACCCTGGACAGAGGCATCCAGCCTCAGGACGGCTTGCCTACGGGTGCAATATGATCAGCCTCAGGACGGCTCTCTACCTGTGCACTTGGTATTTTTGGGACTTGCAAAGCTGGCTTTGTTTTTTCCAGAGTTTCTGTCTCAGCTTACTTATCAAGCCCCAGAACTAGCCCCACTCAGTTTTCTCTGCTGCAGACTCCTGAAGACTCCTGCTCAAGGACTTAGTGTCACATTTCTCCCTGTATCTCAAGATTCTCTCCACTTGAATGTTAAAAACTGAGTTATTTTTACCAGTTGAGGGTAAGGATGATGGGAAAGTCAGGAATGGAGGAAAGGTGAATAGAATTTGAACCAAGCGCCCACAAAGAGAGGATGGTTAGTCCCAAGTGAATGGTGAAGTCAGGGTTCCCCATTCTTGGGCGCGAAGCCACTCTTGCTACCTCGGTGCTCTGGTAACCATGCTAACTGAGCAAATGAGGATGCTGTCTGCTCTTTGTGAGAACTGGAAAAGGGGATGTAGAACAATCACTTCTCATTCCACTAAGAGTTTTGTACAATTGTGGAGACAGAGTAAACAAGAAACTAACTACAAGATCTGACCGAATGAGGAAGACTGTGTCAGGTAAAACAGAAGGCTTTGATCCACTTGGCAGGCAGCCCAGTGCCTGGCATTTACATTCTCAGTGTGCTCAATGGAACCCCCCAACAACATACTTGTTATGGAAGTCGTAGATCTCCTGGATGTTGCCAAAGATGATGTGCTCTTTATTGAGGATCCCAGGGGGTATCTCCTCCACGCCACTGGTCATTTCCCACAGGTAGGTCTGTAAGACAGTAACTGATTCATCACTGGCAAGCATGCCACAAGAAACTGAGACAAGAGAGGACCCTTAACCATGTGAGGCAAGAATAGAACTGTGATTGCACATGGAGTTCAAAAGGCAAAGTGTTTAACAAGTGCAACAGAAAGAGAGAAAACCTGGCCACTCCATCACTCTGAACCTCAGCGCAGCCAGCCACCAGTCTTGTTATTTATTAAATCTGTGTCATGGCTTGTATTCTGAAATGAAGTGCCTGACCTGCTCCCCCCAACCCCCTTTATGGTCTGGGTCTGGCTCCACTGGAGAGAAGTGCAGACCTTCTTTGCAAAAGCACTTCACACTCTGTGCACTCGCACTCGACTTTGGAAGACCTCCCCAGCTGCCTTTTTACTTTCTAGCAGAATGGCAGGAGCCCTGGGTGGCTCTCAAGGACTTGACAAGGGCCAGCACGCCACTTCTGTACTGGAGCTGGAGACTGATCGCTGCAAGACTTACCTCCAAGCACTCATGTAGGTCCCTTACATAAGCCTTCTCTGTTTGGAGCAGCTCAGCCATAATGAATCTAGGAGGAGACAAATGGGCTTTCAGTTGCTTCTACACACACTGCCTCCTTTCCAACTCCACTTCCTCACCGCGGCACTAGTGACACTGGAGTGTCCCATTTCCCACATTACCGATAAAGCTCTTCCCTATCCCGAGTCACTCTCACCCTGGTCATTTGCTCTCCATCCATTCTCCATGCCTGTGCTCAGCTGGTTCCACTCCCTGGAGCTTTTCCACTCATTTCTACAGTGCTGCTACGCGTGTGCTGTCAACTGTATGTGTGCGCAGGCATGTGTGTACAAGATACGGGACTGCTTACACGGGAGCTCAGCAGCTAACCAGTCTGAACTCCAGTTTTCTACATCTCCCTTACAGCTCCCAGGATGCTATCCAGTCAGTAGTTTATAGACTTACACTGAAATAGTTCAGTACTCAAATTAAACAGGTTCCAAGTCAGGCAGAGATGGCTAACAAATCACTGGGCTCAGGACTTTACAAGAGTTTTGTGTTAAGAACCAGGTTACATTTATGGGCTGTTCAGTCTCTGGCATAACCACCCATCACAGCCGCTATAACAAGAGAAGCACCACAGAGATAAGTGCAGATGTGTTCCAACAAAACCAGGCCACTGAAAGTCTTACATGTCCCCACACGTAGTCTCTGTTTGATTTCTTCAACTAGTTAGTATTAAGAATCATTTTTAGATTATAGATTATATAAAACAGAGGGTGAGTGAAGTTTGAGCTGTGGGCCACACGTTGCTGGTCTCTGACCATGGCACGTTTTATTCAGTATTTAGGCAGTATCTCCAGTGAGTTCATTTGCATCACAAATCTATGCACTCAAAACTGGCATGCTCAATATTAGTTCATGTTAAGTGACGGATGCTTTTTGATGCTCTTCAGGCTCCTGGGAACAGAAGTTTATACCCCCTCCCATACAACAGGGTTTCTCTGTGTAGTCCTGGCTATCTTGAAACTCAGTCTGTAAACCAGGCTGGCCTTGAACTCAGAGATCTACCAGCTTCTGTCTCTTGAGTGCTGGGACTAACAGCATGCACCATCATCACCTGGCTGTGCTTTGTGTCTTTAAGGAAAGGACTCCCTCCTTGGACCCCTAAATAACATAATGGACTTGAGCATGTATGATGCATGGATTCATTATTGTGCATCTATTTTTCCTTTTTCTTTCCATAATTTTTATTAGATAGTGCTTGTTAGCTGGTATAAAATAACCTAATTTAGTACAAACTATATATTTACACATTATATTACATTTTCAGTATCAGTTTTTCATACAGTTCATGCCGAGAACTCCTGTTTCAAGTGTTCTATCACATGAAAAATTTGAGAGACTACATCCCCAAGGAGTGTCCTTTTGAAAACATGACCAGAAATCCTGTGTGGAGAGCATCTTTCTGGGGATCTTCATCTTGGTGGGCTTTTCCCTAAGGCAAAGAATCACTCTAATAGTGGATTTCTATTAAAGACTTCACTTTTGCAGAAGTCAATTAGCCACTCTCTTCTTATTCTTCCTCTGTTGGTAGAGTGGAAAGTGTGTGAATATCGGAGTTAGACAAATAGGAACTGAATTACAAATCTGTCAGTCACTGGAAGACAGACCCAATTCTCCAGACCTCAGGACTTCTTATCTATAACATAGCTGATCACCCAGGATTGCTGCAAGGATTGAGTATGAGAAAATTGTCTGGTGCATAGGATCCTGGGAAATACTCAGAGGTTGGGTCTGTAGGCTGCTATGAAATCAGGGAGGATCTGAAGGAGCACAGCTGGCATTGGGAAGACATCTTAGGGTTTTGCATTGGCTTTTGCTTCTTCTTGTTCTTTCTCTCCTACCTGATTCCTCTATGTTAACCTTTACAATGCACACCTCCATTCTCTCCCTTGTCCCAGAAAGAGTCTAGGAGGGCCAGCCAAATACAATCTTCTCCTTGGCTTCTCTGTCATGGCTTAAATTGTGTCCCTCAGAATCAGTATATTCAAATCCCATCTCCCCACTCCTCAATTCTTGACTTTCTTTGGAAATAATCATTACAGCACAGAGGTCTCAATCCAACATGGCCAGTGTCCTTACAGAAAGGGAGATTTGCACATAGGCATAAATATTCAGGAATAATGTCACATGAATGTGAACATTCCAGAACAAATTAGGGGAGAGGCCTGGAGCAGTTATTTTCCCCCTTTACTCTCAGAGAGAACTGAACCTTGCACTCCTTGGTTTTAGCTTTCTGGCTTCCAGGACGAGTTATATTTCTGTTGGTGAAGTCACTCAAGTTGTGGTACTTTGTCATGCAGCTCTACAAACCAATACAACTTCACATGAAAGACACTTCTGACTTCACAGACCAGCTCTTGTTTCTTCAGTCCTAAGGAAGCTGTGGCCCCCCTTTTTTATTTGAATAAAATTAACTACTTAATTCCAGACATGCTAATTTCTTTCTAGCATCACTCAGAATATAATAAAATATTCTTCATAAAGCTCCTCCCATGATCTCTGCATGTGTGATTTTTGTAACCTCAGCTTAAAGAAAGTCAAGGACTAAGGTGTTGTAAGTTGACAGAGCTCATTCTTCCCATGTTCAAGGCCCTGTGATTCTTGAATGTGAAATGTGGGTCAATAACCTCTTCCTAACCAACCAACCCCAACAGCAATGTGTTCTTCCCAGCTGAGGGCAAGATTCACTGAGAATGTATTTTAGGATCCCTGTGGGTGCCCCAATCTGCAATTGTTCAGGTTCCTTCTATAAAATGGCATAGTATCTGCATATAACTTACACCCCCCATACACTTTAAATAACTTCTAGATTACTTATAATACCCAAGACAGTGTAAGTGCCACACAAACAATTGCTACATTATACTGTTTAGGAAATAATAACAGAAAAAGAGTCTGTGCATGTTCAGTACAGGCATATTTTTTCCTGAATATTTCTAATCCAGGGCTAGTTAAATAGGAGGATGTGGGACTCATGAATATAAAGGGCTGGGTGAACTTGGAGAATGGAGCAGGACTATAATAATAAATTGGTCCCAGTTCTCTAAATGGATTCTGGCCCTAGCCATTCTTATTGAGAAAAATAGGATTTGATATATGGAACTCTCAGACCACTTCAGATTCTTCCATAATGTTCGGATTTTAGCATTCTCTAACTATCTCACCTGCCTCTTATCCATATGGACCAGCTGTGACACAGAAGTAAACTTAGGTCTCAACTTCACCTCTGACCTCTACGATTCACTCTTGGGGCCAATTTCAAAGTACATATTCCTTTCCATTTAAAATACTATTCATCAGGCAGAGATTGAAATCCAAATATAAACCAGATGCAGGGGTGGGGGAAGAGAAACGTTGGAATCCCTCCCATGGCACCTTACTTTCTTCTGGCCCAAACACATCTCCAAAATTCAAGTAAGAAAACTGAAGGTATCAACTGTTTTTCCTTCCTTCCTTTCCTCCCTCCTTATTTTTTAAATTTCTTTTTTGATATAGGATCTCACTACATAACTCAGACTGCCCCTGGAACTGACAGTCTTCCTGTCTTAACCCCCTGAATGCTGGCGTGAGAGTTATGTGTCACTGTATTCAGCTATTGGCTTTATTTGTTATGCAGTTTTGGATCCCTTCCTATCCCTCAACTAAGGTTTCAGTTTCCATGTCCAACAATATCCCACAAACTTCTCTTTGTTGGTTGTGGTATTCCCGTTACTATGGAAACCATTGGTTCATATAAGAGAGGATAAAACACTCCCTGTCACCAAAGAGTTCCTAATCTAGTTAGTGAGACATGGCCACAGGTTAAGTAAAAGAAGTACAGATGTTCAGAAGGGGACGAGGGCAGTGAGGACGCAGGTAAGGAAGGGTTCACGGAAGCATATGGCCATGAATGGATTTTAAAGAATCCATAGAGTTGAAGGGAGGCAAATAAAACCAGAGCTGGGGTGGGGGTGGGGGGGAGAAAACCAAACCAAACCAAACACTGCATGAACAACTGCATTCAGCATTGTTGATGCTGAGGGCGTTAATGACCCTGACCTGTCTAAAGTGTGTCACTGAACTGGGAAGCACTCTGAAATAAAACTGACTTAGGTGGGGCCAGGCGGTGGTACCTTGAGGTGTCTGATTGTTATTCAGAAGGGAATAAGAAGCCACTTGAGATGTGTGTGAAGCAGTTTGGTTTGGTTACTGTTGAGTTCTGACACTGTGAAGTAAAATTGGATGGTCTACGGGGTAGGTGCTCCCTGGGGAGCCCCTACTACATAAAGAGCACTTGGTTAGAGTAGAGAATGGAGAGGCTGAGTGATCTCCAGTAAGTGTCCATTCCAACACTGCAGGTAGACAAGATGACACATTAAGCTGTCACAGGGGATGGGTAGCAGGGGAAAGTAAGGGGTGTCTGCTAGCTGTACTGGGAGCCCCCACTCAGCCCTTCCCTTACCCCTGCCCCTCCCGACCCTCCCCTACATACTCCTTCTTCCGAGCTGACTTCCGTTTCTCTTCATTGACCTCATGGCTAGCATCCCGGAGCTTAACCTCACGATCCGAAAGGCTTGCTGGGATGATGTCCAGTTCTAGGTCCTTGTTATCCTGCATGAGAAGTGTCACAGAGGTCACCTTGGGGAAGCCTTAGGAAAGCCTCTCAAATGAATTGGGGGAAGTGGTGAAAACAGCTTCATGGAGGATGACAAAGGGGGGTCCTATAAGGGCCCAGTCACAAGCCTTCGTCATAGGGTAATTCTTCTATTCAAGTAAAGAAGGGTTAGGATGTTCTGACCAAATATTTAGTGCTTCTATCTGTAGCTACAGGCAATGTGTATCTGTTTTCCAGGCCTCTGGTCTTGATTAAATCTAAACATACATTAGGCTAGAATTGGTTCTTCATCAATAAAATAAATGTGAAACAGAAATACAGGAAAACACTGAAAACCTCTCATTTGTCAAGAGAAAATAAACTGTTTTTTATTTAAACAAGCAGTTTGCTGTGGAAACAGGAACAGAATACCTGATCAGTGACTGAACCCTGTAATTGCTTATCCCTGCTTGTTTAAGCCATCTTCGGTATTATGTATGATAGGACCCACAAAAACAAAAAACAAAAAACAAAAACCAAACCCTCATTGTCTGGGGGAGACAATACAAGCCTCAAATTTTAGTGGTTTGACCACTTTACCCAAGGCTGCTCTGCCTCAGAGCATGGGGGTGTTTAAAGATATATGAATTAGAGCCCCTAGGATTAAATGCCAGGCTGGATTTAGCTTTTAATTCATAGGTTACTGACCTCTATTATAAAAAAGAGATTAAAAGTCAGTCTTTCTTTGCTTCATGGCACTTAGTACCTTCTTTCAGTTGAAGTGGCAAACAGCCTTCACACAAACTGTGCCCCGCATTTCTGAGAATCATTCACATACATGCAGGGGGCTCTAATGTTGGCTCATTAGCATAATTGGTTAGATGATTGTACTGATGAGACTAAAATAAAGGGTTCAGTCCTCAGAGCGAACAGGTTAACTTCACAGAAAAAATACTCTGCTTTGTATTCATAGTTCTGGCTTGTGGCTAGCCAGTTCTGCAGTACATAGAACATTAATCATGGGTGTGTGTGTTGGGGTGGGCTAGAGATGAATGGGTCAGTAAGGTCCCCCTAAACCTATTTAAAATGCACGAGGTTCATAGGGTCCACAGCTCCAAAGGACTGCCTGGGAAACATGCTCCCTCAATGGCGATGAGGAGAAGGGAGGAGCTCCGGTACCCAGCACTTGATACACACCTCTGTGTTGACTCCTAGGGCTTTCTCCAGGGTGTAGCGGTACTTCCCCATCCTCAGGGAGAAATCTCGATAGTGCTTGTCCACCGTGGTCACCCATTTCCTTATCTCTGTGGCATGGATGTGGCCCTTTTCCACAAAGCTGTCTGCGAGCTGGATCAGAAGCTTCACCTTCTCTTTTGTTTGCTGTCCCAAGAGATGGCCTAACATTACTGGATCACATCATCCTCAGGCTCCTCTGCACAAAGACCCCCTCTGCTCTGCATGGCCGGCATAGGTACCTCTCAGCTGATAAATGGGTTTGAATGGCAGCTTTGTCACTAACCTTTTGGGTGGCCTAGAGCAAATTATTTAAAACTCCTGTGCTCTGTCACAAAATAGGAATAGCACCTGCTTCATGAAGTTATTGCAAACATTAATGGTCAACAATGCCTACTGCCTAGAACATGCCTGGAATATAGCAGGTGCTCACAGGGGCCATGTAAGAACCTGTGCAATGGAACAATGTCTTCCAGGCATGATGTGGCCGTACCCTCTTGGACTGCCAGCATTATTGTCACTTAAAGGACAACTGTGCAAGATTGGGCCTATTGACTTTCTCTTCCCAAGGATTTTAGGCAGTCACAGGTTATTTGGGGGATGGACTCACAAGGCCATGCCAATTCCAAAAGATATATAAGCAGTTACTAGTTGCTGGAGTCAGTGACACGTCCTTCACTTGTGTAGTGGCTTGGAAGTTTCCCATGCTTCTGTAAGTAACTCCTCAATGTTCCTATTGAGAAGAACTGTTTCTTTGGTCTGCCTTTCTGGTGCCTTATCTGGGTGAGAAGGCATTTGTTCATGTGTCCATAAAAGGTTCATACAACAGGTTAAGTCAGAAATGTTAGCCATTGCTGTTGGTGTGAGGTTCTCTTATATTAATACAGTGATTTAGTGACTTAGAGAACATGTTATGGTCACACCCGAGACTCAACATGGGTATCAGTTGGGAGGCCAGGGCAGTTTATGGGGCCTTTGGGAGTGGATCAGTATTTATCCCTAGTATAGGAATGGACTTTGGGAGCCCATTCCCTATGGAGGGATACTCTCTCAGCCTAGATACATGGGGAGGGCCTAGGCCCTGCCCCAATTGATGTGACAGACTTTGATGATCCCTCATGGGAGGTCTCACCCTCCCTGGGGAGTAGATAGGGGTAGGATGGTGGATTGGTGGGGAGCATAGGAGGACAGGAGGGAGAAGGAATTGAGATTGGTACGTAAAATAAGATTGTTTTTAATTTAAATAAAAAACTATAAAAAATAAAATAAAACATCCTTAGGAAGCATGCAGGGAGAGATGACAAGTGTCTCTGAGCCAGATGCAACAACCCGAGGTTCAGCTTTTAGAGCTGGTCCAGATCCACACCACCAACAGTGGCAGCAGCACTGGCCTCTGATCCTTTGTTGCCGGTTCCTGCCCATCTCTGGACCCGAGGGCGGGCACCAGACATCATGTAAGCCAGCACGGGCTAGGATCTGATGAACCTAACTACAGACTTCTGTCTGCTTTACTATGAGAGTTAACTGTTTCTGTTCGAGGGAGACAAAGGGGTTAATGCCTTAGCCTGTGGCAGGGCTAAGCAGCCAAAGGTCTGACGTGTATTTTGTTAACTTCATTTGTTGCAAGAATCTGCTCAGCATTTCCCTCATCTACAGTCCTCTGTAGAGAGCTACAGGTTGGACTTGGGGGTAAACAAATGGAGAAATAATTTTAAAAAATTCATTTGCCCCTATCTGAAATTTCCAGAGGGGACAAAATTTTCATATAAAATAGTTGACGGCTTGGGGCATCATGTAATTGAATGTCAAAGTGAGAGGTGTGTGACAACAGAGGGACCTTACCACAGAGAAGGTAAAGGCAGAGCTGCTGGGTGAGGCAGGGGACTGGAAGTGATGATTGTAGCAAACGCCTGCTCATCTTTCAGGGTGAGTTTGAGTTTTGAAACTAAAATTTGAAAAATCTTTTTTTTGTTGTTTTTGTTTGCCTTTTTTTTTTGAGACAGGGTTTCCCTGTAGCTTTAGAGCCTGTCCTGGAACTCACTCTGTAGACCAGGCTGACCTCAAATTCACAGAGATCTGCCTGCCTATGCCCTCCGGAGCGCTGGGATTAAAGAGGTGCAACACCACTACCGGGCTGAGAAATCTTAAGGAAAATGAAGTAACGTTTAAATAATATGCTACAAGGAAAATGTTAAGCAAATGAAGTCCAAAATTTGGGCCATGCTACAATCTAGAAAACCCAGGCAGGAAAGTCACGAGAGGTGCAGCTGAAAAGACAGTGGATCTTTCCCATCGTGCAAGATGGCAAATGAAGTAGCTGGTAGGTGGGGCGCCAAGGAAAAGAAACCTGCAGCCAGGAAAGCTGGCACCACAGTCACAGCTGAAAAGGGTGACCCTAAGGTGAAAGGCTCCCGACGGGGAAGCGCTGTCCTGGTTAGGGGAACTGGTAGATACTACCCTCCTGCTGTGTGTTCCAGAAAGTTCCAGCACAAGAGGAAGTACTCAGCTGCTAAGTCCAGGACTGAAACATGGAAAACGAAAGGAAGAGTCTAGTTACTGTCACCAAAAAACTGTCTAGTCCTGACAAGCAAGCTGGTAGCCATGTAGTGAAGCTTTGCAGGATGCCCAGATATCCCACTGAAGGTATGCATGGAAGCTGCTGGGCCATAGCAGAAGCCCTTGACCAGTGTGTGAGCCAGGAGCACCATCAGTACTCTGGGACCATCCTTGAGGAGCACCACAGGAGCAGAAGGGTGGCTTTCCTTATGGTGCGCAGAGGCTTGCTACTTGTAACTGGACCTTCCCCCTCAACTGAGCTCCTCTATATAGAACACATGAGAAACTTGTCATCGTCGCCTCCGTAAGAATTGGTATCAGCAGGGTGAAATTCCCAAACACACAGACGTCACTTCAATATTCAGCCACAGCAGCCCAGACAGTTGGACGATGAGATAGATCTTCACCACAGAAGGAGAAATATGAGGTTACAGAACAGCACAAGATTGATGTTCTGCTTGGCAAGTTTTGCCAAAGATCAAAGCTATTCCTCAGCTCTTGGACTCCATGTAATCCATTTTCTCCCTAACAAATGGAATTTACCCTGACAAATTAGTGTTCCAAACTTCTTACCAAGAATTTAAGCAAACAATTGATTCATTACAACAAAGCAAACAAAAGAAGGCAGCAGAGTCTATTTATTCCACCACTTTTGTCCCCTAGCCGTTCTAACTCACATGCCCCTTTCCAGGCTCTCCCACACCCCCTCCTCCCAAGAGAGAGATGTACGAGAGGGGAGCAGAGCTCTAGACCTGATGCATGGCCAGGGACACAACACAATCAGCCTCTCCCTTTTCAGCACGGCGGGCTGGCCAGGGGCTGAGAGTCCAGGGCTATAAGGTCTTTTGAATGGAAGAATGAATAGAAGAGAAGAGGCAGGTGTGAGGGTTAGAGGAATATCTCTCCACCACGAACCGCTAACAGTAACTCCACCAGGAACCGGCTAAGACGGAGAAACCTGGGATCCTGAAGACATGTGTATCATTTCTTTTAGGATTTTTATCTTTTCCCTGAGGTGTGTGTGGAAGATTTTTTTTTTGGTTTGTTATTTTCTTAAAAGACCATAATTTTTGTTCTGATATTCAAGAAACCCCCTTTATGTAAAGGTCTTAGAGGAAACTACACTCTGCTCCTGGCAAGGTGACCCCACTTCAGATGGTGTCTGCAGCCGGGTAGTGGCCATTTTGCAAGTGGAACCTGAATCTGAAGGGGCAGCAAAGCTGACTCGGACCAATAAGGAGAAACTGGTGACTAATGTTACTTTATGTCCTCAAGGAAGCAGGGGAACAGACAGTCAACAGTGTGGTCAAGCATGTGTTTCGTAAAATTGCTTATGTGTTGTATTCAGTGGGCCTGAACCTCTCTAAAAGCTGAGTGAATATCTTCCTCATCTGTCCATCTTCACTGTCTAGAAAAGAAAAAGCACACTGTAAGAGGTGAATGCAGGGGTGAGTGACTGAACGCTAAATCCAGAGGTGAGCAAAGCTGAGGTCAAACAGCCCAATGGACATCAACCATGGCCGTGGCCCACAGAATGCAATCTGAAACCATGTGACCTGTCACGTTCCCGGCTGCAGCTAATGACAGCAAAGGCAAAAACTTGTCTGCCAGGACAGCCCACCAGTAGGTGGCCAGTCACTTTTCAAGTGTCCTGGCTTTAAACGTCTATTTAAATGGACATCGATGGCATGATGACTCAGCTGAGGGCGTTTCTCTGGAGATTTGAACTACAGGGACAGGGATCAGGTGGTGGTTTCAGAGTCATGAAACCACAGAAGAAAGGCAGGGCAAGTAGAGAGTAGGAACACCCCAGGCAGAAACAGGAGAGCCACTTGAGCTGGGTGGGGGTGGTGTGTGTGTGTGTGTGTGTGTGTGTGTGTGTGTGTGTGTGTGTGTGTGTGCCAGCATGGGTAGCACAGTGGGACTCCTCCGTCACACTCCTCCAGACTGATGAAGACGCAGGGCACTAGAACCTGCCTACACTGCCGGGAAGCTGCTTCGGAATAGAAAGCACCTCCAAATGAAACAGAGGGGCGCTGTATGACCCAACCACTGCACTCCCATGTATACATATAAGAGAACTGAGAAGAATATGCTCACACAAAACTTGTATGCAGTGCTAATATAATGCTATTTAAAAACTATTATTCATGTGATAAACAGTAGTAAATATCCATCTGATAAGTGATAAAGCTATGTCTGTGCAATGAAATATTATTTAGTCATCAAAAGGGAAGAGGGATACTGAAAACTGGCTAGGGGAAAGAAGCTAGATGGAGGATTACACATTGAATGATTCTGTCTATAGGAAATGTACGGCAGGGCACATGCCTGAGGAGAGACAGGGATGGGGAGTTGCTCCTAATGTATAACTCCTGAGCTCCACTCAGATGTGGCAATGCTTATAAAACTTGTGAATGTACTAAATAAACAATGGGTCGTAAAAAGAAAAAAGTCTAAAAGCAATTTTGCTTTTAGGAGAAACAGAATTGTGTCTGATGCTGAGATGCTCAGCTTCCCTGTCATCAAGGGCTGGTTCCCTCTAAGTTTTAGACAATAAACAGTATCATTTGTATTTTTCCAGCTAGACTGCCTTTTAGGCATACCACAATGCACAATTGTGTGTCCTTACCCTTGCCAAATCCTTATCTCATTTTATTCTTATATTTGAAGGTTTTCATATAAAATTGCTTTTCTATATTCAGTGTTTCTTCTCCTTGATCTCTTTTTTTTGGAGCAGAGTATAATAACTCAGTATAACCTGTTGCACTATTCAATTGTGAGGGCCACCATACTTCTTCTCTGTCATTCAAGGTCAGTTTGCTTTTTATACCAAATTTTCATTTCACTGGTTATAAAGACTAAAAGCCAGAGCTGACTGGTTACAAGAGGTTTGCCTCTGGGGAGTTGGCTGAGGTGAGGCAGAGGCTTCAGGTACAGGTTCCTCAGCTGGGCTATTACCCAGTAGATGCTCTGACACTAATAACTCTGAGATTGAGACCATGCTGGCTAGGAACACAGTAACCACTAACAGACACAGCTCAGCTGGGAGGAAGATGGGAAATGAGGAGCCAAGCTAGAAAGCCATGCTAACATAGACTCCAGTGTAGTAGTTCTGAAATCTCTCCAAGATTCCTAATGTTCATATATGTGTGTGTGACCTCCCTTGAATGCATCAGCTGCATCAGGTAACCCGGGGAACATGAGGTGAATAAAGGGGGTTCTCGCCTTCAGGGATATTGCAGGAGACAGCCCTGCACAAAGACTCCTTGAGCTATCCAGGGTCACACTGGTGACATCACTGCACAAAGACTCCTGGGAAAATCATGGCCTGTGCCAGCAGCCTGAAGGTTACACAGATAGGGGCTCCAAGTGCAGCAGGGGAGATCCCTGTGGTATTCAGCAGGTCGGTAGGACCACAGAAGGGGTGGCACACAAGCTAGAGAGAAGGGACACTATTTTAGGTGGAGAACTTGTATGGAAACGGCAGGGAGACAAACGGAGCCCTTGGAGGGAAAGAAAGCAATCCACTCTGATGACGACGCCCACACTAGCATAAAGGAACCAGTGGTGATAGAGCTATGCGGTGGGAGGCCATGGAGCCTGAAGACACTGACGACCATCCAAGTTCCTGAGAGGAGGGATGCTGTGGCCAAAGATCGCCTTTAAAGTGGAGTAGGGTGGGTTAGAAGGAAGGAAAGGCCAGGATACCGCAATCCCATGAAGAAGCTCCTCCAGTTTAGGGCAGAAACGATGGGTAGAAGCGGACAAAGCTACAAAACCGATTTTAAAGGCTAAACTAACACTACTGAATTCTCTGCATTTCCGCTTGGGTTATAAACAGACTCCTTATCCTAAGAAGTTTGGCTACTGCTATAGTCTACCCATGCTGGCAGAGCTGAAGTCATTCATCTTGCTAATAGTCCACTAATGATGCAAAAAAGAGGTCAAATAGCTATAAACCGGCAACCTCAAAACCCACCTTCATTTGGATTTGAACTGGGTCCTGGTCATCCTCTACCTTCTTTGTGCCATTTCTCTAGCTGGTGTTGAAATGAACTTCAACAGCAGGCAAAAGGCCCCAGAGCGCCCAACAATGCAACGCTACCTGCCCAATATTGAGTTCACAGCAGAGTTGTAATGTGGATAGTTACTTTTGAATATTGGTGCAGGAAGGTTACATTTTGTTAAACTAAGCTAGAGGAACATGTGATACTGAAGGTGTCTCTGTGGAAGGTGGCATGAATTTGTTCTCCTTCTTGGCCCCCAAACGAACAGCTCTCACCCTGGAAAGATCATCTTCCTTGTATGGAAGGGATGCTACAAAAAGTAGGCAGACATGTAGAGTCTACAAAGAAAGGCCAGCAACACACCAGCTTCTTATTCAAAACAGCGGTCCTCCTGTCCAATGCTGGCTGTGAAAACTGGCAAAAATCATTTTTCTTCCCTTACAGCACTCTTGCTTCCCCTGTGTAAACGAGCTCTCGGAGGGGTGCACAGTTTGCTCCCCAGAGCTCTGACCTGATCACCAGCAGGTCTGAGGACAAAGGGAAATGGGTCTGAAAACTGGAAACTCACCTGCCTTATGAAGCTGTCCTTAGTGGCTTCCCAAGATACAGTACTGACTACAGTGACTGCTTTTGCTTCCCTCACATGAGGATGGCCAGAGCAGGGGTGCTGGGTGGACTGGGGGAGGTTTGGGGTACACCCTATTTGTTAGGCACCCTGAATTTCCATCAGTTCCTGAGTCACTGTTCTATCCCATAAGCCACACTTCCCAAGACATTCAAATTTCAAGAATATGTAGATATATGTAGAATTTAGGGGTGTCAAACCTGTGGCCCTCAGGTCACATGCATCCCCGGAGAGACATGAATGTAGCCCAACACATTTGCAGATGACAACATGTCCTGGTGCTAAAAGGCTGGCTACCCCTGGAAGATGTTTACAATGCATGCACAGTTTTATACGAGTATGCCATTTCTCCTTATCTGGTCTCAGAGAACAAAGGAGACCCCAGAATCTGGAGCATGATGATGGGGTGTCTTAGCAACCAACTTCCTGTTTGGAGATGTGATTTGGGGAGGACTTAGGTTCCAAAGGAGCAATTCCTTTCCTTGTGCCACTGGGGCTGCACATTTCTGTATACAGAGACTGCTCTTGTCCCCACCAGGTAAAGCTGCCCATGATGGGGAGTACTAGGTGGACTCGGGGGAGGGGCCTGGGATGCTTCCTACCTTGGCGGGCACCCTGAATTCCCCGTATTCTTTCAGCAGCTCCTGAGTCTCCTCTGTGGTCTCTCCAGTGGAGGTATGTGTTGAGAGGTAATATTCTCCTGTTTCTTGGATCCAGTCTAATGCCTGTAGGAGGAAACACCACCACCAGTCCCCCAGAAGGCAGCTGTCAGTAGGAAAACAAGCCACATTATGAGGAAGGCTTCTGGCTTGGGACCCAGGAAATGTGACAGAATGGTGGGTGTGTTGCTCTGAGGGAGTTATTTTTTAATTAATTTTTATGGAGGCTCTCCTTAGAGTTGGAACTGTCCACCACAAAGCAATAAATAAACTGGGGCCTATCATATGTCAGCTCAGGTGAGCATGTATTTATGTATAAACTGGACATTATCATAGGTCAGACCCAGTGAATACCTGTGCAGCCAGCCCATCATAACTCCTGGTGTCAAACTCAGTATTGAATGCCTAGAAAACCCAAATTACTGACAAGGGAAAACCGGCTCTCCCTGCGCTGTCATCACCTCTTGTCTTAACTGTGCCCACTATTTGGTCCTCTGTATATGACCCAGCAGTGAGGCAAAGCCAAGGGAATTCTGGGCATACCTGCTTGGCACTGCGCTCAAATACCACGTATTGCTGACACTGGTCTAACCGCCGCTTCTTCAAGGTCCAGAAGTGCAGGACACGATTCTCCCTCTGCAAGAGCTCACTCAAGATGGCTGTGGGAAGAGGAAGTGAGCAGCATCATGGGAAGGCTCTACACAAAGTCCCAAGTACGTTAGACCCACTACCAAGGGGACTTGTAAGTCCCCCTGTAGGACTAAAACAGCATCAGAAGAAAGGGGATAAATGCTGGAGATAGATACAACTTCCCAGGGGATCATGGTGAGGGCATGGTGAGGGCCTGTTTCTGAGGATCTGTCAATAGACCACACCAGACCCAGATTCCCTTTGCACTAGTCAGTCCTTATTGTAAGAGGTTTCAGAAAGTGAGCCCCAATGACAACAACTGACACAGTTGATCTGGAGGCTAGCAAGCATGGGTGGGCTCTGCTAGAACTCTTAGGCATTCCTTAGAAGCTTCTGGAGGAGAGGCAGAGGGAGGTAAGCAATAGTGAGAAGGCTGGGAAGACATACAGTCAGCCCACATAATGGGCCACAATCTCAGCCCTGCACAGGAGTCAAACACATGGCACTTTAAGAGCAGTGCTGCAGTTCCAAGCTGCTGAGCAGAGGGTGGGTGGAAAATGGGCTGCAATAGGGTCTACATGTTGTCTTAGGCCCAAACTCCACAGTTTTTGATCTGATCCTAAGGAAGACTGAAAGCTCTTCTTATGTTGTCCCTAATGGTATTGTGAGAATAGATGTAAGGCACTCAGTATGACAAGGGAGCCATAGGGAGAATCCATCTGTCTCTTTACCTCTCTTAACACTATCTGATGATCTGGATTGATTGATTTTTTTCCTTCTTTCTTTCCTTCCTTTATTCCTTTCCTTCTTTCTTTCTTTCTTTCTTTCTTTCTTTCTTTCTTTCTTTCTTTCTTTCTTTCTTTCTTTCTTTCTTTCTTTCTGTGGTTTTTTTTGAGACAGGGTTTCTTTGTATAGCTCCGGCTGTCCTGGAACTCATCAGTAGACCAGGCTGGCCTTGAACTCACAGAGACCCACCTCCCTCTGCCTTCCGAGTGCTGGGATTAAAGGCATACATCACCACCACCTGACCATAGATTGATTTCTTAAGTGTTTCAAATAGTATGATCTATGCTTGAAGCAAGCAAATTTATTTTGTTTTCTATCTGCTTTTTGTGTCCTGCAAACTGTTAAATGTTGGTAAAATACACAATGATGAGGACATAGATAATCAATGTTTAGTATTCATTATGTGTCAGGTGTATTTTTATAACACTTATGATGTGTGTATCTTTATGGTCTGTCCTTTGCAGATGAGGAAACTAAGGAAGACCTGCATGTTCAGGCTCACTTAGATAGGAAGGAGCAGAGCTTGGAGTTAGGTAGGATACTTTGACCAGAGACCGCATCCTTATCTACCCCTGGTCTCCCAGGTCCCTGGGAGATGTCAAATATACATTATTGTACTTTAACAAGATGGCACAACCCAAGCTGCAGAGTTTGTACTTATTAGCTTCTGTTGATTTCACTTATTCTTTAATTCCCCTCACTGCCCCTGTGCTTGGAGGTTTGACTGTAAGGATAGACTCTGTCTCTACCCTTTTAGGCTGAGAAGTTCCATAGGTCTCAGTGGCTCACTATGGATGCCTTAAGCATGGAATTTCAGCCCCTGCCCAGAGTGGTCAAGTATACTTTCCCACTCTCAGTCTGACCTCTGGCTCAACCAAGTGACTTGCTCTGGCCAAGAGGATGTTAACTGATATGACACAAATAGGAGCTTGAAATGTGTCTGTAGATGTGACCCACCCCTTGCCTCCCTGTTAGCACTATGGCTAGAACTCTTGGGTAGCCACTGTCCCTTGGACTCAGAGCTCAGAATGAATAGACAAGAACCTTAATGAACATCTGGAGTCTCCAGGACAGATGCATCATTGAGCTTTGCCATGGCAGCTGATGTCATGTTGATGGCTGCAGCATGCAACATGCAATAGGCAACCTGGACAAAAGATGCTCATGGTCAGCAACAGTTAAGTTTTTGGCTGTTACTTAGCAATCTGCTCCCATGTTAAAACCCTAGACTATGTGGCACTGGCTTTGGATCCAGCAGCAATGAAGGAGAAATAGGTGGTCTCACCTGCAGTGTGTGTTCCTAGCAGGCAGGGGTAGTGTTTGTGTCCTGTAGAGGGCTTTGCTCACTGCACCTCTAGGTAAGCAACATAGTCAATACAAATCATGGAAAGCTCCCAAAGAGTTTCAGATGTCACTACTTCCCCTCCCTGAGAGCTGCCACGGAGGAAGGTACATCCAGCCCCCTATTGGTGCCCTTCCCATACAGTGTAGGTGTGAGCATGGTCTCTCAGGGGGTTGGCCTCACCCAAGCAGCCACCTGCAGAAGTCAGAACATATGTTTTGAAATGTGCTAGAAGGAGAGGGTGATGTGGAGTCAGCCACCCACAGGGCCTCATTCAAAGGAAAACAATGGGTGGGGCAGGAACTCAGGTCCTCTTCTCGCTTTCTAGTGATTTGGATCATCCCACCTCTTGAGGGATCAGAGCAGGGAAGGGAACTCTACCTAAAGCAGACCACTGATCCCCATCCTGACCATGGTGTCCCTAAGCCTGGCTCACCCATCACTCCAAGTCACTTCAGGTCTTCTTCCCAGCCTTCCTCCCCAGGGCTGTGAATTTCTAACTGGACAAGAGAGGATGTGTAAGACTCGTTTCTTACGTGAAGGCTAATTTCTGTATGGTGAGAGTGATCACTGAGAGAATGAAACGGTGACTAAGACCAAATGTGATCAGATAATAAAAATTTGAAAGAGTATGTATTATTTTTCATATACTCACAGACTTTATAGAATTCAGAGACAATAAAGGTGACCTAGAGCAGTAGTTACATTAATCCTATCTACATATAGAATATGGGTTCTGACTGCAGATTTGAGAGAACCTGAAATCCCCTTTCTAATAGCTTTCAAGTGATATCAGTATTGCTCAACAGGACACCATGCTTTGAGTAGGAAATGTTTAGACAACCTTTCTACTAAGCAGTGTGAGCCAGGACTTGAAAATAAATTTTAAAAACTTGGGGAAATCTTTCTGCATGTTAAGAAACTGACTAAATCACCACTGGTTTCACACCATTCTATACCAGACTGTTTCTTCTTAAAGAAGATGCATAAGAGAACTTGAGATGACAAGTGGGGTGTGTACTCAGCCTGCTAAATGGTGCATGCATCTGTGTGTGCATGCATGCGTGCGTGCCTGCGTGCGTGCGTGTGCGTGTGCGTGTGTGTGTGTGTGTGTGTGTGTTCCATGCAACTAAAGCAACATGTGCTCTGGCAGGCCCCACACTCACCTTTTACTTGCTGTTCAGGTCCCCTGGTGTGGCTGGCAACACTGGGCATGCTGACATTGTTCCTGTGGATGTACTTGAGAAACACCTCAGCATTCCGCCGAGCCAGAGTACAGGCCTAAGAGAGACAAAGGTGTGAAGCCCTGTCTCCAGTCGGCATGTGGAGTGCAAGACATGAGAAGTGTCTTTTTAAAGGCTTAAGGACTTGATGGTGATAAGGTTGCTGGAGGGATCCAGAGAGAGAAGAGCTCTGGAGGTCACTTCTGGTTCATGGAGACACTAATTCCAATTTATAAGGCGCATGCTCTGAGTTTTCTTTTAATCAAGTGTCTCTTTTTCTGTTTCAGACAGAAATCAGAAGACAGCCAGCCCTTCACTATCTATATGCTGACTGGTCACTGCTAATGTTCACACCCAGGCTGGTTTTCTTCTTCTACAAGATTATCTCTTACATGACCACTGATGGAAGCCCAGGGAGTAGAAATCCACCCACTTTAGCATAGTACAATTAGCACACACACTTGATAACAAAATTCTAAATCTAAATGTAAATTGCCAACAATTTTCAAATTTATTTGATGGCCAATTACATTCCCCTTCCCTAAATAACACTAACAAGTACTCTCTCATTGGGAAATATTAATCTCTGTGAAAGAGTAGGAGCCATTGAAGGCTGCCACCAGCAGTGGCTGGCAGAGGAGACAGGCTACCTTCTCCCAGTGAGTTGGACTGAGGGCTGAGAAGAGCAGCAGGAAGGAAGTACTTCAGATGCAGAATCCAGACCTTCTGACAGAGTATTTCTACTGTCCCTTAAGCCCACAAATTTATAAATTTTTCCAAAAAGCAGTCTTCCCTATAGCTGTCAAACTAGTACATACTTGCTTACGAATTTTAAATTAATAAATTATCTGCAGTGATAATAAGTTATAACTGTGAAAATCTATTTTAAAATCTTTGTATACTTAGCTTTTGATCATACAAATTATATAAGCACAATGATTGTTATGTAATAAGTATAAATATAACTTTTAAGTTGATGGGAACTCAAAGGCTCATGAGTTGGAAGCTATTAGTAGAGGTCCAAAGCTAAGGACTTCTAGAAGAGTCAACAAATGAGGATAAACAGAAAGCCGAGTACTGTCTGTTGGGCAGCGATTTCCCACAGTGATAAGGAGGTTTTCTTCACACCTTTAGGGATATATGAGAAACATCAGTCCAGATGGTTTTATTTCTTTTTTAAAAGAATCACTTAATTTTATGAAGAAATAACCTTTACCTTTCTCTCTCTGTGTGTATGTGTGCTGTGCACATGTATGTGGTCTATTGTGTAGGTGTGTGTGGATGTTCATGCCCATACGTGCATGTGACAGGCTAGAGGAGGAGGCTGGGCAGCCTGTTTCATCACTGTCAACCTTGTTCTCCTGAGAAATTGTAATTTACGGAACCAGAGCTAGGCTGGCAGCCGGCAAGGCCCAGTGGCACGCAGTTCTCTGTCCTCCATAGCTCTGGGGATATGAGCGTGTGAGGCCGTGGCTGGCTCTCGATATGCATGCCGGGAATCTAAGCCCAGCCACCCTTCTCCACTAAGCATTTCCCAGTCCCAAGAAATGCTGGGAATATAATTTTACTTAATGTACATTTGTGTTTTGCCTGCACATATGTCTGTGTGAGGGTATCAGATCCCCCAGTTATGAGCTGCCGTGTGTGTGTGTGTGTGTGTGTGTGTGTGTGGTGTGTGTGTGTGTGTGTGTGTGTGTGTGTGTGTGTGTGTGTGTGCGCGCGCGCGCGTGCTGGGAATTGAACCCAGGTCCTGTGGAAGAGCAACCAGTGCTCTTAACTGCTGAGCCATCTCTCTAGCTCCCCAACTTTACTTAAAATTCTTCACATGATCCTTCAATTTGCTTTAAACTCTGTTTTGTAGTAGAGAACACTTTTGGATTATTTTAATCTCTGTATGGGAACATTCACTTATCTGTATTAATAAAAGCTGCTTATTCAGGGCTCTGACCAATACCTGATCAGATACCAGACACAAGGAAGGAGGAGGGGGCGGGGGCGAGGAGGGTGTCTTAAAACGGAACAAAAAGGTTTAGTGGTCAAGAGTTCTAATACAAAAGGCAGCTAGTTAGAGAAGTATGGTGGCATGGCAGGGTATACACATTCTCTTTCATCTTTTGAGAACTCCCAGAGGAAGAACATGAAAGTGTGAGGTTTGGGGGGGGGAGAAGCCCACTGAGAGAAGCTGCTGGGGGACATTCAGAAGGAGTTCCTTCTCTGCTAAAAGCCCAAATGCAACAGGGCTGGCTCCCCTCCCTTAGACACTAGGGCTGTATCAGAAACCCCCAGGAAATGTGTTTCTGCTTTCACACAAAATAAACATTGTGATATTTATTGTTACTTGGAAATTGCTAGAATGAGAAATAGTATCTAAATTTATTGATTCAAAGATTAATTTTAATAACTGTATGAAATAGGCTTATGCTCTTCAGTCAAAAGATCATTTTAGGGTTAGGGTTATTTATTGCTCAATGGTAGAGTGCTTGTCTAATAGGTGTGAGGTCCTGTGTATAATCCCTAGCACCACAAAAGAAAAAAATTATAAATTGAATGTAAGTGAGTAGAAGCATGTGACCATAACCATGTGATACTGGAATACCCTAACACTGTAGTGGCAATTATAATGACCTTACAATACCAAAAGTGTCAAGAAGGAAGTGAGTATTTAGAGTGTAATCTTAGGACTTTAGGAATTAACAGGGAGATAGGACTTCAGCCCCTTCCCTCTTTACATAAGGGGCAGGAAAAACCAGAGGCACGGAGGGCCAGGTGAAGCAGCAGGTTGGTGCTGGCTGGTGAGAGGAGAGAGCCATGCTGGGCTCTGAGACACGTGTGGCAGTGTGCTCTGACCTTTAGGAAGGCTTCCTTCTGTTCTAGGTGCTTGCTGAGGAGCGGGATGACATGGTCCATCTCTGCCGCCGGCCCCAGCTTGTCTCGCCCACCACACCAGTCCTCGTCTCTCCGGTACTCCTGCTCTAGGCTCTCCAGAACACTGCACACCTAGTGAGTCACAGGACAAAAGGCTCAGTGAGCGAACTGCTCAGCACGCGTTCTCTGCAGACTTCTGCCACAGAACTCTACACATGTGGAGTTCAGCCAGCAGAGTCAGAGTGGACACTCTGAAGAGAGGTTTTTGAGAACATTGTGACTGGAACTTGGACTGTAACTGGAGATGGAGATTGTGGAATCATCCTTTACAGATGATGGCTGAGCTACAAAGGCCTATAATTTCACTCAGGAATATGATGAAGGGTAAGAAATGAAGAAACTGGTTGGATACTTAGGGTGCTTGAACATGATAATCATATTTATACACCCATGATATATCACATACATATATATGTATGTGTGTCAAATCTCTTTCTCTCACACACATATATGTATGTATGCATATATTATATCGTATTGTATTGCTGTAACCTCATGACAATTGTGAATTATGTAGACCAGGCTTAGAGATGATACTTGATGACTTGCTTTAGCATCTGTCCTTGTCTGTCCGTCAGGAGCCTCAAGCAGTGGTAAAGGGGAAAGTTGCCTCTCTTGTGTGATTTATGGGCCATAAACAAAAGCCATCTTTCTACTCCCCTAGGAAAAGATGCTCAAAGTCCTACCATAACGTACTGACATCTTTAGGACATCTATTATAAAATCACATTTCTTTTTGAGGGAGAATACATTTGAGTTAAACTCAAAGGCGCACGTGCGCGCATGCACACACACACACACACACACAAAATTCAGAGAGGCCATGCTGAGTGACCTTATAAATGACCTCAGTGATGGGGATGTACTCCTGTATATATGTTTCTCTTATTGGTTGATGAATAAACACTGATTGGCCAGTAACCAGGCAGGAGGAAAGTGGGGCTACCAGACAAGGAGAATTCTGGGGAAAGGATGCAGGAGGAACCATCAGAGGGATGCCATGTAATTGTTGGGAAGATGGGATGCTGGCATCCTCTGGTAAGACCATGTAGAAATGCATAGATTAATAGTTATGGGTTAATAATTAAGAGAGAGCTAGACAGTAAGAAGTCTGTGCCATTGACCAAACAGTTTACAAATAATATGTCTGTGTGTGTTTATTTGGGGCAAAGCAGTTGTGGGACCAGGCGGGAGAGAAACTCTGTTTACACCTCAGAAGAGGTCAGAGCATTCAAAGAGAGTTCACAGGGAGAGTTAGGTTGAGTGTTGTGGTGGGAGTTTCATGGCAGCCTGGTGTCATTGTAGGAAGGGTACAGAAAATAAGAACTCAGCAGACACTTGCCTAGAATGCAGAAGTAGATACCACCAGTGTATTAAAAACAAACAAGCAAACAGAAAGCAGAAACCTGAACTCCTATACTCTCTCTCCATCAACGGTATTGATTACTTTTTGGACACAGAAGCAGGGGAGAACACCTGCAACCATCCAGGCTTCCTCAGAAGAAGACACTCCTCTTGGGAAAGAATATGTTTGTTTTTGAGACAGTGTCTCAGGAAGCCCAGACTAGTCTTGAACTTAGTGTGTAGCTAAGAGAGTCCTTGACATTCTGATCCAGGGCTTCCTAGGCAAGCACTCTACTGAGTCCAAGGATGTGGCTTTTTGGATAGAATGTTCACTGAGTTATGAACTCAGCTGAATGACACCTCAGGCAGAGCCCACTCCTCACAGCCACACATGCTTGCTGTGTCATAAGAAGTCTGTCCCCGATCTTGAGGTAACTGCCTAGCCCCTTCTTTGCTACTTTGTTTAATGTAAGACACAAAGCATGCAGGCAAGCTTATGTCTTGAGACAAAATAGGTAACAGCATGCAGGAATGTTAAGACTAAGACACTTGAGATATGTTCCATAATAGGTCTGAATCAAAGACTCGAAGAGATCTTGTACGGTAGATTCTGGGTTATTTTGTCGGTGGATGTGTTTTAAGTAGCTTCTGATCAAGGAGGATAAAAGACATAAACAAGCTGGATGCAAGGGGCAGTTTAGAGTCTAGATATACCAAATTCAGTGAAATCCACTGGATCTTAGATATTTAAACAGAAAACAAATGCCGACAGGTATCACCAAGTGTGGGGTAGCTTGCCACACAGTGTTATTATGACAGTGGCTAGCACTCATCACACCCAATTTCTACTTCAACACCTCCACCTTGATCTGATGAGTTTGAGAAACTTACGAAAAAAAAATCACATGGTTCCTTGCTGTAAAGGGGAAAAAAAGATACAAAAGGCAGTGGTAGCGTTCCCACAAGCCATTGTTTTGCTCTCAAAGGCTGGTGCTGACAAGCCTGGCTTTTTGATGCTGCACCACGATGTGAGGTAGAAACAGCCTCTTCCATCTTCAGCTCACACCTCACAGACTTCCCTCTCACCTGCTCAGAGGTCTTGTAAAAGGCCACAGAGGCGTTGACTAGTTTCAGCCGGTCTTCCATCTTTAGCATGAGCTGCTGCCAGTGGAGGGCCACCTTCTCGGCACATTCCCGGATGGCGTCGGCATCATAGTGTCCAGCCTGGAGCAGTGCTTCTGCTTTCTGTTGTACCTGCAGGGCGCTCTGGTGCGTCTTCTGCAAGGAAGTGGCGTGAAAGAGGGACTGGGCGCGAGGGGAGGAGAGAGAGGTCCGTGGGAGCGGCCCAGGTGTGATATGGGAGGGGGTGGAGTGAGGTGTGATTGGAAAGATGCAGAAAAGTTAAAGAGCTTTAAATGACTGATCTACTTGTCGTGATGATTAATATACATTATTGTCTTTTAAAGCACATTTAAAAAAGGAAATCATACATTTTCATTCGTCTCTAGGGGCCCTAACTCCTGACCCCATTCTTAACTTTCTACTTTCCTTACCCTAGATTTTAAGGACATTTCAATTTACATAGGACAGAAACAGAAGTTGTGCAGAAACCTGACCATTACTTCAATCTCCTTTTCAAATCTAATCATAAAATTGTTCATCACTGAACTTCCAATGATTACCGATGCAACATTTTACAAATTAAGGAAGCACACCCCTCCCCCACAACACATGTCACGCAAATCTCAGCTGGCAATGCACAATCTTAGACATCGATATTCAATTGCAAATGATTCTGATAGAATGGGTAAACTTGGCTGGCAGAACAACAGACCTGAAGAGTGACCTCCTTCACTGACCTCTCACACCTGACCCCTACCCCACGGCTACTCCACCAAAGATGCCCAGAAGCACTGAAGAATGAGCTCAAAGCAGGGTCCTTTTGCTATCTACAAGGTTTTATGGCTTCTGATTCTGGTTAACTGTGTTCTGTTCCTTAAATGCAAGAGCATGGGGGAACTGGCTGGAGAACTAGGTGGCAGAAAACAGACAAACAACCCACCCCCAAAGGCTCAAGGTTTATAAGACAAAACACAGACTTGATTCCTGTGCTGGCTAGGTTGTTGTCAACTTGACACAGTCTGAAGTCATGTGAGAGGAGGGAGCCTCAATTGAGAAAATGCCTCCATAAGATCAGGTTATAGGCAAGCTTGTAGGGCGTTTTCTTAATTAGTGATTGATACTGGAGGGCCCAGCCCACTGTGTAAAGTGCCATCCCTGGGTTGGTGCCTGGGTTCTATAAGAAAGCAGGCTGAGCAAGCCACCATGAGCAGGCCAGTAAGCAGCACCCCACCATGGCCTCTGTGTCAGCTCCTGCCTCCAGGTTCCTGCCCTGCTTGAGTTCCTGTCCTGTCTGCCTTAGATGATGAACAGTGATGAGGAAGCTTAAGCCTTTGCCTTTCTTCTCCAAGTTTCTTTGGTCATGGTGTTCTGTCACAGCAATAGTAACTCTGACAAGGACAGTCCTGTGAGAATGTCAGAGTGCCACTGACTTGGGAAATTCATTGCAACCTCAGCTGCAGGCATTAGCCATCCAGCTAACAGTGTTGACTCAGCTTGTGGTGGACAAGGTTCGCTAGAAACACAAAAACACTCCAGAATTCCTCTCTTCTCTGCTTGGACAGCAGGGCGGAGATCATTCTTAATAGCCGACTTATTCAGCTGCCTTTGGGTCTGAGAGTAACCTCCCTCTTCTCCCTGGCCCTCACCACATCTGCCTTTCCCCCTCATCAGACTATCCCGTACATTCCTACTTACTTTGCCTGGTTTATATAGCTCCCACGTGCCCCCCCCCAAACCTGCAGCACTTCCATCCTGCATCTCCACCAGCATCCCAGGCCCTTGTGCCTTTGCCTTCCTCCTGAGAGCCATGGTCCTGACGACTGTGCCAGTGCTGGGCTCCTCACTGCTAAACAAAGCTGAAGAAAGTAGACTAAAGGGTGAAGCAGTCCCTACAAGTCCCTGATTTGTCTTTTTTTACTGGCACTGTTTTGTTTCCTAAATGTAGAGGTGCCAACGTCATCCTTGGCTGACTGTTCACATCGTCAAAACCCTTATCTACTCCCATGGGCTTCAGTTCCTCTCTGAAGGAGATTCCCAGTGAGTCTCCTCTTACTGTCAGAACCTCCTCTGGAATTGTCTTCTCATGCAAGGGAGGCCACCTCTCAACCTTCTGAGGTGGTAGTCGCCATCTGATGCAGGGTAGATGCCAAACCCCCGAGAGAAGCCAAACCCATATCTTTAAAATAGTTCTCAAAAGCCACTTATGTTGGTGGCCTCCTCCTATTCATTTTCCTTACCACCTAGAATTACAATCTTGACCTCATCCCTGTCTATTGCTCCCTGCTCCTCCAACCCAGCCCAGCTCTTACAGCTCCATATAGGCACTTTTATGGAGGAGAGGTGGTTAATTTTCTTGCTTCTAGTTCTAAACCTGTAGACTAATCCCTCACATTTCATTTTTCTTTTCCTTTTCATGTGTGGCGCTAGGATTTATTTTGGGGTCCTGAACATGCCAAGCCCGCATTCCACCACTAAGCCACGCCCCCAGGTCATCGTGGACATTTTAGGCAGTTTCATTTAATCTGATGGAATAGGAAGTGCTTGTATTGTAGTGACTTATTCCTTTTTGTCCCTAAACCTTTCATCTCAGTTCAAAGGTCATCAGTGGCTACCCCATCACTTCAAAACTAAGTCCAAACTGGCTGTCCCAACAGCTCCATGACACGATCTGTAACTGCTTCACAATACTGCACACTCCCCCCAAACCCTCTGAAAGCAAGTCACAAATTTTCCTGCCTTGCTCTCCCTTCTCCCTGTTCTTGATAAATGCCCCCCAAGCCCCCTGCAAGCCCACCTGTCCTTTGAAACTCATCTCAAATTTCCCCTTCTTCAATGAGCCTTTCCAGGTGGCTTGAAACTCTGGGAACACCCCTTTTCTCTGAAGTCCTTTGTCACTTAGCTAACTCTTGGAGAGTTCCAGTTGCTGAAGGTAAAACTGTCACTGTGTGTGTGTGGGGGGGTTGGGGGTCAGTCAAATGACTGCCACTTCTCCAAGGCTGTGTGTGCTCTGTGTTAGGCCCTGTGATTATGCATTGACCTTCTGGTTCACATGACTCTTCTGTAGGTGATTTTATTTCCATCTCAGAGATTAAGACACACAGGCTAAAAGACTTGCCTCAAAACCTACAAAACAAGTGATAAAACCAGACTCCGGGTTGACCTATTCCCAAACTTATATTCTTTTACAGCACGTTACTTTTTCTCTAGGATTAGAATAGAGTCCACAGCATTTCTCATCTGGAGGAAGGTTCTTCAGATGAGTGTCAGTGATTACGACAATTATCTCTTCTGCCCTTAACGTGTAAAACCAGTATATAACTGTCATCATAAACTTGTTTTAATGCCTTTTCCTCAGAGAATTCGGAGCAATCTTGACTTTTCTATAATTTGTGTCATGTAATAAACTCTGTCCCTTATTCTGAAACCCATTATTCTGCAACAGTTCTGAGTCTGCCTTCCTTTTTAATTTCCTAAATGATAAATTCTTATCCATGAGCCATAATCTTTGCTTTGCTAAGCTCAAGCCATTATTTTGCATTTACTTTTACTTCTTATCATCTAATCCTATTGAGTGTTACAATTTTAAGATGTGGATTATCAAGGACATTAATATTTAGTAGGTGTAAGTGCAAGAAAATTGAACCAAATCAATTGAATGTATTATCCAGTTTAACTACTTTTCTGGTATAATATTTATGCTTAAATGCACAGGAGGAGTTCAAATAAAGATTTTAAAATTGAGCTTCTCTCTATGAAGGTCATAATTCTTGAAGACACATCAGGGTATTCAAGGTACCTACAAATAAGAATCCAGTTTGCTAATAAACTACACTGCTTTGAGACACTGTTTGGTTCGCTATTTGGAATGTTTTAGGGACAAACCCTGACCTTTCCAGGAAACCCCCAGAACTAGGCTTAGCATTATTCTGGCTTGGTCAGGACCATTCCAGTGTATGACTGCTTTTCTAGCTTAATTATCATTAACAACCCTCTCTTTCACCTTTCCTTTTGTTGAATTTGAGATAGGGTCTCTCTTTGTAACCCAGGCTGGGTTTGTAATCCTCCTGTCTCTGCCTCCAGGAGTGCTGGGTTAGAGGAATGGCTACCACACTTGCCACCCCCTTCACTCTTAAAAATGTCTCAGTTTACAGAACAAATTGTATCACCATCTCATCAATAATATTTTATTTTCCTTATGGAGCCACTGAACTTTCTTTTTTAGGTTCTCCTGCCTCATCCCCCCTAGCAACCAGCACAAAGGCCTACGGTAACACTGGCACATGGAGAAAGCCATGCTAGGCTGCTGTTATCCTCTCTTTTAAATGGCCTGCACCTGGCCAGTGCAGTAGTACATGCCTATAGCCCCATTACTCGGGAGGCTGAACATTAGAATAAACATGAGTTTGTGTCCTGCTTGTGCTACATAGTGAGTTCAAGGTCAGCATGGCCTACATAGAGAGATTTTGTCTCAAAAAAAACATTGCTTACATCCTCTCTGGCATATTTTTCTCCTGATGCAGAGCCCAGTCTAAATTTAGTTTACGGAGGACCACAGGCTGCCTGGAGAAGGGGCATGTGGATAATTCTGGTTGTGTTCCTTGTTTATCTAGCTATACCACAACCTGATGACCACCCATTACCAAGATGTTCTAATAATTCGGTCTACTCTGCTATCTTTTGAGATCACAGACACCAACCCTAGAGTGATCAATAATTTCCCAGCACCAATTATTTACTGAAGTAATATCCCCCACAAAGCCCCAGGAGTGGTTAGGAAGATAGCCAAGAGTTATCCCTGTCAAAATCCCCCACAGCTTCATGGTATACTCCTAGTCTGTTGCCTAACCCTCACTGCTGCCTAAGCCTATAGACCAGTGACTCTCAACCTTCCTAATGCTGTGACCCTTTAACACGGTTCCTCATGTTGTGGTGACCTCCAACTATAAAATTATTTTGGCTGTTACTTCATAATTGTTATTTTGCTACTGCTATGAATTGCGATGTAGATATTTGATATATGTGACCCCTATGAAAAGGTGTTTTGACCCCCAAAGGGGTCTCAACCCAAAGTTTGAGGACCGCTGCTATAGACACTTGGCCACCCACTAGGTACCTGATTATAACCCTTATCTAGGTCTCTCCCAAGGGGCTCCACCACCATGGATGTGGCAGTTCCAGTAAACTGTAACAGATATAAAACTCCTTGTCTCTGGGCAACTCTTCTACAGAGAGTGATTTGTTTATACTTTTATGTGCAACATACTATTTGCTTTTCAGTCTCAAATCTTGGACAACACTTATAGACTAGCAATAGGTCCTAAGAAGATATCAAGCATCTTATGGAAACATGTCATTCATCTTAACACCATGTTTATAGGCATGAAAGATGGCTTCTGGAAAATCAAATGGCTGAATTCAATTAATATTAGTTTATAAAGGGCTAATAATCAGTTGGATTGCTACATTAAAAGATAGTTATGAGCACAGATAATTAAAATTCATTATTTTTCTGCCATTGTGATGTAAAAAGTTTTGCTAGTGGTAATTTAAAAAGAAAATAGCCCGTTTGTAGTTCCGACACTCAGAAGCAGACAAAGTTCTATAGTGAACCACATGTAACCAGTATCTGAGATTTTTATTCTTTGTCTCTTTCCCCACTGGCGCTAAACTTATTTTGTCTTTAATATAGTTCCATGCCCCATTTCTATTCTTTCTCAGACACCATTGAGAAGCAATCTGCTGAAGACTCTTTGGGAGGAGAGGGCCCTAGTAGAAAGATAATTGGAGGTATTATATAAAGCAAGGCAACATCACTTTATCCTCAGTGGAATTTTCTTTTAAAATAAGCTTTTAAAAAGTCCCGATTGGTAAATTTCTAGTTGCAGTTTATTCTTCAAATATGGCTTCTGCCAGCATTACTGAACAGCTGCTTTCACCATGCAAACTATATAGAACAGTCTGTTGCAACCCTGTGGTCCCTGTTAAAAGCCAAACTCTAACTTAGAATCCAAGTGTTTAAAAGAACTAATTCACTTTACTATTGACTTGCACACCTCTTTATTCTCATTTCTCAATGTCTCTGTCACCTTTTAGTTTGTATTTTTCACCTGGTACACAGTTTGTAATAGGTTAAAAATCTCACTAGACCAGGGCCTTAAGGCACCATGCACAGCAAAGATTCTCGTTTCAAGTATGAATTGATGACTCCTGATACCTTGGGGTAGAGGGAAACCTGCACTTCACACACGTGAGTATGTGAAGGCAGTGCCTGCACCACACCACCAGAAAGAGCAAGAGCTCCACCACCTGAGGGAATGCTGGCATCTCAGACAGCCATCCTATCTGAGGCCCGGAGTCAACAAAGGGAACAGAAGACAATAGATCCAGATTTGGGTGTTACCTCGATGGCAAGTTGGAACTGTTCGTGCTCCCGCTGCAGCTGCTCTGCCTCCGACAAAGAGCTGGCGTTGACCAGGCTGGCATTGAGCATTGACTCTCCATTGCGGATCCATCCCAGAACCTAGGGAGTTGGGGCAAGCACACAGGTGAACGGCCCCCCGTAGTTTCTCCGGAGCTGTTGCCTTCCCTACAGGTGCTTCAGTCAAGGGGCTATCTTGAGCTCTCTGCTGGAGAGAGGACAGCAAGGATCCTGGCCAGTTATCAGCCCGCCTTCCCAGTCTCTGGTGTCATAGGCATATACTTTATGTAGCAGCTTCATTCTCAGCCCCACATCTCTCTTCCTCCCTCTATCGCCCTGCTGTCCCAATGTCCCCACCAAATTAATTAACATCGCTTCATCTGGCTGTATTTCATGCATGCCTAAAGTTCTAGACCAGAGAATGGCATCAATAAATTCCAATTGTTAGTAGTTTTTTCTTTCTGCCTTTATTTATTTACTGAAAATTTCATGTAATACATTTTGAGCATATTCTTTCCCTTTCCCCAACTCTTTTTTTCCTGTTTTTAAAGGGCCCAGCTCAAACAACAATTTCTTGAATTTGTCCACACCTCACCCTTCTTGTTAGAAGCAATCTTTCCTTCCTCTGGTATGATGGTTCCACTTTGTATCACTTTAACGTGACTTACCACAGAATGACTTTGATTATTTCAACCTACATTTACCTCCCGCTTAAAAATGTGAATCCCCAAAGTCTAGAACAGTCTTCTACTCAAATCTGAATCTCTCATAGTTCATCTAATAGCTGCTGCATAGCAATGTTTTGAAAGTAATGAAGGTTACCCAGGTCATATGCGAGCAGCAGGTCCTACTGCTGCAACCTTACATAACAAGAGTATACAAGCTTGAGGAAGCAAGCAAAATACACAGAACAGATCATTTTCAGAAGGGAAAGTAAAGTATAACCAACTTAAATTACCCAATGGAACAAGAGTGAATACTGACTAGAGAGTCCAAGGAAATAGAGATGTTGCAATTCTCAGGCTAATCAATCCAAAGGGAAGACCTAGGCTCTAGACCTACCTGGTGTGTGGCCACTAAAACACTGCCCAGCATCTTCTTTTCTAGGGAGCCTGAAACTCTTGCTTAGGGAGGAAAAAAAATTCTGAAATTTCAAAATCAGTGAATAGCATCCGTATGTCACTCCTTGTAAAGAAGAAGACACTACAATCTATTCCAGATTTGTTCTTACTCTTTATAATTCCCTTCACTTTCTTGTGTTAAACAACCAGAAAATACTAAGACTAGTCTCCTGCCCCAGAACTCTCATAGGCATCATTCCCAAAGTAGAAATTGAGTGATGCTTTATTGTGCACAGATAACGTGAGGGACAAATCCTGCTGGAGCGGGTTTATTTGGATTGAGATGTTAACTCATGGCCAATCTGGCAGATTGTGGATGAGATGCCAATCTGCAATTAGCTGCAGGAAATAACTGTTCAGCGTGTATGTGTAAAATCCTTGTTGTCCCTGGTGGACTGGGGCTGGCTGGCTAGAGGTGCTAATGACTTTCAAAAGCTGCCTGCTAATCTGGGTGCATGCATTCACAGACTGCACGGCCAAATTCTTTGTTCCTTTAGAAAACGGAGCTCATATTGCATATTTTGAATTATGTCCCTCTACCATGTTTCACTGTTTTGTGCTTACTTTGGAGACTCATTTGTGGGTGTCATCAAAACGCCTTCTGTATGTACATCACAAGTCAATGTTAGTCTAGTTCTGGTGAGTCTCGCTAGAACATTTTCCTCTAGTTCCAGCCATGTCAGGTGCAGTGAGGGAGTTGAGAATACTATTTACTAGCACTCCCACTGAATAATGCCATCCGTTCGAGTATCTATTTCTTTCAGTAAATCAGAGCATATTCTTGGTCACCTGTACTTCAAAAATGCTGTCTATAAATTATTGTAAGACTTTAGAGAGTCCTAAAGACCTGACTTTAGGAATACAAAATGCATGGCAGTTTACAGGCATGGTTTTAATCCAGGCATGGAGTCAGTTCTGGACACAGAGGTGATATAGTGAATAGACACAGCATACCATCCAAAGCAGAAAGCCTGACTTTCTCCCTTTCTTGGCAAAATCATGTAACTTCCCTGAACCCCAGTGATCTCATTCGTGTCTGGGTAGCTCTTTCTTTCCTTTGGCATCGCAGGGCTGATGCAATGCACCAGGAAATGTTAAGCCTGGTGATAATGATGGTGTTGGCACTAGTTTTGATTTTCAGTTTGGAGCAAAGATGGGTAGGTACTGCTGTGATTCTTCATAATTGTTATAATTCTCGAAATGAAGAAGTCATTTAACTATATTCAAGTATTTAAATGAATTCATTGGCACCATTTTGATGTCAGATCAGTTTCTTAGGTTGCTATCATTATTCATTATTCTTTATACTCAGATCACTGTTGGTATAACTTTCTGTTATGAGGCTCTTTCTGTCTTCCTGGTTTGTTAAATTTGTTAGTTATTATCCCTTGAGCATCCCAGTGTGTGCTGGGTAGTAGGAGAAATACTGCAACTAAAATGAGAAAATATCGGCCCTATTAATGTCCAACTATGACTTAGGAAACATCATTTAACCAAAGGTCAGTCTTGTCACCTGAAAAATGTGAATGCTTTCCTTCACTGAACAAAAGGGCTAGGTTAGAAATAAAATCCGTAATGTAAAAGCATTTTTTTCAAATCATAATAGTAAAATTTACACTAAATGAAGTAATAATTTACTTAACGGGCTAGTGTTGTGTATGTAAAATGTCTTCCATAGGCTCATGAGTGTGAACACTTAGTTCCAAGATGGTTCCCACCACACCATTAGGGAGGAGATTGGTTACTGGGTAGTTAGTCCTCAAGGCTTAGTGACCCACTTTAAGCTTCCTGAGCATTGATGGTTCTGACAGCAGTCTTTCCTGATGGCCTCCACATCTTCTCCACCAGATAGACTGTATCTCCCTCCAACTGCAAACCAGGAGAAACCTTTCCTGTTGTGAGTGGCTCTTGCCAGGGTATTTTATCATGGCAAGGAGAAAGTAACTGAAACCTTAATGGAGACAGATATCTTTAAAGATCATTTCCTGCTCTAACATCACATACTTCTTTAAAATCCAAAGATGATCTCTCCAACCACGGAGTTTCGGAAAGAACTGAATATATAGAGACTAGAGACTGGGAAGAATACTACTGTCTGGGGACTCAAGTACTAGGTCAAGAATTCAGCTTAGTGAGAGAGATAAAAACATAGACATGTATTTCCCCAGGTCAAAGGGGCTGAGATAAGCTAACACCAGGAGGAGACAATGGTTATCTGCATGTGATGAAGCCTTGAAACTGGGCAGCCCAGACTGGTTTCTTGTAGGTTGGAGAAATGGCTTGCGGATGTCTGTTTTCCAGGTCATACCTACCATGAAGCCAGCTGTTCTCAAGGCAACTGACTGGCTTGTTACTGTAGATGGCCTCTCTCAAGGCATGGTTCTTTCTACAACTCCAACCACAAAACAAATTCTTGGCTCCTTAGATGTCTACCTTCAGAATTCCTTAGTTCTGAAAGTTCATGAGATTGTATGTATTCATCACTTAAGGTTTTATAGGCTGTGACCATACTCCTTATGTCTTCTTAATTATCTCCATTTGGAAACAATGTCTTTTTGTTCCTCTCACTTGGCCCTGCCCCAGCTCCTTACTAACCCTGACATACAGTCATCAAAACTGAACATGGTATTCATCACAGAAGCATAAGGGCAGACTAATACTTTTTTTCCTTTGTTTTGAGTGTCTACCCTGATCATAAGCAAATTCTGGCCAGATTCGGTCCAAAGAAGCAATTCAATATTTTACAAATGTATTTTAGCTTGTTTCATGTTAAATACAGTACTCTCTAGGAATACATATGGAAATGCATTCTATTTCATTCCATTATGTCATCTACCTCCCCAAACAGCCTGAATTTATCTGATAGACGTGAGATCATCTTTACCCCAAGTAGCAATTTTCCTGGAAGAGACCAGAGAATTCTGTAGGGTCTGGAGAGTAATCTGAGGGGCATGCGGGTGGCCTGGGCACCTGGATCATGTGCTGTAATCAGCGCAGCTGTTCCCCTTGGAGATCTGCATTTCTCCAGAGGTGGGTGTACTGCCTATCTTACATACATGTAATCACTAAGGAAGAAATTGGTTGGCATTCATCAATTTCATTTGTTTGGAGTAACTGAAGATAAACATCTAATGTGTATAAATTCTTCATTCTTCAAAGCTTCACATTAATATAATTTCCATGTAACTACACTTAAGATTATGATGGCCACACATTCAAATCTAAATCTTTAATGTGTGAGATCCAACAACAGAGCTATATCATAATACACTATTGTTCCCTCTCATTTTGGCCTCATTAATGACACTTCAATTAACCGCCCCCCCCTCCTCTCAAGCCTGAATCTGAACTTAGCTTCACTGATCAATACTGACATCGAAATTAACTCCCTTTCCCAAGTGTCAACAGCTTAGACATCAGTATTTCCCGCTCCACCAATTTCAGTCAGACAAAGATGCTTCCACTGAAACTGGATCAGCTGGGCCCTTGAGGAAGGAGCCTGAACTGACAAGGAAAACAAGCCTGATGAATGAGGCATGGTGGCTTAACCAAGCAGTGGTCACGTGGTGTTGTGAAGGTCCACTGTCCTTGGAAAAGGCCACTGTGGGTTTCTCCAGAGTCAGATGAGCATTCATTCATTCCCTTTTGTCTGTCTGTTTGTTTGTTTTTTTGAGACAGAATTTCTCTCTGTATCTCTGCCAGTCCTGGAATTGCTCTGTAGACCAGATTGGCCTTGAAACCAGAGAGGTCCTCCTGCCTCTGCCTCCTGAGAGCTTTCATCCTCATATAGATTTGAACTATGATTCCCCTGTGGGTCATCCATGCTATGTCTCTGAAAGACACCTGTAGAAGGAAATTCTGTCCTCTTATTCATGAAATTATGAATGGGAATACATACAGCTATTAGTCCATTGATGCTGGAACAGGACATAAAACAAAAGGCAAAACCAAAACTTTAGGGTTTTCTTCCAAGTCCAACAAGGATTCTTTGCCCTCTGCTTTGTTTGAAAGTTCATTCCTGGCATATGGGCACATGGGTAGACTTTGACATGCTGCAGTCCTGCTGATCTCAAGCAGATGTCACTCTCTGTGGAGCCTAGGCTATCCCTGTAAGTCTTCTTAGACATGACGAGGCCACGGAAGCCCTACTATGCTCTGTTGTTGGCTCCCTCTGTGGCTTCTGTAGGTACAGGGTGGTTGTGGGGTCCTGTGGAGAGAAACCTCAGATTTTGGAGGTCTGAGTTTTAGCTAACAACTCAAGAGACCCCTGCTGTGCTGCAATCCTATGGTACCTGGTTTTCTCACTTGTAGACAATACTTCCTCTCAAGGACTTACTCTCAAAAAGTAGGATCTTACTTTTCTCCCAAATGAAAATAATGTACTACCATGACTATTGAGAGTGTATACATATCACTATTCTCAGCCTGCTGGCATCTCCACCGCGTCCTCCATATGAATAACAGGTCTTCCTGGAAGCTCAGGCGGGACCCTGGTATGATTAGGCTGAGAATGTCTAAATGGCTCAGTGACCAAGCCACATGTTTGACTTCTAGATCTTCAGTGCACAAGTGTGTGAGCTCCTGCTGAGTGTTGATTGGAAGAGAGGGGCAGTGGAGATCATTTCGCACAACACAACACGACAACCTTGTAGAAGTGTGACATAAGCAGGGACCATCCTAAATGCAAGCAACTGGATAATAGTTAAATAAGATGATGTTTATGTTAACTTAGTTGACTTCCATCTAAGCTCCAGTCATCACTGCACATACAGAAAAATGCTTCAGAGTAGAATTTGCTTCTCCACCTAGAATAATTCCGGAGGTGGGACTTGGCCCCAGGAAGCAGGACACTGGGTCCCTTTGAAGAGGGTGGAGCAGACAGTAGCAGCCACTGAAGTAAGGTGGTCTCTGTCCTGCAGAAAGGCAATCCTAGACCCCTGGAGGGTGGTGGTGTGTTTGTTCCATGTTGTGACCACTGTCTGGGGACCCTCTAGGTTTTAGCGGTCTCATCTGAAGAAAGGAAATAGTGTCTTCCTTAGACAGAAGCTGTGAAGATTGCTGGACACAGAAAGGGCACACAAGTAGAACTACTCCTGTTTTCATTTCTTCAACCTCACTTTGTCCGAGAGAAGCTTCCAAAGCTTCTATCCAATGTTTACAGTAACTGCTACTTAGTCTGCTTATGACAGCAACTTTTATAACTGTGACATTGTATATACATTGCTGGAAGTCTGAGCATGTCCTCCAGCAAATGCTTGATGTAATACCTTGTGCAGATAAGAGTCCCCCTCCCTGCTTAACATTAACTTTTAAATGCCAAGAAAATGTTCTTGTATGATACATATGTATGTATTCACATGTGTGTGCATGTGTGATTGTGGCTGTCAGGTGTGTGTGTGTGTGTGTGTGTGTGTGTGTGTGTGTGTGTGTGTGTGTGTGTGAATATATGGAGGCTAGAGCCCGATGTTTGGTATCTTCCTCAGTTTCCTTCCACTTTCCACATGGATACTGGGAGCTGAACGTGGGTTTTCTTCAAGAGCAAAAGTGCTCTTAGCATTACTGTGCCATCTTTCCATCCCCCACACTGTTTTCTGAGATAAGATCTCATACTTACCTGGGAGCTCACCAGTTCAGAGAGACTGGTTAGCCAGGGAGTTCTAGGGAATCTGTCTATCTCTGCTTGCCCCTCCCGCATCCTTGCTCCGTGGATGCACTCTGCTATGCCTGCATTGTTTGTGGGTTCTGGGGATCCAAATTCATTTCCCCGTGTTTGTGTGACAAGCACTTTACCCATGGAGCAATATTCCCAGTTACCAAAAGCATTATTATAAGAACCATACAAACATTGGAAACTAGTGATAATTGCTGCTACTTAACCATTACTTACCAACTCTGTGTCAGGAGCTGGACATGGCACAGAGGTGCCCCAAGGAGATCAACCTGGCTCTACAGTGGAACATGTTTACTGAGAACTGATGTTTATTTCTCATTAAATATGTGACCCAATAAAGCACAGCAAAGGAGAGAATAGGTTCAGTGAAGAACACCAAGAATCCTCTGGAATGTTCCTAGACTATAGGATAAGACAGGGACAATGCATTTACACTCTGAGCCACTGGGCCTTCTGGGCAACAGTCAGGCTTGCAGAAATTAATCCAACTAATTCACACCCAGCTTCTTTTTGAAGGCTGGGTTACTCAGCTGGCACACCCATGGCTCTGCATGCCTCCCTTCAAGAGGGCAGGTGCCAGGCAGGCTCACCTGTTTGACCTCGGCCTGAAGGTGCCGCAGCTGGAGACACTGTTCCAGCCGCTTGTGTGTCTGCTCCGCATTGAGCTCCAGCTCATGCTGCTTCTCGTGGAGAAACTCCAGTAGCTCCTGCACCTGAGCTGCCAGGTCAATGTCTTTCTCACAGATTAACTCGATTCCTGGTTTAAAACAATGCAAACAATTAAAAACTGGGCAGCATGGCAATGACAACATTGCCTTTATGTTGTAAGAGAGCTGGACTTTGGGAGCAGCCATTACTGGCCCTCTCCCAACCTCTAGAAAGCTCTTGGTGCAGCTAGACAGATCCTGTAGGTAGCCCTTGCTTAGGATGCTAGGAAAATGCTAGCTCTTTAGGATGAATGAATCCTGTGTCCAGTAAGCAATTTTCAACCATGACAAGATCAGCTCCTTTTCATAAATGGGAGAGAGGGTGCTGCAACTCTGGAAGTCCATCCTAGGCAAGGCAGCTCCTGGCAACACCTGTTTGGAGACTTTCCAACTCCCTAATTCATAAACAATTCTCTGAATCATCTTGGCAATGATAAAGCCCAATCCAAAGAACCCTGTCTCAGGAACTCCAGCCAAAAGCATATTCTATTTTAACTGATTAGATATAATTTATGATTAGATGAAAGTAACTACTTAGGTTTCCTAAGAAATCAATGCTACCTACCAAATATACATGATAAATATTCCAAACAATACCACAGGGACACTGAATGTTATTTATTCATAAAAGCCTTTACCCTTAAGTTTTGCCCACACATGGAGCTTGCTCATCGTTCTAGTGACTCAAAGAAGTTCTATGGCCAGCCACTTGCTGACACATGCTCCCAGTGTTTATGAATGAGGCACCCAACCTAGACGTACGGCCAGCCTGTAGTAGTCACGCCGGTCAGTACCTTCCAGCAAAGGCTCTGTCCTTGCCCACCCTCCTGCCTTGCTCTTTCTGTGTACCTCTCCTGACACACTAGCACAGGTCCTCCTTCTCTGCCCACCCAATGTCCTATTTGTCTATCACCAGCAGGGTCTCAGGCAGCCTGCCTCAAAAGGATTTCTGCTTAGGTAGGGCTACTGATAAAGTCAGATGGGGTAAAGAGACTCATTTTATCTCATTTCTTCACTTACTGGTGGCTAGAATTTTAGTGTTTTTGGTGTTTGTTTTTGTTTTTGTTTTTTTTTTTAGTCTGCAAAGTCAACATGGAATGTGTACTAGCTCTAGACCCAGAACCCTGATCTTGAGCAAGTCATCTTAACTCTCATATAGAAGCTAGGATTTTCCACAGCTACCCACCTCCTACACATGTTACAAGATTAGGTGAGATGATACACATGAAGTATCTGTCACATTCACATATGGTTATTTTGTGCATGCCACACACGCACACACACAACCAATGTAGAACAATGTTTACACAACAAATATAGACCTGACACCTAGTTTCATGGATCTACTAGTTCCTGTCTCTGACCTTAAACTAACAACTTTCAGTCTCCTTACATCATGCCTTCTCGGTTCCTGTCCAAGTTGCACACTGCGACCCATGCTGTTTCCTGATTATGATTGTCTACTTATTTGAGGGTTCAGCCTTGCCCTGGTTCCTAGTGCTGGGCTAGGAATAGATGGGGCTGCCCATCTATTCTGATGCTTGAGTCTACCTGGCCAAGTAGCCTCCTTGTTCAGGCCACATCTTTTCTCTGGTTTCTCGTCCTGTAATCTATGACCCAAAGCAGCTATGGTCTTGCTGCTTATATCCTGTGTGAGATATAGAGGAATAGGAAACCAACCAATGATGGGGTTCATATTAAAATCCCAGCAGCTAAGTTTCCAAAGGAGCACATCAACCTTAACATATGGCCATCTGTAAATCAGTCTTCTTCGGGAGATGCCTCCATTACCAAGGCATACCATCAGAAACTCATCCTTGCTGCCCACGTGCCGGCATCTGCATCTGGGAAGCACAAGGCACGTTTGCCCACACGAGGGAAAATTCATTTCTTGAGGCAAAAACAGTACTTTATATAAGGACAATATGGGAGAGTGGAAAAAATATTTTCTGGTGTTACATGATAATAATTTCAGTATCTCTTCATGTTTATTTTTTTCTGTGAGTTTCATAATTCCAAGTCTCTGCTCCTGAAATATCTGTGGGAGACAGAAAAGAACGACTTGTTCTTTTGGCAGCCAACCCCCTCTGGTTACTATTTTCAGTCACCAGGAGGGTGAGGCAGGTAGAACATCTCCTGGGATGAAATAAAAAGATCCAGAGAGATTTCTATTCCTCATGGCTTGGCTGGAAGATGACCTCTGACCCTACACAGGCTTTCTGGAAATGTAATTTCAGCTCCATCTCTGCTTCACAGAAGTTACAGTGGCTCTATTCCAGGTCATCTTTGCTCCATTGCATCTCTGGTGTTCAATATACTGAGTTTTCTCTTTCTTTGGGAGGGAGGTGACTGAACCCTGCCACATCACATGTGAATGGCTGCTCAAAGCTAGTAACTCAACATGGAAGCTTGCTCAGCATGCCACTGAGAACAAGTACCCCAAGACCCAGGCTGTGCAGTTCTGTTTGTCATGCTTGTTACAGTCTTTGTGATGAACACAGGGAACACAAGGGCTGAAGAGAATGCCTACTGCACCTCCACATCCTCAGTTATAGGTGGAGTGAAGAGAGGAACATAAGGGCTTATCCTTGCCACACCCAGAGGAGCCGATTCCACTCTTCCTTCCTCTGCTCCCAAACACGCTGGTGTGAGTTCCAGTTAAAGCCAGCTGGTGACATCACCCCTGAGTAGACTTTGCTTTCATTATCGATGCTGCTCTCAGTGTAACGATAGACCTATCTGTCCTGCTTAGGGCTCAGTAGTAATGCAGAAAGACAAGAGTTTTTTGTTGTTGTTGTTGTTTTGTTTTGTCATCAAGGAGTGGAGATATTTCCTATTTATTTATTTATATTTTTAGATTTCTTTTAAATATCCCCCTACAGGCAACTGCCCAATTCTCCCTCAAGGTGATTTCTTATACCTTGCTCATATCATTCCTGGAATGTAGGCTCTCTGACGCCAGGGCCATGTTAACAACAATTGGGGTTTATAACCATTAGGCAGTGGCCACAGTCCAAGAAGCAGATATTTTCATTTTATACTCGGTTGTAGAGCACTCTGTACTCAGGGTTCAGCTAAGAACAAGCAGCACTTTATTCCCGTTGGCTTCTAGGTCATGGTGCCATCTTACTATTTTAATTCTTTTGTGGGGCTAGGATTGGACCCAGGACTATGCATATGAGGCAAGCATTCTGCCACCCAGTAACACTCTCAGCCTCCAGCATCACTTTAATTTTCTCAAGAAAAGAGACCAGAATTGGGGGACAGAGTCGGGCATCCCTAGCTATACTGCCAAACCTAGAAGGTTCTCGGCCATTTCTGTTCTTAAATATCTGTTTGCCTCAGCTAGAAAACATCTCTCTTCTCTTCTCTTCTCTTCTCTTCTCTTCTCTTCTCTTCTCTTCTCTTCTCTTCTCTTCTCTTCTCTTCTCTTCTCTCCTCTCCTCTCCTCTCCTCTCCTCTCCTCTCCTCTCCTCTCCTCTCCCCTCCCCTCCCCTCCCCTCCCCTCCCCTCCCCTCCTCCTCCTCTCTTCTCCTCTCTCCACCCCATCACTCATCTTTCTGTGCCATTGTTTTTAAAGTCAGGTTTTTTAGGTCAGTGTTGTCGATGGTGGCTTTACCTCAGAACAGAAGTTTAAGGACAGTTTAAGCCTGCTCCAGACCAATTAAGGATGCCTCTCCAGGCGGTGAAGCCCAGACACAGGTATTTTAAAAATGTTCCCCAGGCAATTCTCAATGTGTGGATGTGTTGTGAAGCATTGGTTTACATCTTTCTCCTCAGCTCCAACAGTTCCCATCCCTGCTAATCCAGAGTAGCTTTCATTCTGAAAAAAGCACAGGCTTTGCATTTTCTTCCCATTTATGGCGCAAAGAAAATTACTTGTGGTCTATTATCTTTTCCTTCATTTGTCCCACCCACACCAAAGCTCATTCTTGTTTAATTTAGCAAATGTCATTGTTGAGAATTTAGCTATGTATAAGGCATAACCACTCTGCTAGAAGCTGCTGTGTTCAAAGACCTTACTCACGTTGCTGAGAAGCTACTGGAAACCAAGTAATCTCAGCAGGATGCTCTGTGGGCTAGCATACAAGCATTAACACCGGATGTACCATTCCTTGCTGATATCTTCCATGCTCTTATATAACCTCACTGCATCCTCACCGTGACTCCATGTCATAGGTTATCTTTCCTCAGGGAGAGGCGAGGCTTCGGGGAGATTTGGTGACATGTTCCAGGACACACGAGTGGGAAGAAAGACTGAGATTCACCCCCTTATTTCCTCTCATATTTGTGTTCTTACCCTGCATGCTCAAGGAGACTCTCTGCAAGCACAGTTTGTTTAAGTGTGTGTTTACACCAGACCCTGATGGTGAAGGCATGTAATCTCTGGTATTCAGGACACAGAGACAGGAGAATAGCAGGTTCAAGACCTGCCTGGGCTACAGAGTGAGTTAAAGCACAGCCCATTCAACTTAGTAAAAACCAGTTCCCAAAAAAAAAATTAAAGCTAAAAGAGATAGAGGTGGAATGCTTCCCTAACAATTGTGAGGCCTTGGGTTCAAATCTCACCACTACCAACAGAGTGTTCAACTGCTAAGCTGATATTCCCAGTAGGAACGGGAATGCTAAGCATGACTGATACAGATTCCAAGGATTTTTTTTGTGTGTTTGTGCGCATATGTTTAAGCATGTGTATACAGTTACATATGTGTGCATCCATATCGTGTGTGTGTGTGTGTGTGTGTGTGTTTAGAGGATGTAAGTTAACACTGAGTATCTTCCTCTATCATTTTCCACCTTATTATTTATTTATTTTTGACAAGAGTCTCTTCATTGAACCTGGGCTCGCTGATTGGCTAGACTAGCTAAAAAGTGAATTATGGTAACTCACCTGTCTGTCTGCCTCCCCTGCCCCTTTGTTAGGCTTACAGTGTTAGGATTACAGAAGTGTACCACTGTGTCCAGGGATCCAAATCCAGGTCCTCATGCTTCTGTGGCAAGCGCCTTAACCACTGAGCTCTCTCTTACACAGGTAATTTTTCAAACTTAAAAACATAACATAAAAGGGGAGCTTGATATATAAGCAATATATAAGTCATGTGGCTCCTGTCTTAGGACTGAGGTCAAATGTCACAGTTTGCTGGATTCAGGATCTGGGTGAAAATCAATACAGCAGGAGGCTGAACCATGGCAAATGAGGAACTGGAAGGCATTTGTAAACAAAGTCTATATGCTAGACTAAACAGAAAAGAATAAGGTCTAATGAAAAAGCAAGCAAACAAACAAACAAACAAAAAACAGGATGTCCACAGCCAGGCCGATCTTGGACCTGGGATTCAGAGAGCGTGTTTTCCTAACAGCAAAATCTACCATTGCCCAACTTGAGGGTCACACAGACAAAACTATAGTGAGGAAAGAATGGGAGCTGATGGGATATTTCCCAGTTTCCCTAATTCCTAAGGCGGATGCTGACTCATGGCAAGGCTTTTGCTTTGGGTAGTACTGCTGGTATACTGGAGGCTTCCGGAAAGCCTGACCCAATGTTATGAACATCACACCTGAAAGTAAGTACGTTCGAATCCTTTAGTTCCATGAACTACCAAAAATAATCAGGCATAAGCCTTCATTAATTTAGCAGAGAGCAAGAAAATCTTAATTTTGATCATTGCCCTTATTTTCTGTCATAATTGTTTATTTTTACCTTCGCTCAAAATATAGTTCATTAAAACAAATAGATGGTTCAAAGTCATTGCTGCCTCAAGCCTTTATCTCTGAAGTCCTGCATTCCTCAGTCATGCCCTGCACCACCACTCCCCACCCTCCCCCCAGGTCCAGAGTGACCCTGACCTCCTGTCATATGCTAAGAGCTCTCTGCAGAGCTAGGTAAAGACAGACAGAGAGCCTTCCTAAAACCCATGAATTCATTTCCCTTTAAGTCTCGCAGGCTCTGCCAGACTGAACAGCTAGCTAGGGTAGGCGGAGGGGAACAGTCAGTCTTAGTGGAGAGGGCTGAGGAGGCCAACCAAACCTCTTTTAATAAAGCTCCTATCTAGAACAGGATATTGTGGGGGTGGGTAGCCCATCTGCCTGGGGGTATTTTCACCCACTCAGCCCTCCTGGTTAAGATGGGTGCCAAGCACAGCCAACCTCCAGTCACAAGCAGTCCCCAGAGATTGCCAGCTCCTGGCAGCCTTTCCGGTACCATGAGTATTTGGATCCTGGGATAGAAGTTGGCTTGCTGAAGGTCACATCAGCACACATATCCATCCAGAAGGATGAAGGGCAAGCATCTGGGTTGCTCTTCCCAGCCTGTCTTCTAGTTACTGTGTATCTCCAAGCTTCTATCATAGCTGAATGGCCAGCTGTATAGACAGCATCATAAAGGCCTGCATGGCTAAACTAACCCTTTTGCATAGAAGAAATTCTCAACCATAGGACAGGCTGATGTGTCAGAATACTGCATCTCAAATTCCAACATGCAGTCTACCTGAAGCCGCATCTCAAATGTCAATGAACATGCAGTCCACCTAGAGATTCTGTTAGCATGTAGATTCAGATGCACATCCACAAACATCTGCATACAAGCCTGAGTACTGCCATTCTGAAGAATTCCCAGGCAGACTTTGAGTGAGTAGCCCTTTTAGTCACTTAGAGTGACATGTGTCTCACAGATAACTGCGTCCTGTCTATGACATAGATGACAATTTACGGAATTATTTGGTTGGCAAAAATAGCAGAACTCACTGGGTTCTCCCCATTTTGGTCTGAAGTGATGTTCACTTGAATAGCATACAAGACTTACTTTCCAGACCACCAAAATTAACACAAAATTGTAAAGTTCAGTAGGACTTTCAGGTGCCCCCCTGACAATCTCATCTTAAAATTCACCATCAGCAGGTACATGACCCAACTGTGCTTTAAAGAGGTGACAGTCTCAGTCCAACTGCTTCAGCTTGGCCAGCAAGGTACGTGCCAACAGGCCATGGGTGGGGATGGCGTGGCGGCAGAAAACTGGGTTCTAGTGTTGCATGGTTCTGAGAAAAGATGAGTGCTTTCTCTTGCTCTGAACTACCAGTTTTCCTGGATTGCTTTGGCTCTCTCTAGTTCCAGAAAATGGAGTCACATATTTATTGCATATGTTTTGAATAAATCTTGAACAGAAAAATAAGTAATGCCACATTTTCCTAAGAAGTTATAAAATTACACGATCTTCCATAAACTTTTATCAGAACTACTTAAACTCATCTATAGACCAGTGATTAAAAACAGTAACAAAACTTGAGGATTCTGGGAAGTATCAGCCAGAGATCAGATCAAGGGACTGCCTATGAGTTAGAGAGAGCAAGGACCACTGCATCAGAGGCAGAGGGGCATAGGAGCTCATTACCCACTGCAGCACAACCCTACAGGCCTCAGGCTGCTCTTGGTTTGCTTCTTAACTATAAAAAACTCGCACTAATTTCTATCACTGATTCTTCTACTTTCTCCCGAGACTTTGGCTCTAGTCTCATCTTTCCCACAGCCTAAACTGGACAGTCTTACATGAGTTATCCGGCTCTTACGATTTTGTTTCCTCTTTAGAAGAGAGGTAACTTTTTCTACTCTTTGTGTCTGTAGGTATAAATTGAACAGTGTGAAGTCAGGGCAAATGGGACTTTCGCTTCCATTGTCACCCCTGCCAGGAACACTAGAAGTCACTCACCTGAGGCTTGCACCTCCATGATATACTGGTGCAGGTCCTGGCCCTGCTGGATGACCTCAAAGGTCATGTTGTTCATGGCAAGCTTCCGCTCCGTGTGGCGCTGTAGCCTCTGCTCTGCCAGGGTCAGATCCTCTGTGTTGAAGTCATTCATCTGCCGGAGCAAGTCCTCATTCCAGGCATCCAGCTCTGCTGTCACCTGTGAGAAGCGTCATGTCAGCCAGCGCTTGCTGGCTCCACCAGACACTGCTAGATTGCTGCTCTTGGCTGAAAGCTTTATCAACTAACCCACCCCCTCACTTTCCACTTCCCAAATGTTTTGCAGGGTTCTACGTCTATAGCAACAGCAAATGAAAGGCTGCAGGCATCTGTGCACTGAATTACGGTTTATAAGGTTTTGGCATATTCATTTCATGGTGACCCTCACAATGATCCGATGGGGGCAGACAGTACGGCAATCTCCTTGTCTGCATTCTAGAAGAGGAAACTTGCCTCACTCAGATGGAGTAGTGTGGCTGGTTTGCCTTGATAGTGACACAGTAGCTCAGTTCTCCCATCTGTAAAGACTTTATTCATCATCTCACAACTGTTATTATAAAAAATATTTCATAGTTGAAGAAACTTTCAGAGCTAAGCAGTTAGTGTACCCCAGAAGCCAAAATTGGGGGCTTGAGAAGCCTGGGGACTGGTTCAAGGTCTCATCATCAGTCAAAGGACCAGTGAAGATTAAAGTCCGGGTTTCCTTTCTGGTCACTGTTCTCCATTATACTAGATTCTCTCTCTTCATTACAAAGGCTGATAACTGAAGAGTGTGACCAAACCAAGTGTACATGTATAACATCCCTCTAGAACATTGATTCTCAACTGTGGGTTCCAGCACCTTTGCAGGGAGTTGAACAACTCTTTCATAGGGGTCACCTAATACCATTTGAACACCCAGTTATTTGCATTACAGTTTATGCCAGTAGCAAAATTACAGTCATGAAGTAGCAATGGAAATAATTTATGGTTAGGGCCACCACAACATGAAGAAGTATATTAAAGGGTCATAGCATTAGGGAGGTTGAGAACCACTGCTCTAGAAAAATCAAGCAGATTATAATCTACTGAAAGCAGTAATGATGCTAATGAAGTCTGGAGCATGTAATAAATACAGGCACTGACCAGGACTAGCTAGTTGTTCATTCTCTATACCTTAACTCAATAATTTCACCTAGTGTGCTTTCAGTTCTCTGCTAACAAAGGCCATGTCCTCCACCCCCTTTACATTCTCTGCAACAAACCATACAGAAGGAATTTCAAAGCACAGAATTACATTAGTCCAGGAATCAAAGTTTCCATGATGTCTTCTTGGGCCATACCCACAGCCAGTAAAGGCAACAGCATGTATGTGGCCATCTTTCCTGATCTAAGCGCATATCTCAGAGCTCTAGTTTAGTGGTTTTCATTACACCAGATCTCATCCCAGTTCAGATAACATCATCTTTCTAGTGACCAAATGCAAGTTGTCCTAAAGGCATCAGAAGGCACCAGGAAGTAGAAGCCATCTAGAAGCAAAAGCAGGGCTGCTCTATCCCAAACTACGGCCACGCAGACTGGGTCGGGAGAGCAAAGCAGTCCTCTGCAAGGGGCTGCTTGTCTAGGCCATAGGATTCTATTGTCTGAGGGGAAGATCTTTCTTCTAGCAAAGGGAAACAGATGAAAGCACAGTAGCTGTTCTGAAGTGGAGATGCGGGAACTGAAGACTTCCTCCTGTACTGCTCTGGGCTTCCACCTCATGCCCCAGATCTTTTCAGGTCAACTTAAACTGCTGAGCTCTGCAGGAAAACCCAGGATCTATCTTTTGTGGAGGAGACCTAGGAACCAGCGGGTTAGTAGGCAAAACAGATTAATGTTGGATCCCTGTCTTTGAGGGACACTTTACTTTCTAACTCCAGACAGGGTTTAATGGAGAATAAGAGATATCTCGTTTTATAATTTATAAGAGAATTTATAGAATGAACATGCTGTTATAAAAGAGGCATATAAGTAGGCTGTTTCTTCCTATATTTAAAAAAATTAGAGTATGAAATGCAAATATTTTGAGCACTCAGTTCTGAGAGTTTTGACAGTTTCATACATTTGGGTATACAGTCATCACCCAAAGCACAATATAGGTCCATCCCCTCAGCGAGCTCAGTTTTGGCCATTTCCAATCAGTCTGCCCTCCTCACCCAAGAAAGCACTTTCAGATTTCTGCCAGGTACAGTTTTGTTATTCTTGGATTTTCTGAATCAAATGGAGTATATACTTGCCTGCCTGGCCTTGTGTTCAGTATGTTACATTATGGGCAACAGTATTGTGTATGTCATTCCTTGCTGTAAATGAATGGAATCCATTGTTCAGATGGTTTACAACGTATTTATCCTCTCTCCTGCTGACCAGTGTGCGACTACCATGAATAAGGCGGTTTTGAAATGTGGCTATCGATGTGGATAATATTTTTATATGCTTTGCTGACCATTTGTGTATCTACTTTTGTAAAGTATTTTTGCTCTCAGAGTTTTTTTTTGAGACAGAATGTTACTATGTAGCTAAGTTTGGCCTTAAACTCAGAATCATCCATTTAGACTAAGTGCTGGGATTACAGGAATATAGCCACCATACCCAGCTGACTGATCGTCTTGTGATCATATATTTGTAAGTCTCCTTAATGTGTGAATATAAATTCTTTATGAGATAATGTATTGAAATAGTCAAAACCATAACTTCAGTTCCTTATCTAGAAATATAGAAAATCAGAGTAAAACTAAAACCATGGCTGGGAAAGAGGGGCTGGGTCTGCCTTTTATTTCAGTTTTAGTTTTGGTTTTGTTTCTATAAAATTGACCCTACAAATGGCTCTTTTTGTCTCAAGAAGATTCCAGATGGGTCCTGAGGCCAGAAATCTTTGTACAAGCTGGTGGTGGGATCAGGAGAAGGTTTTAGGTTGGAGGAAGAGTTTCGGTTTGGCATCTTGGGACTACATCCTAAACTGAAGGTAAAATCTGTTGTCACCTGTGTTCAGTGTTTCTACACTCTGCCTCCTCTGTCCTTACCCTTATCTATTGACAAAGGTAGGCTGAAATTGAAATCCACTATGTGGCCTGAATTCAGAATGAGGTCTCCTGGAGTCTGCTGTTGAACATCTGACTCCAAAGGCTACCTCCCGGCCCACTGTTCTTCAGTTGGTGACTGATTCATTCCTGTTCCTAGTTTCCTGAAACATGGTCAGCCAGAGCCCTCTGTCTGACCTGTGTGTATTCAACATTTCCTGGGGATGAAGTTCATCTGTTTGCTGCCTACTTTATGTTCTCAAGGAACACCCTTTCACTGGGTGGCATACAACAGGGGCTCATTTTGTTTGTTTGCATCTAACTTCTACTTTACCTTACTGCTAAGGAGCAAGGCTGACCTCCTAGATGTACCTTACATGCTTCTGTGGAGAATCAGCTGTTTGACTGCTGATGCTGAGAGTGAGTTCAGCCCCACCATCGCTTGGGTACCACAGTTCTGAAACATCCTTGTTAGCCTCCCAATTTTCTCAAGTCCTGACCACTCTTCAGAACACACATTCCACCTGAAGAGCCTCACAATTTGCCAGGCACAGAGGTTCACTCCAAAACATGGCAGGGGTTAGGGGGTGGGAGCCTGTACTGCAAATGAACTTGGTGATATAACTGTATTTGGAGAGGATTTGGTCAAGCTTAAAGCAGAGCCTGAACCAAATGAGACAGAGGGGATAGAGGATTCCCAAGGTCATATTTCGTTGTTTTCTTCCACTCAATGCCTTGTCAACTCCCAGACTGCTCAGGGAGCCCGGTGGCTTTCGGGCCTCTGTCTTCTTCACTCTCTTGATTCAGAGTTTTAGAATATGATGACTAAATCCAGTGTGTGGTTGGAGAAGGACGCCTTTCTCAAAGGGCCTGAAGAATGATAAACTCTTTGAGAGATATTTTCTTTCTTTCTTTTTTTTTTTTTGAGAAGATAAAAAAATGAGAAAAGAAGCCCAAGACTTTCGGACACCTGGGCAAGCCTCAGTCTTAGCTGTACAGTGTGTGTCTGTCCTGTGCTACTGCATCTTTATGGGGACACAGCACTGAACCTTGCTGAGAGTATCTAAACTCCAAACCTGCTAATTCTAGAAGGATCTGGAAGCATCCATCAGGGATCTCTGATAATGTATTGAAAGCGGTAGCTCTCCAGAAGCTGTATGAATGAATGAATTAAAATTTTTATTTTCATTAATTCTTTTAAAGGAAGATGTTAGGGGAACCTCCCAATGATTCTGATATGAATTTAACAAAAACTTTAGAAATGACTATTAAATAACAGCTTGGAAGGAGGCTGACTTACTTCACTGTATTCATTATGTGACCCCCTTCTCAAAAGTATGTTTAGAAAATGCTACCAAGAAGAAAAACTTTAAAATATTCCCTAAAATAGACCTTATTTTGGGGGGGGGGTTGTCAGTATCCAATTCTTTGTAGATTCACAATGTAATAGAGTAAGAGAAGATGATGAAGGTAGGTGGGGTGATGAGGTCCTTAGATGGTCATGGTCCACTGTGGCTGTGGAGGCTTCCAGTTATGTCCCTGAAGTGATGTGCCCACTGAAGACCTCAGAGTCCTGATGACTAAGGCCAACATTTCAAACATCTACAACACAGACAGTGACATTCAAATTAAAGTCTTATCTATTCTCATAAGTTGTAGGACTATGCAAACAAGAAAAAAAGGAAAGAAAGAAGGAAAGCAAAGAAAGGGAGGGAAGGTATCATTTAAATTAGGGGAAAAAGGTCACTATATTAAAAGCATGTACCTCATGGGAGAGAAATAGCAACACAAAGCTATATAGGTTAGGGCATGAAGTCATTGTAAAGTCCTTGCCTTCCATGAACTGGGAAATAGCAGAGTCTTAAACAGGACATATTCTCACTACGGGCAATGACAGGGCATGACTAGCTATAGCCCCTTTATCAAAGGGCAGTGAAGAGCAGTGACATCCAGAGGCCCTGCCTTTCTAGAATGACCTGGAAATGTGCCTCACACAGAAGAGAGATCTCTGGGTTTTCAGGTACAGGAGAGGCCCATGATGGACATATTCAAATATTTTCAAGAATTTGAAATGATTTTGTCTATTATTTCATTTTCTAGTTTTCCCAGGAGACAGTCAAGGATAAAAGTAAAAAAGGTCAGAGATTTTGATTCAATATAATAATGTAATCCTGTTTTTTCAACCCTCTCTTTTTTGGCAGGCTTTGGAGATATTTTAGTTGAGACTGGGAGACTTCCTCCAGAGATGCAAATTCTGGCCACTCACCGGTCTTCTCATCAGGTGTAATCTCATGGAAAAAAATCCTTGTTTGCAGCCCAGCTAGGTCAGGTATTGCCCATTCCATATCCCCCACCCTGTGCCTCCCTTTCATAGAATTCGCATGCTGATAAGGAATCATCACATGTTTCTCCCAACCTGCCCCCTAAATGTTCTGATAAATGTTCACTGGGCTGAATTTTTATCCAGGAGAATAGCCAAGAGAGCAACCATTTTCTAACATAAGACACTAAAATCTGCACATACAATTAGCTGAGAAGTCAAGATCACCAGTAAGGTACAATCAGCTTTCCCTTCTCTGGGCAGAAGCTTCCTCTTGTAACAAAAAACCTTAGTAGGTTCTGCCTGGTCCCCACTCATCCTCAAACAAACCCTAGAATTTTGAGTTGACTTTCTAGTCCTTACAATGGTTAATATTTCATCTAACTTTCAAGTGCATTAAGCAAACTTTGCAATTGTAGAGTAAGAGATATTTTTAAAGACTAAATCTGTGGTCCATACGTTCATACAATTACTTACTTAGAGTCTACTTTCTTGGTGTCATTTTGAGTGCTCTTCCAAGGTATGCATGTTCACTTCAAGGAATGCCATAGGTTAGTCTGATTAAAAGACAAGTCTCCCTCTATAAATATGTACCTGCACACGTTATTTGCACACATATTTTACGAGGCCAGTGAGAACTCTGACGTTTCCCTGGAGTCTCAGCAGCAGATTGGTGTACATCTTACTCTGATCACGAGGCAGATGGCTTTGTGTGGTACAGAGCAGGAGACAGCTCCTTAGAGCAGGCAGGAGCCACAGTCAACCCTGAGAGGCTGCCTGTGGTCCAACAGTTTGTTGTGATCAGAGTACTTCCAGTTAATGCTCTTTTCATGCCCCCACTAACTGGATTTATCTATCATCTAGTTTACACTAAACCAACCCTGCATGAAGACACATGACTAAGCAGATTTCCTGCAAAGAAAATGCTGTTTGGAGATAATCCAAACCATGAAAGCAAAAGAGCTCTGAACTTGCTTTCAGCTACAATACAGGCTAAAGAGACAATGGCTATCAGAAGACTGTTTTAAATCTGAAATCATGGTACCTCATGAAACAGTTAAACCTCATCTAAGAGTACTATGGAGTTTGGGGATTACTAGCCAATTACAGAACATTTTTTTTTGTTTTTTATGAGACAGGGTTTCTCTGTATTGTTTTGGAGTCTATCGGTCCAGCCCAGACTCGAACTCACAGAGATCTGCCTGCCTCTGCCTCCCGAGTGCTGGGATTAAAGGTGTGCGCCACCACCACCCGGCACAGAACATTTTTATAATTAAAAATTGTGTGTGTGTGTGTGTGTGTGTGTGTGTGTAGGGAACTATATCTTCAAAAGTATTTTATTGACAATGTGATAATCAAAAAACTGAGGTCACTGGCTTATTCGTACTTTTAAACATATTTATTTCTGGTTATTCTAGTTGTAGAAAACTTAGAAATGCAAGAAAACAAGAGAAGGAAGTTTAACTCAGGGGAAGAATAGAGGAGAGCAGGATGAGTGATAGCATAATAGAGGGAGCCATTATAGGTCTGAGGAGAGATCTGTCAATAGGGACATTTCCAGAGATCTACAAGGGATGACATCAACTAACAATCTAAGCAATAGTGGCAAGGCTACCTTAAATGTCCTTCACTTATAATGAGATTGATAACTACCTTATATGTCATTCTAGAGCCTTCATCCAGTGGCTGACGGAAGCAGAGGCAGACACTCACCGCTAAACATTGAATTGAACTCCTGGAATCCAGTTGCAGAGAGGGAGAGTGATGGGCAAGGGGGTCAAGACTAGGCTGGTGAAGCCCACAGAAGCAGTTGACCTGAACAAGGGGAAGCTCATGGACCCAGACAGAAGGCTGAGAGGCCAGCATGGGACTGATCCAGACCCCCTGGAATGTGGATGCCAGTGAGGAGACCTCATCAATCTATGGGGCCTCTGGTAGTGGATCACTATTTATCCCTGGCGTACAAATAAACTTTGGGAGCCCATTTCACAAGGAGGGATGCGCTCTCGGCCTGGACACATGGGGGAGGGCCTAGGCCCTGTCTGGGATGATATGACAGATTTTGGGGACCCCCAAGTAATGCCTCACCTTCCCTGGGGAGCCAAGAGAAGATGGGATGGGGGGGCTGGTGGGGGTTAGGGTAGGAGGGGGAGGGAGAGGGAGCTGGGATTGACATATGAAACAAATATTAAAGAAAACAAATTACCCAAGTCCTTCCCACCATGAAATTCACATTATTAGCCCTTGTCTTCTGCTCTCATATGAATGCATTTCACTGAGGGAGGCTGAGCCTATAGGACTTTGTAGGACATCATGTTGCACTCTGGGCCTGTGTCTACATCCAAGACAAGAAGTCCAAAAAGGTATGTTAGGAATGCAGCCACATCCTGGTACTAAGCCTAACAAATCTGGGATTAGTCTCATTTCCAAGTTGGGCACATTATGATATCATTCCAGGTGATACTGTGAAAGCCACATACGCCATCATTACTAGCAGAAAGAGATATGGCACGATTCATGCTTCCTAATGTTTAAGTTAATTAGCTAATTAGCGTGTCTCAGCCATCAGTGGTATGGCTGAGGAGCCATGCTTAAATCCCCCAGGTGTCAGGTTACTGGGCCTGCTGCACTTCTAGCAATCCCTAGAAACTTGGACTACGTCCACCACATGCCTTCCTTTAGGAACAAATCTGGAGCTGCACTGTCCTGGCTTCTGTCAGCTCAGACATGGCTCTTTTCACAGAAACCACCCTCAGTTTCACACCCCGAAGCTGCTCGAGGAGTGTGTTCCTCATCCCCACACTGTGGCATAGCTGGCATTTGAAACAACTTAATGCCCTTAAAAATAACTTCTGACAATCTGACTCAAGGCAGAACTTCCCATAGGTGTGGCAGGGCCTCCATTGCTATCTAGGATTAGATGTAGCAGCATCCTTCAACTTTCTACCTCCTCCCAGGTGGGGACAAGAGCCTCTGAAACCTGACGTCATATTCCATGTCAGCAGATGCAAAACCGAACCACTATTTTTATCTTCTTCATTTTATCAGCCCCTCACACTATTTCCCCACTGCATAGCATGCATTCCAAGGTACTGTCCCGTGCTAGGGGAGGGGATCTTGTATGTAGAATAACTAAAGAATACAGATTCTGTGAATGAAATAAAAACTCCTCTATCAACATTTAAGTCAATTCTAACTGTAATGTATTCAACTTGTATTTCTTAAAAGGGCTATTTTCTAGCCCTTTTGGATTGTCTTTCTCCTGGCTCCCGACTTCATGGCTACTGTGTGATTTCCCTAATGCCTGGCCCGTGTGCATCAGCTCCGGCAGCCGCCTAACTTTAAAACCTCCACTCAGGAAACCATGGAGCTCGGTGACTCTCCTTTAAGAACCCCATACCCAACCGTGCAGTCTTTTAGGAACCAAGCAAGAATGTAATGAATGGCGACAAAAGCTATCCAGCGAAGTGATCCACAGGGCGGAAGTGAGCAGAGGGGCTCTGCTTAGCAGTCAGGATGAGGGGGCTGGAGAGAATAGATACTCGTGGAATGTGAATTCTTTGAGTTCTAAAGTTACATCTAATCCAGGGTCCCTCTGATTTCTTCACACTACTACTCTGCAGATGCAGCAGTGGCCTCGGCCAGGAAATGCTCACCTGGGTGCATCCATCACCGCCCCCCATCTTCTCTCCTGCTTCCCCGTACCTCGATGGTGTACTGCTCGAAGATGCGCAGCTGCAGGAAGATGTCCAGCTTGATCTTCCGCTCGTGGAACAGCTCTTCCATCTGCACCTGAGCATCGTCCAGCTGCTGCAGGACAGACTCGATATGGCTGATAGAGCTAGTGTGGGGGGTTTTGTTGTTGGATACAGCTGAGTCCCTGTGGCAGAGCAGGGGAAGAAGAGAGGGAGGGGCCTTGCTGTGTTAAAAGTGATGGAGGAGCTGGGTGGCTCTCCTCACCTGGGCAAAGGGGACGCGAATCAGGTTAGTCTTTTAACAAGCTATAAACGTGCCACTGTGACCTGACACCATCTTCTTAGTAGGATAACCAGAGATGAATGAATTCACTCTCTTTGGAATTCATACCTTTATTTCCAACGCATGCTTTTCTCCTATCCTCAAGGGGATAGGAGGAAATAAGCTAAGAGAAAGATCATAAAATATGAGAGAAATAGAATGGTTCCAAACACATATTCAGTCTAAGATACAGCTTTAACACACACACACACACACACACACACACACACACACACACACACACCAGAACACATAAAGGTAGACAAAGGAATTTGAAAAGCAAAACTATAAATCTTCCTGTTTCTACCTCACAGGACCATTAAGATAAAATGACATCATGGATACCAAAATTATCTGCCCACTTCACAATCCTGTGCTCACACTGTAGGCTGGTGTTCTGAAACAGACTTCAAGCTACAGTTAGGAAAGCATAGGATCTGGAGTCTGTAAACATGGTTTAGGCTCCTTCTCTGGCACATCTAGGCTGGTGGCCCTGGAAAATAATCATTTTGAGTCCCAGCTACCTCTTTTGTCAAATGGATGTCATCTCTCCCCCCTCACCCCACATCTTTGCTATGAAGTAGGCAGTTGTGTGAACTGTGGTCAGGAACATTCAGTGATTCATGATTAACCCTGAAAGGGCACAAGGCAGTGTCAAGGATTTCCTAGGGCATAGTCAGCCTGGGGGTAAGGCTAGATCACATGGGCTGGGACAATAGACAAATGTTTCAGAGAGGATACATTTTGATTTGACAGAAGGGAAGGGATTGTTCCCTCGGCAGTCCCTATAAAAGAAGTAGGGATAAGAGACATATTGCAGAGTGGAACCAAGTTACTAAGAGATGGACTTATTCAGGAAAATGACTTTGGAGATGGTGAGACCACCAAAGAGATATAGGAAAGCTACGGAGCTTAGTAAACCCATAGTAAGCCAGAGCTTCAGAATGTGAAATGGACCTGCATATCTGTTACCTTTGGGCACCTTGATGTCTTATGCAATTAGGAGGTCAATGGGCAAAGAAGAAAGCATCAGTGTAAAATTCTCTCCTTAGCAGGTCCTGAAGGCCAGGTACTTTTAGCTTGAGCTTATCTCAGAAGCAGCAGGGCCTAGACACACACTATCTGTTCCTGAAGATAATAAGAGCTCTTATTATGTCACAGAGATCTTCTTGTGCCACTCAGGGAGCTCCTAGTTCTATCTCTTACTCTTGGTGCATGAGAGCAGGAAATGGGCAGTTTCTGTCTCCACTATTGTATAAATACCTCAACCATGAAAAGGACACTAAGTGTGGTTAATAATGTTCATTATGTATTTGCCGAGTATTTTGCTATTGGAAGGATCAGGTTGTTCTCTCAGATCACTCCCTAATGATTTCTAGCCTGCTATAAAGCAAATGTGAGTTGTCTTACTAGGAATCACAGAGATGATCCACAACTGTTTCAGAACTTTAAGGAAGCATGCCAGAGACACTGAAGACACAGAAGGCATGTTTCCGAGGTATATGAGAGACCCTGCCCATGTCCTCTAAGCCCCACTCAGGTCCTTTGAAAGTTTTTGATGTCAGGGAGGGAAGTACAAGACAGAGTCAGGCTAGTGGACAAATGGATGTTACCAGGCTGGGCTAGAGTCAGGCCAACGAATAAAATGAGGATATCACTGGCGCTTTTGGCCATGTGCATATGGTACTTGCTAAAAATCCATCAACTTAAACATTGTGGAGCAGTCACCACTCACATTGTGCATATGGTACTTGCTAAAAATCCATCAACTTAAACATTGTGGAGCAGTCACCACTCACATTGTGGCCTCCACTACCATTGGGCAGTCTTAAGCCCTTGGGCACTATGCAAAACTAGCAGTTGTGAGGATCATGTGTTTTTCTGCAGGCCTGGCCTTACAGAGTAAAACCAGCCAGCCAGTTTGCGAAGAGTATTCCAAAGAGAAGACAAAACCATCACAGTATCCTACAGCTGACAGAGAGTCCAGAGTACGTGCCTTAATTATACAAACAAAGTGGCCGAGGCTCAACGGGCTAAGTAGCTGAGACTTTTCGTTAGAAGCAAGTGACAGTAGAGTTTCCTAGGTAGGCAGACAATACTGCCATGCATTATATATTCATGAAGATGAACTGGGGAGAAAGGCAAAGAGGATGTCTTGTTAGTATGCAATAGGAAAACTTAGTATATCTCGTGTACATGTTTAGAATAGAAATGATTAATTTCCAACAGGAAAAAAACATGTCAGGGCCTCCTAATGGTAATTTTTCATTGTTTATTTTATTGGACAATTGGGATGGGGAGGGGGAAGCTTTCTCCAGTTGGAGTATACCCTCAGGGCCCAGGGCTGGCCTGGGACGTGTTGATGAGATTATTTCTGTCTATAGCTGGCAGAGGTCCCAGCACTCGGTGATTTGAGGGCAGGAACAAGTCCCCGAGGGCAGGCATCATTAGCGCCATCAAACCCTATTTATGCAGCACCTGGGCATGGGGCTGGTTGCTGAGGGCTTGCTGAAGGCTCAGTGACACTTTATCTGAGGAGTCAGTGCCCTTGACAGGGACAGGAACTAGACATTGATGCCAACAGAAAACAATCAATGGCGTGTGCAATTCTAAACACACAGCTTTCAACAGGGGTTCCCTGTTTTACTTATTTATGTGTGCTAACATTGACAATGGAGGAGTTTCATTATCTAGACAGTAAGGGACTGTAGAAAAGGTCATAGTGGGTAACCTTCCCTGCATCCTCAGGGACCCAAAGCAAAGCAATGGGGCTACAGAATTCAAGAGTTTGACCCAAGATCAAATGCTGGATGTGAGGAACAGAGGAAGCCCTGGGTGTGTGAAGGCTTGACTGGGTATGTGTTGTTGGCATGAGCCGGCCATACCAACGACCATAGCCTCAGACACATGGGAAAATGGCAAGGGCTCCCCATACCCTACAAGGTGAGGCTCAAAGAGATGACATCCTCTGGTCTTATCTGTGTGAATGGTGATACATATGCAGAAAATGTCCACTGTAGATTTCTCCCCTTGGATATCTATGGCCTGAGGACCACTCCCCTGCAGAAGCTACTCTTACTGAGATTAGCTAAACCTGTCTCTTTGATTCAGCTGTATACCATTAACCCTGCCAGCTTGTTTAGCTGTCTGGAAGAACCCCACTTCTATGTCCGACCATATAAAATAAACACACTGAGTTTCCAGGGCGGCTGCTGAGATGTCTCCATCAGAGAGCCCAGTTTACTCAATCCCAGCTTTTTTGTGTGTCTGTGTATTTTTCTTTTCTTCATTCCCTCATTCTCCTTCCCTGGAGCTGTGCTGAATGCAACAGCTAGATAACACTGTATTTAATAATGTATATTTCTCTGCATGGCCAAATCCATCATTATTCTTAATTAAAACACTATTTTCTTTATTGATTGCTGAGTATCATCCCAATGATAAATGATGCTCAGCAACATTAGTGCTTTCCTAGAAAGCTTCAGTCTAAACTCGAGCTGGATGTGGTGTAGGCATCTGTATGTCTTACGGACAAAGCAATGGAAGCTCACACAAGATCACAAAGCAGGATGTGGTTGAGTAGAGACAGGGACAGGACTTATCTTGTATCTAGCCCGAGGCACTTCCCACTGGAAATCACTGCCCATGCTGACCTGGCCTCGGTGGGCTCCCCCAGGGAGGGAGGCGCTGACCTGAGCTGCTGTATTAGGTCTTCGCCTTCCTTGATGACATTGAGGGTGGCATCCAGGGTGGCGGTCTGCTGCTGTTGGAACTGCTTGATCAGTTCCTGGACCGCATCCACAGAGTCTGCACAGACATCCTCCAGCATCTCCTTCTGCAGGTCTTCCATCCATGTCCACAACTGTGTGGGAGAGAGCAGATACTCTATTCAGGCTAGCACTGGGGCAAGGGCAACACAAACCGGAGAGGAGTCACATCCTAGAGCAGGAGTTGTCAACAGTATACCTACGTAGGACAGCGTGTGCCTCTACACTGATATCACCCATCTTCGCAAAGTTCACTTCATGAATGTTGACGTGAAGGCCTCTTTAAGCAAATCGATTACTCATCTTTGAGAGACCATCATGAACAGGAGACTGGAGTAGATAAATATTTTTATCTTTTAGAAAGGACAAAGTGAATGGCTCTGTACACTTCTTCCAGGCAGCTAGAGACTGCTTGCTGGAAATTGATCATGATATGGTATGGAAATTGATCACATTGCAAATATGCAAAAAGATGCCACCTAATAAGAGCCAAGATTAGATAAAGTATAGTCTATGCCTTGATAAACTCTTTTGTTCTTTTTAACATTACTAGATTGCTTAGAAAGTTGAATACTAAAGTGCAGCTTTTCTAAATTTCAGTGAGTATAAAACATTTCCACATTGTATTCAAGATGGTGAAATGGGGCCAAGATGACAATAGCTGTCAGACAACTTTAAAGAGTCTAAATCTAGTGTTTTGAATAAATGAGCACCAGAAACAGTGAAGGATTAGGTGAATTACTGAAAACTTAGTCACTAATTGCTCATTCACCTAGTGAAATGGATGTTTCAGCCATTTCTAGACCTTTTCCTCTCGATCTAATGGAGCTGTATCATGGCGAATTGCTCCCCACTTGAATACATGGCCCCTGCTCTGTCCATTCTTTCTCTTAGAACACACATGGTTCTAAACTAAATGAATGGGACTAATTTGAGAGTCTCTAGAACCTTGGTAGGATAGAGTAGTCAAGAGATCCCTTCAGTGACGAACATAGGCTAGCCTTAGTAGTGTAACCACTGAAGCCGGTAGGGGTCGGCCACAGCTGCTGTCATTTAGTGTGTATCAGGGCAGCCTAAGAAAAGGGTAGCCAAGAAAAGCTGGAGGGAAGGGAAGAGCCAAGGAAGAAAGATGGGGTGGGGGTGAGGGGTTAGGGAGAGTGGCGTTGGGTGGGGATGCAGGTGCAGGTGCGGTGGTGACCATCAGGTTTATGGGTGAGTGGTTCTTTCTCACTTCCTGCTGACTGGCTGCTATATGTGGTGACCTTTAGGGATGCTGAAAGGAGCATCACTTCCACAGGCAAATGCCCCCTTAATCACTTGAAGGGGCTGTTTTATTCTGCTTTATTTCTGACACTAGCTTTCATTTCTTAAATACATACCATGCCAGTTTGGTGGCCAAAATGGAAAATGAAGTTGTTTTGCTCTTGAGACCATCATCCTATTTGAAGACTGGGCAGATTTAGTTTGACTCTGGGGCAGGTGGGTGGACAAATGTGTGTGTATATGTTTGTGCTGTGTGCATTTCTATGAGAAAGAAAGGGTCTAGACTGATTTCACAAGGAAAGACACAAAAAATGGGTAGTTAAGCATTGTCTAGTTAAGTGTTGTCTAGTTAAGTGCTAATATAGTGACTCTGGTCATATCTCTAACTTAACACTCACACTCTTATTACAAAAAGTCCCCCAAAAATGATAGTTTGAATGCCCAGGGTTGACAACATTCCCATGGAAACACAACAAGGAAAGAGAATTCTGTCTGGACAGTCTCTGAAGACAGATGACCTGGACTACAAGGCCTTGTCTCAGGATGTAGGTTGGGACATTTCTCTAGACCAGCAACCTGTCTGCAGGTCATGTGGCCTGGGAAAAAGGAGACACTCAAAGGTTTGTACAATCTGTAGTGACTCTGGAGGTATAAGAAGGGCCCAAGCATATTCTTGCCATCTCTCTTTATCAAGTAGTTCTTCTCTTTAAGTGACTATTAAAAATATGTGAGTTGATATAGATGCACTACTCATGAAGTTCTCAAAAATAAAATTAAATTAATAAAGCAAAGTGAATAAAACAAAAGTTGTGATTTTGTGGGGTATCATGAAGATGCAAAGTATTTGCTAATAGGATTGTTCATGATTGCAAACTGAAAAGAGAAATATATATTAAAGATCTATTTTATGACTTATATTTGTGCCCATGTTTCTGTGTATGTGGATGTGCACACAGGTACCCATGGAGACTAGAAAAAGTTGTCAGATCTCTTAGAGATGGAGCTTTCCATTATAGGTGCTGAGAACCAAACCCAGGGTCTCAGAAACAACAACTCTTAACTGCTGAGACATCTTTCCATTCTACAAGTATAGTTTTTAAAGATGGAGCACAACATCCTAAATTTCTTGTTATATTTCTTGATAGCCTTTATTCTATATGTGATCAAAACGGTGGTCATGATGGATTCTCAAATGGCCATGTAAGACTTTACTATATTAGACATACTACAGCTTGTCTAGTGAATTGTTCAGTGTGAAACATTTATGTAGTCTCTAACTATTCAAGACTGAAAAATATTGTAATGAAGTGATGAGATTATTTTAGCCATCAGACTCCTATGGTTGAAAATAATTCACACAGTAAGGCCAATAGAATTTTAAAGGGCCTCTTTACCTTGTCCATATCTTCTGTTCCCTTTCTGATCCCAATTAGAGTAAACCTTTTGATGTGGGAAGCAGAAGTAAAATTATGAACTTTAGTCTGCAGAGTCTAGATTAAATCATTTATAAAGAAGGATATTCAGTTCTCACATAGAAATGTCCCATAAATGGAGCTTCCATTCCATGAAAATTATATCCCATGGAAACATTCTATTATATGTCAGCACTAGGGCAAATCTTTAACAAATGATTGGAGGAAGAAAGGAAGAAAAGGGGGACGTATAAAAGGAAGGAGCTGGGAAAACAAAGCAGAGGGGACCTGAAATAGCATCAGAGCTATTAAAGGCCCCAAAGCAAAGCTGGGTAGGTTTTCCTTCATTTACTTTAATTCACTGAAGGCAGGGATGAAGGGGACAGCTTTGGCAAGTCAGGATCCTCTGCAAAATTTGTATACTCATAGATTTGACTGCTAATCATACTCTAAACAAAAAGCCAGATGTTTGTCTTAGAGTCAAGCAGGAGTCAAGGGTGAATGGCCCCAGCGCCAAGGAAGGGCTTACTTGCAAGGTTTGTGAGGTGGTCAGTCTTGAGAGGTATTAAACAACACAGAGAATCACACTCCAGGAGCTCCTTCCTCAAAATACTGAAGCTTGCTCCCACCTATCCACCCACAATGCACTCTGCTTGCTAGTCAGGTCCCCAGGAAAGTCCCTGCTGGAGATTCAGGTTCCTCACCCTGTTCCCTTTATTTTTATTGCCCAGAGAGATGAAATCAAAGAACTGGAGTGAGTGAAAATATGTGGCAGTATGGGTGTCTCTCTCTCCCACATCTTTGTTTTGGTAAGACTACTAGGTTCCTCATCATGTCCCGGTAAAGGAGAGAGAGGTAGAGGAGGAAGAGGAGGAGGAGGAGTAGGAGGAGTAGAAGGTGTTGGAGGAGGAAGGGGAGTAGGAGGAGTAGAAGGTGTTGGAGGAGGAAGGGGAGTAGGAGGAGGAGGGGGAGAGGGAGGGGGAGGAGGAGGGGGAAGGAGCAAAGAGAAAGAAAAACAGAGGAGAGGCAGAGGCCAGAAAGAAGACAGCGACAGACAGCAGTTAAAAGTGTAAGCATGTACAGGCTTGCACATTAATTCACAAATCTGAAGACGTCAAATCTCTCATGCTATCGTTGTAGATTTTGGAATCAGGGATGTTGAACAGACTTTCAGAAGGTTACCTTAGCTGTACTATTGAGACACTCTATAACTCTAGACAAATTCCTTTCTTAACATTCCTCTTTTGAAATTATGGCTAATAAAATCTATAAGATTACCATGGAGATTATACAAGGTGATGTATATGCCAAGTAGCAGGTATTTAATTTAACAACACCAGAGCCCAATACACATGTATAAGGTTTGTAATTACAATGAGCCAAACCTTACATGAGGGAAATCACTTATACTACTTCAGGCTTACTTATTATTATCAACATCTAATGGGGAAGAGAAAAATGAAACAAAACAGAAGGGAAATTTGGGTTTACATTAGAATAACAACATACTTAGAGAACCAAGTCTGTTTAAATTATTTCCCAAAGAAGGGAACCTAGGGCTGGGAACATAAGAGACCTGCACAAGCTCATGTGGCTTCTAAGAGACTGTCTGGAACAGAGTCCCAGTCTTTTAATTCTACTGACAGAAGGCAGGGGATGCAGCTAGATAGTGCTCCTAGATGCCAGGGTGCCTGGTGGGGAGTGGTACTGCCATAGAAACTGACTTTGTCTACCACCTCCAAACAGGCCACAAGCCTACTCTGGAGGAGTGGGACTCCTGTTCATTCATACTCCATTGCTTTACCCACAGACCCTTAATGACAAGGGAATCCACATGCCTTTGATTTCTGAGATTGTCACTGAGAGTCAAGTGAGCTACAAGCAAGCTGACAGCCAGGCAGGAAGCCCTGGATTAGAGTTAATCCCCTTGCTTTACAGACACTCATCTGAAAGTGGCTGTGGGCCCCACCGAGATGAAGCAGAGCCACCTTCAGTGAGCTCACCAGGTCTTCATCTGCCCAGGGAATCTCTGTTTAGAGAACATTGTCTTTGCACATTTTTCTCTGTTAGACACCACCAATACACAGTGGTTCTGACAAACTGTCAGAAAAGCCTGTGGATTTGTGTCAGCCAGGCTTCTTAATGCACTCCCCAAACCAAAAATCAACTTAATTAAGTAGGGTTACATTTTTTCCTGAGCAGCAATCAAACCTTAATTAATACCCGATTAAAATGAATTCCTAGGGGAGCATAAACATGCATACACCAAGTCAGTTCTTCTGCCAAGGATGTTACCACACAAGATGCTAAGTGGACCTCCTTCCTGTCCACTTATTCCATCACAGAGTGCCCCTTGCTAATCGGAAATGGAAAGCAATCTCAGGTCTGCCATCACCTCCTCCTAGGGGACCTCTGCCCTGCCAAGCACTTTGCAGGACCGCCCCCCCCCTCTCCATGTGGTGAATGATTCTGTCTTAGATTTATCCAGATGACATGAAGGACAGCTCAGTCTCACTTCCCTTACTGCCCATCATCTCACTTCTAGACAAAGTAAACACCAATTTTAATACCCACCTCCCTGACCCTGAGCCACAGACCCTATGGAGAGGACTCAATGTGTTAAACAATCAATAAAATAGAGCTAGCGAGACAGCTCAGTGGGTGGCAGTGCTTGCTATCTAGCCTGACGACCCGAGTTCAAGCCCCAGGACCCACATGCTGGAAGGAAAGTGCCAACTAGGGCAGGTTGCCCCCTGACGTCCACACTTATGCAATGGCTTGTACAGTATTCCACCCCGCCCCAATAAATGTAATAAAATTTATATTTCAAAAAATCTGTAATGTCAGAACAGAATATACTTGCAAAGTCTAAATGCTCCTGGCTAGCAGCAAAGACACCTGATCAAAGTCCGGTGACTGATTACTGACAGGAAGAAGCAACCAAGAGAAACCTGCTATGTGGTAGGGCATTCTTGTTTACCTCCTATTTCCATACCAGAGATTTTGAAGTTCCTTGAGCTACAGACAGAATATTCCAGTTTAAGTCCCCCCAAAACACCTGCCTTTATCATTTTTCCTTCTCTAGAGAGGATGGGGGAATTTGTTGCATTTGGTAGCGACCTAAATGCAGTTGTCAGACCCAAAGTGCTTGAAGGCTACTATTCTATATTCCCTTAGGACGCAAGGTAGACCTCTGTCCACTTTTCTAGGAAGCCCAACTAAACGACCCCGGGCATCACGACCTCACCCCTTACCTCTTTGGTGTGTGTGTGGAAGGAGACTGACATGTCCAGGAGAAGCTTCCGCTGCTCCACCCTGCGCACAAAGTCTTGGATGCGCACCTCCAGGTGTCGGGCTGCCTTGTAGATCTCCTCCGGATCACATTCCCCAGTCTGAGCCAGCTGCTCCGCTGCTTCTAGAAGCTTGTCCGCATTGGTATATGTATTCTGCCAGCAACAACAGTGAGGAAAAGTCAACTTGCAGCCAGAGAACAAGCTTCGCGCCTTCTCACAGCCCACCCTGGGACTCCCAGAAGAGTGGGCACGGAGGGCGGAGGCGCTGAGCTGACAGCTCCCTGATCTGGCACCACTCTGAGTGCGCGGAGCTGGCACCTCGCCTCCTAGCAGGCAAGCAGTGGGCTGCTATGCACAGCGGGCACTGGTTAGGAGCCTCGCCTGCTTCTGGGATGTCTCAAAGGTGTAGCATCCCTAGAGACAAGAAGGAAGACCTGTGAGAACCTCCATACCCCTTCTGCTTCCAATTCCCCACCCTCACAGAGCCCCTTCATTGTCCTCACATCTCAGGCTGCTCCTGACAGAGTCGGAAGCAGCACATCCACAAGGATGCTCTGTGCTTCTATGTGAGAACCATCAAAACACCAACTAGGAGACTTGCTTTGCCCCCGCCCCCAGCTCCCCATCACTCTGGTGTTTATCTTTTGGAAAAGAACTAGCTCGTTGGAGGAAAGGGAAGCAGGCCACAAGGAGTGGGAGGAGATAGTGATTAGTTCCTATGCCCCAGTGAAAGCTGGATGCTTGCTGTTCGTTTAGCAAGAGGATCTGGTGGATTTGTTTATCATGAGCTACTGTGTCCCATGCATACACGTGTGTGCTCATGCATCTGACCCTGCATGTACACAGGGTGGTATTCTCACGAGCATTTCAAAAGGCAACCCACTTGCAGTTATTGCTCATCATGATGGCAGTCAGCACTTTTAAAGTAGTTATTAATTATGTGTCATGAACACAATTTTTCCTCTTAATCCAACACACTCTGACATCCAACCGTGACTCCGGTACACATGTATTTACCCATATCCCTCAGGTCAGCATACTGCCCTGTGGCCAGGAACTGGTGCTGACTGCTGGCTATGTAGATCTAGAAGCAGAAGCAAATACAGGGTGAGCAGAGAGCTGGAAGAGGCTATAGCAATAACTGTATGGAACTGGGTTTGACGTTCCTGGGGTTTGAATGTTACAGGATGAATTATGGCCTAGAAACAAACACCAAGGATGACTCTCAGAGGCGACTGACCCAGCTTCTTGGTTACTGAGAGCATCAAGCTGCTGATGATTAGGAATTCCCAGAGAGGTCTCAAGGGATTCTGAAGAAATGCTGCTTGACAAGCAACTGCCCAAGGCAATTGTTGTCCTAACGTTGGCCAAATAGGGTTCAAAAGAAAAGTCATTTGTACCAACCAGACAACTCATGCAAAAATGACAGCAACAACAACAAACAGACTAGCCCAGTGTAAAGAAAGGGGCTTTTCCCCTCACAAACTTAAAGGATGTTAATTCTAGAAAACAACAAAGGAAGGCCATTCAGAGTCATTGGAGAAATGCAGAGGTGAAGAGCAGAGGTAAGGGAGGCCTCTGAGGTGGAGGCCAAGTTTTAAAAGAAAAAAGTTTCTTATGGGGTTGGATACAGTATTCAGTTAATTGATCCATATTTCTTGAGGAAGATTTTTTTTCTTTAAGGATTCTTCACATGCCTGCCTTGAACCCTAGAGAATCTCAGAAGCACAAAGAAACTCAAGGTTAGAGCTCTACAAATAATAACTTGTTGCAAAGTTCACAAAATAAATGTGTTTTTTTGGTTTTTCTTTCTTTCTTTTTGAGACAGGGCTTCTCTGTGTAGCCCTGGCTATCTAGGAACTCACTTTGTAGACCAGGCTGGTCTTGAATTAAGATATCCACCTTACTCTGCTTCCTGAGTGGTGGGATTAAAGGTGTGCGCCACCACTGCCTACCCAAAATAAATGCATTTATAAGTTTGACTTAAAACCATAAGAGGGGAAAAAGCAAAGCAGGAGCATCTGTTTCATGAAGGATGACCAGCACATCTTTATTTGCTAAGCACAGAAAGTGGTCACCCTAATACTAGTAGCATCCTAGGAGGACAGAAGCATGTGACATCTACTTTGTCTCAATGGAGAGTAAAATCATCATTGAGAGAACCAGCACATAAATGACACAAGCAGCAGAACATACAATGAGGGGCTGAAGTTTCTTGACAAGATACAGGTGCCTAGAAGAAAATGAATAACAAGTAAGGGTAACAATAGCTATAATGAGCAAGTAATTTCACCTTGCCAAGAACTATCCCAAAATCTTATGCACAGTTCTCCTTTAATTCTCAGGATAACCTATGAATCGATCCATTTTTTTTTCATGTGAGGAAACCACAGAGAATTGCTGGTTAAGGGCACAAAGCTTCAAAATAGTAGAACAAGCATTACCCTGTCCTGTCTTGCCCACAGCAGTGGCAGACATCTGTGGATAAACACAATCTGTCAAAAGAGGAGAAGAAGGGTCCGAAAACAAGACACTTTCTTTGTGCCCAGGGCACTGGATGTATATTCTGTACCACAGCCATTATCACACAGCAAAGGGACCATGTGTATCCAGGCCACCTTCTAAAGTCGAATGAACCCTGTAAAGGAGGGTTCTACACTTACTCATCTCTGGTACTCCTAGGCCAGGCGCTGCGTCTGGTACACAATGAATATTTATCTACTGTTTATAGAGGTGTGTGAGTGTGGTATGCCTGGATAACTGAGTCAACCTAAGTAAAACTGGAGAGCAGGAAGTCAGGTAGAGCAAGGCAGAGAAGAGTTGGGTGACAGGTTTTATAGAGAAGGAATGATTCAGACAGACAGAAAGGCAATGGTGCGTGTGCTGAAAGCTGGGTTCCCTGCTTTGTCTGTGCCCAACCTTCTCCCTGATTATTACCTGAAAGAGTTCCTCAAACCCAGATCCAGCAGATCTCCTGTCTGTTTTAAAGGGATTGGTCTTGGGACAGACACTTAAGCATGGCACAGGCCTTCTTCATCTGACTCCTTCTGTATTAATGCACATTGCCCTCCTATAAATCATCTTTAAATTAACTGTTTGCCTTTCCAAACCTTTGGCAATGACTCGCTTATGCGCTGTGGTATCTATTTCTCCCATTTGAGATGCACTTCCTCTATTTTTCTATATTACCAACTCTCATTCCCCTCTCAATACCCTGCCTCAGCATCACTTCCTCTGGGAAGTCCTCCCTTAAACCTACTGTTTTTCTGAACGCAGACTGAGAAGCCCTTTTCTGGGTTCCTGAAAGTGATCTCACTCCCGTGGTACCTACATATTCTCCTCTGCTCAGGGTGAGATGATATCTTTTATCTTTTTATCCTTAGTATCCATCGCCAAGAAAGTATTCCATAAATATTAGTGACTAAATTAATAAATTAATAATCCATCAATCCCCACTAATCCTAATACTCAGCTCTGATCCCCATACATTATCTGATATAAGACTTTACATGCTAAAACTCATGTTTAGCTGTTCATTTCCACTTAGCTGATCCTACCATGTGGTTCATTCTTGAAATAAGAATCTATTTAGAGGATATAAATTAAAATATTACCAAAGACATACGCTGACTGAAAATTGGGACAAGTATTGACAAGAGAATTGAGCTCACCTTCTCACCAAGTTAACAATGGATACTACCCCGGGCCAGACTTGACCTCACTCTGACATAACCCTTGGCATGTATTAGTTTCCCAGTCTTCTAAGCATGCCTTGGCCTTGAGCCCTTGCCTATGTTTCCCACCTGACATGCTGGGATTTTGATCTCTCAGCCACTGGGTCTTTCATAGAGGGCTTGTGGTAGCCAGAGCCTCTGAGTCATAGATTTGGGTCACGCAGATGGTTAGAGACTCTTTTGTTGTTCCCACTCCTCTCTGTATCAACCAGGTAAAATACTCCCAATAATTTAGCTCTTAAATCTAGGCTCAGCTTGACACTACAGTCTTGCCTCATTACTTTTTTGTTTGCTCCCTAGGGATGCACTGAAACATTCTAGGGTAATTTACTTAAAACTACAGGAATTTCAGCAACACAGACATTGTTTTGGATTTCTTGGGTTAGAACAGAAGGTCAGGGGATATGCCTTTTAAAAAGCAAGGGGTGGAATAGATGGTGAATGAAAACCTATCTGTAATTAAAGAATCCATTTCCTGGGCAACATGGAATTAGTCTTTTGGCTTTATGTCTTGAGAGGAGAAGGAATGAGGCCTAAAGGAACTCTTTTTTACTCAAAAGTGCTAGTGCATCCTGGGAAGCAGGCTGGATGGAGGACCAGTAAGGGACCCTTCTCCTGCCACCTAATAATTATTTTCAAAGCTCCATAGCTGGGACCAACATAATTTGAAGGAAAAGAAGCAAAGGAGTACATGCATTGAGGTGAAAGAAGCCATGGAAATATGGGCACTGGGAGAGAAAACTTGTCAATAAACTTGGTTATGAATCGCAACAATCAGAATCATGTCCCAGACCTTACACTGGGATAGTGCTTTATAGTCAACAATAAGATTTTTGTTACTTCCTTCTCCTTTCTGGGACAGAATTACAGATGATCCACCTATGCATGTGAAGACCTGAGTGAGTCTAGAAGAGAGATCACCAAAAGAGATGACACAGGTAGCCAGTACCTGTTCCCACCGCTCAGCCCCAAACCCTCCAGATACATGGGATATTGGTAGAGTACTTAGTAGGGTCTTGCTTTGAACAGGAAAACTACACACTGCTTTGTCTTGACTACCAAATTTTAAGACTTAAAAGAATGGAATTTTTCCCAAGTCACTTTGACTGTATCTAAAAATACTCAGCAATGGCCAAGGCACATTTCACAATGCCTAACATAAAAAAGAAAGAAAAAGCCTGCAGGCATACAAAAAAGTGGAAAACAACCTGTGTAAAGAGAAAAACCAATCAAAACAGACACAGAATTTATATATATGTGCGTGTGTATGTTAAAAATAGTAGACAAATGATCTAAAAATAGTTCACTATATATGCATTTCACGTATTCAAAATATAGAAGACAAGCAATAGAATACTTTAACACTTTATCCTTAGTAATAACAAATGCACTGGATCATATTATCAGCAGGTTAGACAA